ACCGTAGCAAGCAGACTGTGCATGAAGCCTGGATTACTTATCGCCGTGCCGAACCAGTCCGACTTCATCAGAGTAGAACGATGCCGGACGTCGACGGCGATGATACCAGGCGCCATCTCCGTGGAAACTACACGGTTCAAGTCAGCGTTTGAGTACCAACAATGCCGGGCATTGAGATGTTTGGCGCCATGCAATCGGATGCAATCTAGATTTCGCACTCTCGAAGCCGTTGTACAGGGTTGTCGTGCCACGAACCCAGCGAACTGGAATGTCTCGATAGAAGGATAGATGCAGGGACAGCCACTTACAATGCTTCAACAGTTCCGATACGCTGCGGGTTACTTCGACGGATGAAGTCCGAAAAGGATCGAAAAGCTGATTATTTGGGTCTTCTGCAGGCGCCGCAGGCTTGACCAGCAAACATCTTTGGCAGAGTCCCTCACCCGGGCGGCACAGAAAAATCTGACACTCTGGACAAATGTCCCTCTTGGCTATCGCACAATCTTCAGACTCTGGGGAAGAAAAGTAATCAGACCTGTTCGCAACAATTGGAGGGCTTGGCGTCGCCTTGTTTGACGTAGACGCACATGTACTGTTAGGACTTGCGCTTTCTGAGCTTCCCGTTTTCCTTTGCTTCGCAGCATGTTTGCTTGTCGACCATGGATTTTTCCTGCGGGCGTTCTGCATGACAAAAGAACGAGCATTGCGACGACCTTGGCGAGACGTCTTCGCTTGAGCTGCGTCGACGAACAAAAAGTCTCGCTGATCAGACATTGTCGGTCAGAGCCACCCGGTCTCCCTTTGGTGGCTCCTTCAGGCCCTCCAGCGGTTCTTCCCGTTACAGAACTAGCAATATGCCGTATTGTCCTGTTCAGAGAGGATGTAGATGGTGGGGCTTAGCAGGGTGTAGCCGGGACGACGTTGCGCGTGGTGACTAGTCCAGACTTTCCCAGTCCATGCTTGCGGGTCAACATTTTGGTACCGACATGTGCCGTGACGACGTTGGGCTGCGGCGGTATCGTCCTTGGTGTTACTGGAGGCGATGGAGGGGCGCGAGACGTGAAACTATCAAGGACCCGATTCGTGTTAGGCTGCAGAAGCGAAGTCGGGTGTGACGGGGTGCCTGCGCCGATGCCAATCTCTCGAATGATGATGCAGCTGCGCCGTCCCAAACCCGTACGCCAGATAGTTCCACGACACGGTGAACAACGCAGGGTCTCTGTCTATATATGTAGACGATGGAGCTCGCGGGTCGCTGTTACCGAAGGATCAAAAATAGCACCGGCCACGGCCGGTGGCTAACGTTGCGTGATGTTTACAGGACCTGCTGTCCAGAAAACTGGAGATGGACATGAAAGACGCCACAACCGATGCTAACAGGAGCCGGGGCACGGTAGTCTCCTATGATACAAGGCAGACTCTCAAGCGTGGGCTCAGACCTTGTATGGATACTAGATCTTCGATTGTCGGTAGCATGACATCTGAGGTTCGCGATATACCAGGTATGACGCACCCCTGGCTTTCGGCGCGTTCGGAAATACTTTTTTGTCCAGAGTGCATGTTGGACCCCCGAACACACGCACAAATAGGTTTGCAGTCCGAAAGGAAATGAATATGCCGGAATGCGGACCCGACGAGGACGTGAATAGGTGCAGGGCCGAGGAACAATAGAGGCTCCGGACCCCGGCACCCACTGGGCAAGCGCGACGGAACCGCGCGTACCTTGATGCTCGGAAGCTCTGTCAACCACCGCCATGCAGGCAGACGGCATTCTAGCAGGTAGGACATGGCTGCTTATTCTGCTGACTGTGGCGCTCGCATACTGACCACGTCATTGTAACATAGGCCTTTCGGAAATACCTGCGCATGTCCTCCACGCGGAATTGCTCCGAAGACAGCAGGACAACGATGAGCGACCAGAATGCGGAAGCAAAGGGGCAAAGGGCTACTACAACACACCCATACATGTCTTCGCCTTGTTCTTAATACTCACACTTAGCACTGCGGGTTCGTACGTTTCTTCGCATACCTTCCAATGCACTGCTGACCGTCTCACAGCTTGCTCCTTCCCCGTGGTCGTCAAGCGCTTTCCTTCGATACCCGTTCCTCACCAGTTCCTCTTCATATCTAGACACTTCGGCACCGGTGTCCTGATCGCGACTGCCTTCGTCCATCTCCTGCCTACCGCCTTCGAATCCCTCACCGACCCATGTCTACCCCCGTTCTGGAACAAGGGCTACTCGGCCATGCCGGGCTTAATAGCCATGACATCAGTCTTTGTCGTGGTAGGCGTTGAGATGTTCTTCGCATCGAGGGGAGCAGGTCATTCGCATTCGACTGGCTACGAAAACCTAGGCCTTGACGATCACGCTGCGGCGCCGCGCCCGGGCCACAAGAGAAGCCATAGCTATGGGAGGTTCAGCAACGGCACACCAGGAGCGAATGGCCACATACCGGGCATCATGCTGCACGATGTGGAATCTTCGGCCAATCTCATGGCAGGCCGATCACCGTCCTTCTCTCTGGCATCGCCGATGACGCCTAATGATTCGATAAGCCGGAAGTCCATTGACGACGACAATGACTCAGATCTTGAGATAAGCAGGGAAGAGCTCGCCCGTCAAGATGAGGAGAACTCAGAAGACGAGTCTCGCCTGCTGCCCGGCCCTCATGCCCACAATCATGTCCACCAACCTGGCGGTGAATCCTCTGAAGATGTGGAGAAAACGGAAGCCCAGAACAAGAAACTGCTCTTGCAATGTCTACTGCTCGAAGCTGGAATCCTCTTCCACTCCATCTTCATAGGTATGGCGCTCTCGGTCGCCACTGGCACCGCCTTCATCGTCTTTCTCATAGCCATCTCCTTCCACCAAACCTTCGAAGGCTTCGCACTCGGCTCCAGAATCAGCGCCATTCGCTTTCCAGCTGGATCGCCGAAACCGTGGCTAATGGCTCTAGCTTACGGGACTACGACACCCATTGGCCAGGCAATAGGTTTGGCTATACACACCCTGTACGATCCAGCAAGTGAAGCTGGCTTACTAACCGTGGGATTCATGAACGCCATATCCAGTGGCTTGTTGCTATTCGCTGGCTTGGTGGAGCTCCTTGCTGAAGATTTCTTGAGCGACGAAAGCTACGTGACGTTACAGGGGAAGCGGCGACTGCAGGCCTGTGCCAGTGTCGTAGCAGGGGCGTTGCTAATGGCACTAGTCGGCGCATGGGCATAGTCCCCAACGTTCTCTTCTTGTATATTCTAAGCGCATCATGCATATATACGGCGTTATGGCTGGTCACATGCAGGCTAGCCTGCTTCGTAATCATAATCACCAGCGACTTTCGCAGAAGCCTCGGTTGGCTTGACGTCGTTGTATAAGTGCGTATCGCCACATCCACGGATGCAATGTTGCATTACGGACTTGTCCGTTGCCTTCTGAGTTTACTTTTCGACCTCCTCTTGTTCCTCGGTGCTTCCTACTCTGTACAACCCTTCGGCACCGCCGTCTCCGTGATCATTCCCGATTCCAGCTTCTCTCTCCAGCGCTTTGCATCGCCTTACTAAGTCGCTCACATGAGCATCTCCGCTATTGTAGCTCAAACCAAGCAGTGCAGTCTCCAGGTTGTAGAGGTACTCTTTGTTCTCGCCACTCGGACCTTTGCCTGTGATAGAGTCAGTATAACAAACCATGGCAGACGAGATACCTCAAGAAGACAAAGCAATGAGATAAAACATACTCTCCAAAATCTTCCTCGCCAACGCATCTGGATCCTGCGCACCCAAAAACTGCGGATTCTCCGGTAACCCAATATACACCAAACATCTAACACTTCCCGCCTCCTCTCTCACTGCGATGGTATTAGTGGCCTTGATGCCAGCCCGCATGCCAGCTTCGGCTTCAGTTGGTTCGGAATCGTGCGGCGGAGACGTGACCTCTGAGGTACTAATCGCAGGATGAAACGGCGTGAATTGGATCGAATACCCGTTTATCTCGCGAATATCAAGGTACTGGCGTACTTCTTGCACCTTGGAGGCTGGGATGTGGTATGCGGCGCCCCAAACGCGTTCGGTGGACTCATGCTGTTCCTCTTAGTACCAGGCCCTCTTGCAGAGGCGGATCCGGGCATATAGCTGCAAGTCTCGCAGATCGAATAAATAACGAAACGAGAACTTACAGTATCCGTCAAAGTCTCCCAATGCGCCTTATCAATCAACGTGACAACGCGTCCCGGAGCTTCGGGCGTACCGCGGTGATCTTCACTGTAGCACCTCCGTATTAGCCATGACTCCAACCCCGCTTCTCCACGATTCAGTTGGAGAGTCTCCATCCATACCTCGCCTACATACGATCGTCAGTCAAGAACCGTTTTTAATCGTACCATATCGTGCCATATCTGGCACCAGCCAAGGAAAAAACACACATACCTGCCAAAATCTCCTCACGTATCCTTCAATGTAGCCGGGAATACGCTGGTCTGGATTTCCACTGTCAGATCAAGGAATGGCTCTCTCTTTGAGACGGAAAGTCAAGATGGCATGTTTGCTTTTCGTTCGACATGCCATGTTCGGGCCGTACCGTAGTGTGGCGGTGGTTTCCATATCAAGCTCCTACGACCGAGGCGTTAGCTTTTCGGCTAAACGTGTTCGAAACGCATAGGCAGGTATACCCGTATCCAAAGATCCAGAAGTCGTCGTTGCTGCCGAACTTCTCAATTTCGTTTTGATGGTCCGCCATTGTTCGATGATGGAAAGCTTCGCTGCGAATCCAATGTGTCCCGCTTGAAGGTAGGACATAAGTCTGTTCTTAACGTTTCCTCAAGGTGCCGTAGTGCTAGATTATTTGTGGGGCTGTTTGCAAGGAACTTCGGGACGATAGGTAAGCAGTAGAGAGGCGCGGAACAGCATTTCGGGAATGATTGTCGTGTTGAAAATGTTGGGTTGGTTGCTGCGTTGGCAGCCTATATACAGACACTTATACAGATACAGGTACAGGTACAGAATCCTACGATCCGCCGGCAGCCCGGCTCATGAAGAAACCCTTCAACGGGCCCATTGCGTCGACTGCTCTCAATCCGAGACTTCGTAGCCCTACGAGTGGACCCGATTCGACGCTATACAGACGATGCAATTTATCGCACACGCCCAGCATTGCATTATTCTCCGCATACCGTTCACTGGTATAGCTCTCCAACGCCAATGTCGATCCGATGTCTTGTCCGGTCTGCACTGCATGTGATATCGTCCGTACAAGCGCTGCAGCATCACCTTGGCCTTGGTTGAGACCTTGACCTGCCAGTGGATGTATGGTGTGCGCGGCATCGCCAACCAGTGCAACTCGTTCACCAGTGTAGGTATCGGCGTGCCGCATTCGAAGTGGGAAGGATGCGACTGTGCCGTCTTGCACGTGTGCTACGCGCATCGGTATCGCGTGTTCGTCGACGGGCGTATGCTTCTCTCGCCATGCTACCTCCTCTGCCTGTCCGGATGAGAGGGTGTGTAGGTACTCCAGGTCTGTTGGCGACAGTCGGAAACCCGCGTTGACCATTGCGACGAAATCGGCCTGTGACAGTGCCTTGAGCTTCGCAGCACGTTCCGGCGTGGTACTCCATACGAGTGTCGACATGTTGCCTGGAAGTGGCAGCATAGCGATTGGGCCGGTTGGCAAGAACCGCTGATATGCAATCTTGTGATCTGGACCGCCCCAGCCTTGCCCCTCGAGCTTCAGACTAGCAACCACGCCATGTCTGCTATAGTCAAAGCCTCGTGACTCGATGTCCGCAAATGTCCGCACGGGGCTGTTCGCACCGTCGGCTCCAACCAACAGCCTAGCAGCCAGTGTCTTCCCATTGGACAGCGTGAGGATTGGCCACGACGAGAAGTCCATCTTCTCTGTATCCGTACCCAGATCTATTGAGTTGACCTTTGTAGATGTGTAGAAATCGACACCACCCAGTTGTTCGAGCCGGCTTAGTAGAGCGGTGACCGTGTTGACGTTTTCGATCATGTAGGCGATTGTTGTAGGCTGAGACGGGTTGCGAGGCGTGAGGAGAGGTTTCGCTGTATGCCAATCGAAGGATATCCGTGCATCGGTGACGCCGTCCCAGACTTGCATTTCTTGGTACGGTTGTACTCGGGGTGTGTTGACATGCGCCCATGCTCCAATTTCTACACCGCGCATGTCAGAGTAGAACTGTTGAACATCTAACACGTTTATTCGTACCCTGCAAGTTCTTCACAGAAGCTGGAGTGAGGGAGCTGCATCTATTCGAAAAGCTCTCCAAAGTCGCATCTTGTGGCAGTCGACTTTTGTGTAGATCTTGGCCCTCGATGAGCGCAACCTTGAGCCCACTTGTGATTGGCGATGCTTTCAGTCCTGTCAGGAGACTCAATCCTGCGGGACCACCGCCTACGCAGACGACATCGTAGACCTCTGGCGCATTTGCGGAGCTCGAAGCAAACCTCCGCTGAGGCCGCACATGGATCCAGACCGCCGATCGTGACGGAAGAGCCCTGGGCCCTCTTGGTAATATTCGAGGCGGCATCACGAGCCTTTGAAGACTATCGTGACATGGAGGGACGTATTCGATTCGCGGACCGCGAAAGTCGGAATGGTGGTGTCATCATACTGTGTTTGACATGTTTGCAGCCAGACACGCTAGGATTATGTCATCAAGGCAAGTCGCGTCGACCTGCCGCGATGTTAGCGCCGGCTTCTTCCACCTTCTAAGGTTCTCCACAGCCAAACCACAACCACATCTTTGCTTCCAATTGGAATCCTCGGACCTCTTCCAAGGACACTTCTGACGACGATGACGACTGGAAGCTTACGAGTTCCATCGATGCTAACGGCTATCCAAGGCGTGACGTCCCTGCAGCTGACGTTCACGCCCCTCAATTGATCATATGGCCGTTGCCCAGTGCCAGGCAGTGGTTACTGTCAGCGAGCTACTCAAAATATCTCACCATTCTCTGCTGCTTCTCAATTTCTCCGCACTCGAATTCTTCGCAACCCGCCTGATTCATGCTGTTTGGTCATGCAGTATAACTTCCGTTGTGGTAATCATGATGAGTATGCCTGTATCCTGCAGAGTGTCGCCCGTTGAAGATGATAGGCACGGTACTTTTCCGCCTAAGTCACCACGGCAGCGGTCTCTACCATGGCACTGATGTATGACGGGTGACTCTCATAGGCCAGTCTTCCCAGGAACGCTCGAGATGCACGCTGCTCTCGCGTGCGTGTGCAGCGTGCAGGACCTTCTTATCTGCTCCAGATTGCTTCGCTGGACTTCCAAACCGCCACTAACCACACAAATTGGTGTTTAGTTAGGCCCGTACGATTGCATCAACAATCTGGTATCTTTCAATCGAAATTCATTGGTGGAGTTCATTGGTACAAGTGAAGGACTTTGGTCATTGGCGGCACCAGCATGTTCTTGCTGATCGTACCGTACTTCTCACTAGGCTATTAAAGTAACAAGAGTCATCCGACTATCGAGCACTGGTATCGATCAACAAAATTCTCGTCTGCTTCGCTCTCATCGTCATCTCTGCCATCAGTCTCTAGCTTTCCAATGCTATGACATCTCAAGCACCTGTAAACACACTTCCCGACGAGCCTTGCGTAATTTTCAATATCAGCGAAGCAGAAGTGGACCCAGAATTCTTCCAATTACCATACCCCCCAAAGCTTTCATTGAAGCGACAAGTATCGGAATCATTCCTCCAAACGCGTGGCTACATCAAGAAACAAAGAGGACATTTGAGCGGTCGTGAGACAGCGATCGACTGTCCTTGCTTGCCACCACCAGCGTACAACATAGCCATGACTGGGCCCAGTTCAAACTTCCACAGTGCTTACTCTACCCTGCCTACCACACCCCCTACACCCGAAAACGAAACTCATCCACGAAGACCATCACAAGTCACCGAGATCATAGAGAAGGTCAACGCAAAGCTTAGGCGCCTCTTTGGTAGTCGAAGGGGATCCGTCGAGGATGTACACACATCATTCAACGCTACTGTCAGCGAACGCCCAAGTGTATTTCATACCCTGAGTGGACCGTCAGAGAACTCGCATATCCAGCATTATCCCGGGGATCACGTCGGGATGAGTGTGGCTTCCCTACCAAATGTAAGCGAACACTCTCATGTCAATGGCGAAGTAGGCTTGGCTGCTTCCACATCACTGCTAACTGATACACCCTTTAGACAACGTTCCAGGCGAGACGAAGAAACACCATGCAAACACAGTCGAACTGCGACTTACACTACGATGGAGATGGCGAACTGGAGCAGCTTCATAGCCTCCAGTCTTATAGTACGCAAAGTACGAGATATGGAGGACGAAAGCGAAAAGACTCCCAATTCAGCTTTAGCGATTTGTTGCGACCTCGACGATTCAGCAAAGCAGAGAAAGGCAAGGGACGGATGGAATACGATGAAGAAGCTGGATCAACCTCTCAAGATCAACTCCTCCATACCGATCGAGAGACCTCATCAGATCCAGTGAAACTCCCTCTGACGGAATATGGGACTTTGCCTCTTGGACCATCTGACCAGCATGCTGGCCCTTCAACACCGTCGTCAGCTGCAGTATCACCGATGGAACAAACCATACCCATAAGGCCCAAGCCTGTCATACCTTCAAGGCAAACGCCCACAGCAAGAAAAGTGAGCGTGCGTCTTGTACCACCTACACCTGCACCTCCACACGTTCAGCGGCAGTCATCGACCAGCTCCACAGCCTCCTCCTCGTCGGTTTCTAGTTTCGACTCTACCAACCCAATGCCGATAGCAACCAGCATTTTCCTCCAACGCGCCCGCGACATCGTGAACAAACCCGGCACGGCCACGATCGAAGTAGGTGCAAACGGGCACTCTCAACCCATCTCCATCCCATCTTCACACCACAACAGCCGCCGCTCATCCATACTCCCAGAAGATTCAGTACGACCTCTAGACGACTCCCCAACTCTGCCTCCATCCCTCACCGCATCTACAGCCGAGCTCCTCCGTCATGGCGACCGTCCAGATACAGCACCTTCTTCACCCTCTCTCGATCCTACTCTTGTTCCTTCTCTGGACACCATGCAAACCCTGCATCTAGGCCCGCCTCAACGAGCTCTGCTCCAGCGATCGGTATCGAGTAGTTCATCACGCATGTTTCACGTCTCCGTTGAGCATCTGTCTACGCCTACGCCCGCACAGCCCGTCTCGCGATTCAGTGCATGTTCGTCTCTGGCCAGCAAGCCTGCAGAACCCATTTCGCGGTTCAGTGCGTGTTCTTCTCTGGCTAGCAAGTATAGTTCAGCCGTGGAGCATGTAGATGATACGCCTGATTTCAGTATTACGCATCCTGCGCCTCCGAGCCCTGTTCCCTCTTCCTCGCCGGCACTCGAAGCGGTACCATCGCCTGTTAAGCGACGGACTGGGAGTTTGGAAGGGAGTCAGGATCTACGCGCTGTATATATTGAGCAGGGAAGAGCGAGCGTCATAACTTGTCCTCCGCGACAGCGTAGTCCGAGAAAGAGTCTACAGGGGAGGTGTTGGTGGGACGAATCGCCTCCAAAAGTGTATCTCTAGGTTTGTGTGGTGTTATTCGGGCTGTGCCTTTGATTCATATGTAAATTGAACCCATCACAGTGCATAGTCATATAGCACATAGGAAGACAGGATAGTTCCTCATCCACGACGCATCGGCGTTCAATGTATTACAACAGCATACTAGATAATGCTACCTCTGCCCCTAGGGCCAGTGAACCAACATCCCATCACCATCATCCATTACAAATATACGCCATGAACCCCATGCAGTACAACCAAAGACAAAGCCTTGCCAGGCTGTCATGTAAAATGAGCGAAAAGGCCCAAGCTGGGTATCGAGCTAACCGAAAAGACTGGTGATGCTTTTGATGCAGAAAGACGCTATGCATGAAGAAAGGACAGAAGATGGACGAAGCTTAGATTGCGCGGCGAGATTGTGTGGTCCTAGATTTTACAAGAGGACGGCGAAGCCGAGGAAGACGCTGCCGAAGACGGCGGCGAGGCCGAGGCCAGCGTTGGGCATGAAGATGGAGCCAGCGCCGCCTTGGTCGTTGGAGCCTCCGTTGTTGTTGCTGTCGCTGGAGCCGGTCTCAGAGGCACCACCGAAGCCGGTCACGGGGATGGTGTTTGAGGCGGAACCGTCGGTGCCGGTGGCGGCGGCGGTGGAGGCCATGGTGGTGGGAAGGGAGGTGTTGCCGCGGTACGGGTCTTGAGCTCCGCAAGGGTGGTCCTCACTGTTGACATGTTAGTTGTGTTTGTGATGGGTGACTTGATATAACGTACCGGCAAGCGCTCTGGCAGCTGTTGTCGCCGTTGCAGTTCTCGACGCAAGTGTTTCCCCATTGTTGGCAGATGAAGTATGGCAGTGTCTGGGAGTACTCTGTGATGTTGGGCGCGACACCGTTCTCGCAGACGCAAGTGTAGGTAAGAGCGTCGGAGTCGCAGTCGTTCTGCTCGGTGGTCATGGAGTTGATGCCGGGCTGCTGGAGGCAGATGAGCGGACATTGGGCCCTGTTCTGGTCACACCAGTAATCTGGAGAATGTTAGACGACGCGTCGTAGGTCGAATGATAACTTCTACATACCCCTAGTAGACTGCTCAACCGTGTCGGGGTCGATGGTGTACGGGTAGTTCAGCTGGGGGGTGTCTTGAGCAGCGACCAGACCAGTGAAGGCGGCGATGCTGAGGGCGAAGACGGAACGCATGTTGATGTTTGGGGAGGTGATTGTTGACGGAGGGTGAAGCGAGAGTATTAGATGATATACGGTCAGCGACAGACGGTGGACGGTCAAATACAAAAGTAAACCTCAACAGCGAAAGTGATGAAGAGGCTGGAGGGAAAGGCGGCGTCCGATATATAAAGGGAGGGATGTGTCGACGGGAAGTAATGAGCTAGCGGTCGTTCGAGATAGGAAAGTTCACGGTCCGGTACGTGCACCCCCGCCTACCTTCAGCCTACCTTCTCGCCCGGGACGATGCCTGTCGGGGACGGGCTGCCGTGACTCAAGCCATAGTACGCGGTGGAGTCGGCGTGGAAAGGGCGGCATTCCGTGGAAGATGGCAGACTGCGTGATGGAAGTTTGCCATTAATCCCTCGGCCGGACAGGGATGGGATGGGCGTTTGGTCGTATTGGCCACTGGCTGCAGCGACTAGTCGCTTCTCAGGGTCCTGCATCCTAGTCGGCTCTGCGCATCATTCGGTTGAGACGAGCGAGGCCAGCGCCGCCAATTCTCCAGACATCGTCAACAAGACACTAGACGCGACTGCATCTGGCTGCATGCACCGGCGAGCATATCTACCCCTCACACACCCACGCGGCATTCTAGATACCAACCGCCCTCCCGTTTGACGCGCCACCTGCCCAGCCATCTCCTGTAAATGGATGGAGCCGGCGAGCTTTGAAACTGGAGACCCGTCTTCGTCGCCAGCCCGAGATGGGCCAACCCCCGCCACCGTCACTGTGGTCCCACCCTACTGGCAATCCCACCAGCGCAATGCCTCGTATCTGAGCAACTACTCTGCTGACAACGGCCGCCCCACCCCCATCGGCCTCGAGGACCATACGGATGAGGACTCGGACCACTGCAAAGTCCTCTGGGCCAAGGGTGTCACGATAGATGATTACGTTGTCATCAGCGGGCCGTCACCGGGCTTTGGGGCTTACGTCGTCTTTAATTGTACGGTCGAGACACTGGATGTAAGTTCCCAGCCGCATGAAGATGCGCTAGTCTGCCCGGCGATGTCCTCGCAGCCAATCATCCGCGCGAGATTGTTTTTCAAAAAAATGGTTTCATGCAGAGGGCCCGTGGTGGACTGCCATCTCCAAGTGATGAACCATCATGCATATGCTAACTGTGACAGGGTGGTCCCATGAAGATACGCAAGAGGTTGGCCAACTTCCGTCCCTTTCGATTCCATCTGCTGATCGTACCAGATACTCCGAGTTTGAAGATCTGCACACCAAGCTGCTCCAGACGTTTCCTCATGCCGCGGGTTCCATGCCGCACTTCCCACCCAAATCCGTAATATGTAAGTCACATGGCCGCCTGCAGCATCAGTCCACCAAACAATATAGTGCTAACGCGTCGGGCATAGCTCGCTTTAGGCCCCGTTTTCTGGAAAAGCGGAAACAAGGACTCTCGTACTTTCTCAAGTGTGTTTATCGATAACAAAGCTAGCGCATATCGGCTGACTATTAATAGTTGCGTTTTGCTGAACCCGGAGTTTGCTGGGTCGCCCGTCTTGAAGGACTTTCTCTTCTCGTGATTGTGTGGCTTTGAGGTTGTATTGACACTGACGTTGATGTGTGAGTGGCATAAGAGTTGGATACGTTGTTGATGTGGTGCTAGGGTGTGCCCAGTTGCGACGAGCAAGTCCTCGAGTGAACCATCATTGACATCTCAATTGCTCGATCTCTCAATCTCTCAATTGCAGATGCAAGGGAAGGACCTCCTATAGTCAGTTCTAGCCAAAGCGTTGTAATGTTCAAGTGGATGTGATGTCGTCCACTCGTACTGATTGGCTACCAACGTCAGTGGCGCTACGCTTCCAAGTATCTCACATGCGCTGTACTGCAATTCGTTGAATAATCTTCTGGTGTACATGGCGATATCGAGATGGGAAGGTCTGCTATAGGGCTTAATCCAACCTCATCCGTATTTGCAGTGTCTGGGTGAGGCGTACGGGAGCGCCGTGGGTGCAGCAGCTCGTTTGGCAAACTGCGCGGGCTCTGCCACTCGACGACCCCCTAACGGCTCGCGTTTTGGCACATCTCAGCGCGACATCAATGGCAGCTCCACAATGAATAGCTGAAAGATGACCCAGCGAATCGCGAATGATCTCAAGTCTGATCACTACCATGGCCAACGCCGTTCGGCCTTCGCTGCTGCGGAGCTCGAATGAACGGCAGACCAGGCTCAACTTCCTGCCCGTGTCGCGCGATGACGCCCACCAACAAGCCCAGCGCAACCACAACCACGCGCCCGTCGCGACCAGACGGGCCTCGAAAAGCGGCCCTCTGCTTGCGCGCGCCGACGACGACGGCGCCGTCAAGCCCGTCGCCCACACGCCTGCGAAACCTCCGCCGCCTGCGCGCACCAGCAGCAGGAAGCGGCCAGCCACTGCCCTCGAGCCCGACGCGACCGACACGAGACCGCCGACCAAGATTACCGTTACACAACCACATGGCGAGCTGCTGCGCATCACCAATGGCGTCGCCGCGCCCCTGGGCATCGACGCCGACGACGTGCCCTCCGCGAGGTCCACGCCCCGGCCTGGCAGCTCCGGCAAGCTTGCTGCGCCCCCAGCTGTCCCCGCCCCGGCGTCCACCGCTTCCTCCACAACCACAGACAAGAGGAGCCTGCGGAGCCACGATGGAGGCTCGCGGCTGAAGAGCGACCTCGCCGTCTACTTTGCCAACTACGACGACATCATTGCCGGCGTGCCCAAAGAGGATGGTAGGTCACTGTCCCTGTCACATGTCACGATATAGCTCTGATCGCGTGCAGAATTTCTCGATGTCGACACGCCCATATACATCGTCGACGAGCCCATCAAGGCCAAGACTCCAGAGCCCCCGCGAAGCTCAGTAAGCCCGACGCGGTCACGGAAAGCACGACACTCGTCCCCTCCGCGCCATGCTTCGGATCCGTCAATATTGCCGGCCCAGTCGTCGACTACATTCACAGTCCTCAACTACGCCTCCATAGCCAATGCCATCTCCCACAATGACGGCGAAGACCCGCTCGCCGACTCCGTCTTCTTCACACAGCACCGACGTGCCGAGCGCAAGGAGAAGCAGCTGCGGAATATCGAAAAGGAGCGCGCCATGCACGAAAAGGTGCAGTTGGAGAGACTCCTCGACGGACTGCAGGGTCCAGACTGGCTCAAGGTCATGGGCATAACGGGCGTGACAGACGGCGAACGAAAGGACTGGGAGGCGAAGCGCGACTACTTTGTCCGAGAGGTAGAAGCCCTCGTCGACAAGTTCCGCGTCTGGAAAGAAGAGGAGAAGCGCCTGCGTGCTGAGAAGGAAGCAGCGCTCGCCGCGAGAGAAGAAGACGAAGAAGAGGATGGCGAGGAAACAGAAGACTCAGATAACATTGTAGTCCGCAGCCGCGATCCTCCACCACCACGACAGCAGCCCAAAGAGCCCGAGCCACCGAAGCCACGGCGGCCCCCGCGTCCCCATGGCTTCCTCCTCCCTTTCGTACCACCCGAACCCGCAGCGCCATTCAGTTCTTTCTACGCAAAACCACACCTCCGCGCCGCAGCCCTCGGCAAACATAGACACGGTCGCAACGCATCTGCATTCGGCCAACCCATACCCGAGTTCGCAGAAAAGGAGTTTGAACTCCCAGAAGGTTTCATAGACCCGCAGTTTCTCAAAGACAACGCAAGGCAGCGGCGGAGACGGAAGAGGGAGATTGGTGTGAATACAGGGGCGGGAGCGAGTGGAAATTAGTAGTCTTTTCTTTCTTACATTACAAACATGGGCCGGGGTTTCCAAGATTCTATACCCCTTATAAACACTGTCGAGCAAGTCGAAAGCTAGGGTTTCTGTGGCGTTTTTTTTTGTTTGATAAGGCATGGGGTTTGGAGGTGTGGGACTAAGTGAGGAGTCTCGCGCCGAGTGTATATTATCTGTGGAAATGGAATGTGAAATCGTTCCGTTCTGAGATTGGGTGTTCTGTGTGGAATGTGGAGCTGGCAGTGAAGAGTAGTGGTTTCGATTGGTACGTACTGCTGTCGTTTGGTGTGGTACTGGTGCTGATCATTCTCCTCTAGGTTTGCATGTTCCAGCCGTGGGTCTCACGTGCTCGGGTTCCATTCTTCGCGTACATGAACCCTTCCTTACTACTTTGTCCCCTTTTCTTCTTCTCTTCACCACTCAATCTGCTAGCTGCTCCAGCATTTCAATGCGACGACTCGATGGCTTGCCGCTCGGTCCGCCTTCAAAAGGGTTTGATATGAAAGGCCATGACTTGCCGCTTGGTTCTTCTTCCTTCACACCAATCCCCTTACAACCCCACGTTCTGTATCACCAACGCGAACCTGTGGAACCCCCTTCTCTAGTATCTGCGCATCACCAAGAATACCTCATCTGACACACAGGGTGCCTTTCGGATCCGCTTCCTTTGGATGGTATGCTTAGAAGGCGCTACGAAAGGCCAAAGAAGGCAATGTATGTCTCGTTTACGGCCCGGAGACACAAAACGTTCGGCAGATTCCTCCATGCTGCACCTTCACGCTACCACTGTTGCCGAATACATATGGGGTATGAATTCGCATCGTGAGGAGCAAACCATGGTTTGCCGCCTACCGAGACAATACGAAGACAGGGTTATGTCTTCTCGTCAGGCCTGTAGTCTTCAACCTCCATGGTGCGGCTACGGAATGAATCACATGGAACTCATGTCGCCGCCAGCTAGCTGTTAGGAAGAACGTGGTTGGGATAATTAGGCACCCGCTGAGCAAGTAATCCTGTCCTTTCATATAGTGCTAATTTGTTAGTTATGCACAAATCTAGGATCACTAGGCTGAAACATGCATAGGCGACTCTCTCCGCCGCCTCTATTGCATTCCTTTGACTACACCCCACAGCTCATACATTCCTCTATCGCGGATTATTGGGGATTAGAGAATGGGCTCCCTCTTAGCGGCCTTTTTAGCTATCTAGCGACGAAAGGCAAACCAGTAGGGTAGATAGGCAGCCTTGGGTTTATATGGGATTCAGCCAATAGCGAAAGTGTGTCCAAGCCAGGCAGGGCCACGATTATCACCGACGAACATGATCAGAAATGACTCACGAAGCACAACTCACGGTAAGAATGGACATGATATTACTACATAACCTCTGGACTATCTCGCTCACCGCCGCCTGGTGGGAGTCTCTGGTATTACTTCTGGGAAGAGATAGTCATCCATAATGGGTGATGTGGGTGGAAAGACCTCCGATTCTGGTGTCCTAAGGACCTGGACACCTCGTGGTAAACCATTAAGCATACGGAATACTCCATCCTGTGCTGGGTCTTGGATCTGGCCGAGCGCTCGATCTAGCGCGGCTCTAGGGATGTTGTGCTGGCTCTCATCGTAAAAGTCCATTACGAAGTGCATGCCCAACTCGAATGCTCGCCGCATTGGCGCCTCAGCCACAGCTCTGGCATCGCGTCGTCTCGCCTCAGCCGCAGCTCTGGCATCACGTCGTCTCTGCGAGTGGTCTGCTTGCATACGTGCTACCAGAGCTGGAACTCCTGGCTCCTTGAACTCCCACATCAGTTGAGTATCCAGCTCCTGGCTGAGGAATGCCTGTCGCTCTTGCTGTACTGTGCGGACATCTGGTACGAGCGCGGACCCATCTGGTGCGGGCGCAGACCTGCCTGGTCTGCCATGTACGAAAACCTGGCTCGAGGGATCTGTGTCTGACGCCTCTTCGGTTCTCTCGATTGAATCAACAGGCTCATCTCTAGCCTGGAGCCATTCATCACTCTCGAAGTATGCCGTCACTACTTCTGAATCACGGTCGAGGGGTGGATCTGATGCCCACTGCTGTGGTTCATCGGCGTGACTTGCAGGCCTATTCTGCTGCAAGGTAGTAACTGGGATGGGCAGATCGCTGCTGCTGCTGCGACGATCTGGGGAGGGAGTGCGAATCACTGGCGTTAACGCGTGAGACACTGTCGCACCGCGATTAGCGCTCGCATGGCCTTCGCCGTCGCATGTACATTCGGGCTGATCTGCCGAATTGGATACGGAAGGGGAAGCGGCGGGTCTCATTCTTCTGCCACAGTCTGGGCAGATGGACCGAGAGCGCGTGCCGTCAGTGGGTTGGGGAAGCTGGTGTTGGGCTCCTCCGGGGTCGCGATTGGAGGTCTCCATTTTCGCGGTTGTGGGGGAAAATGGTGGATGGAGAAGGAAGCAGCTCCGTTCGAGTGAGGAAGTGGCATGGGCTTCGCGAGAGTGAGAGTTTGGTGGTCAGGGTGCCTTCCTCTTTCCTGGACTCACTTCACGATGCCACAGCAAGATTGCGACACCGCAACATCACAACACCACGACACCTAACGATGTCGGCGTCTGGGCCACCCAAGAGGAAGCGACGTAAGATTGAGAGCAGTGTTAATCCTGAAAAATCCTCGCGACCAGAAAAGGTACTGGAGGCATCAAGACTCTGGCCAGATTCCGGCCCCGATCAAGATGCACCCATTCCAGAATGGAAGAGGTCCTTCACAGTCCCAGGTATCTTCGAAGATGCCGATTACTCCGGTGCAGGAGAGCAGCTGCCTTTCGTTTTCGAGCAAATGAAAACAGCGCAATACGGCATCGAGCCGGAGGCTCACGCTCCAGACGAAAAGGATACCCTTCGAGTAGACCCCTGGATAAAGAGGGCCGAGAAATACTCTGTATCGAGCAAACCAGACGACATCGTAGCTGAAGTTTCAGCTACCGGTTCTAAAGTGAGTCCCGGGTTCAAAGAGGATCTGCTGGCAGAATTAGCACCAGACGAACAGTATGCTTCGACGTTCCTCGCCAAATTCGCAGCGCTGAGCACAGAGCCTTCAGGAAATGAAGCGGTGACTCCACGTGCGACTGAGACAGCCCAGTCCCACTCGCAACCCGAAACGGGGTCACCAGTACCGAACAGCCCTCCGACGAACCCCGTTCATGGTGATGACGACGATTACATGCCCATGTTGGGTGACGAGCCGACGTCTCCAGGTGATGGACAGAAGTCTCGGGATGACTTTCAGATCTTAGCGCAAGAGACAACGTCGCTCAAAGATCACCAACGTATCGTTGATACACCTGAACCAAAAAGCCCGCAGAAAAGGCGGGCCGGCCGCAGCGATAAGGTTACCTTCGCTCCCGCCAAAGTTCAGTCCCAACAAAACTCTGATCAAGATTCTGATCAGGTCTTCCTCAATTCATTCGTGGAGCCGTCACCCAAGAAGAAGCGTGTCCAGGGCGCGGAACGCAACAAGAAGGGGCCGCGTATCTCCTCGTTCGACGACTCGCATGCATCTGGAAGGACGACGCGGAAGCGGAAACTTACGTCAACCACACTTGACAGTGATCAAGAAGACCAGACGGAGGCGGGTCAGACAAGATCCAGTCGCCGTCGCCGTCGCACCATGCCGGAGCAGAGTAGCTCTCGTCCCGAAGCGTCACGGAAGCAGAAACATGCGTCAACCACGCTTGACAGTGATCAAGAAGACCAGACGGATGCGGATCAGACGAGATCCAGTCGCCGTCGCCGTCGCACCACGCCGGAGCAGAGTGGCTCAAGTCCCGAAGCATCGCCGAAGCCTCAAGCTCGCCCAACGATGCGAAAGACTCTGGTGCCAGTTGCGGCATCAACCAAACTTGCCAAGCAGCCTGTTTTGCCTTCGCTATTCCGGGACCGAAAGAACAAGACGTGGGTATCTCCAAAGGAAGTTGGAGTGCTCGTGGCAAGGCATCTTGAGGAAGAAAGCAGAAAGCTGGCTAAATCTAATAACAACTGGAGAGAGTTTGCCAGATTGGTCAAACGAGACGACAGACTACAAGGACAGTATTGCGTCCAATGTAACGTCATCAGTCACGCCAAGGACAAGTGTACCCTAAAGGATCACGACGAGGCGTGCGCAAAATGCATAAAGTCCGGTCGTGCATGCTCGAAGCTGATCGAGCTGGATGGCGTTATGCACATAGGGTGGCTTCCCTTGCCAGCAGAGGCAAGGCCCGGTGCGCGTCTGGAAGAATTGCCATATTGGGTCCCACATCAGGAACTTTAGTATGGGCGATGCATAAGCGGGACGCATCAATCTTTTCCTTGTTGACATCCCCCCTTGACGTGGTGCTTGATGATAACCATATGTGTAGTTCCCTTTAGTGGCTGTCCCCGCCATGTGCTACGCATGCTCGTAGTCAGCCTCACTCCCCCACTTCTGACATCGTATACGTTTCCGCTCTTTGCTGATTTCGAAGCGAGAGCTTTCCAGCCCAGAGCCTTCCATCTACTATGCAGTTAATGCCTCCGCTATAGTCGCACGCTACACCGTGTGTTATCTTACGTCCGCGATAGGTCTCTTGCCAGTAGCACCCGACGCTGACAAAATGTTTTGAAGAGGAATCATAGCTACAGGTCTACGGCATTTTGCAAGATGTCTATTGCTAGAAGCGATACCAGGTCTTGGGTTGGAAAAGCCTTAGGCATACATGCATTGCTATCTAAGACTCTTGTGAAGCTAGTACTAGAGATCTGAGGAGCAACGTAGACGGTACGTTTGCTAGACTGATGAAGATGGACCGAGCCGCAAGGTCGGCCGTGGATCTGCGCAGTAGCACTGGGGCCGCAACGAATGAAACGAAATAGGTTGAAGAAAAGGCTTCGAAGCTTGAGAAACAGTGGCAAGACCTGACAGCAAGGGACGTGTGAAGGAAGCATACGACAATACTGCTTGATGACTAACGCAAAAGCTTGAAGATGATACTACGCTCTAGTCCCAAATGGGTCCGTTTCACTTCACCGTGACTTTTTTGCGTAGCGGTACCGGAAAAACTCGGTGCCGAGCACAAACAATATACGCAGCAACAGAGCTACGCTGTTCTTCACAAACCACCCCCATCACCATCGCCACCCCCCATAGTGTGGAGATGGCTTCTAATACTCCAGGCACAACCTCCAAAGGGAGGTTTGCGTCCATGCCCCCAGACACTCCGTTGGACGGCCCCGCCGATTCCACACCCTCCGGTGAATCGAACACCGACCCCGCGCCGCCCGCGACATCCAGCGATGGACCAGAGAAGGTCCATCAGAAGGCTGAAGCGACCGCGAGCGCCAACCCCGAAAAGCCCTCTCCGACAGAACCAGTCCTGAGAGGCACGAACCAGGAACTTCGCGAGAAGCTCGAAGATGCCCAATCGACCATCGCTGATCTCAGAGCAGAGATCAGGAAGCTGGAAAAAGCGGCCGCATCTCGCAAGATCGAGGAAGATCAGATGCGCGAAAAGGTTCGGCAAGAAATGGTCGAACAGTTCGCCATGCTCGAAGCGAGAGGCGACTACGTATTCGCTCAAGCAGAGGCCAACCTGCAGAGCAAGATCGACTACGAGACAAAGGCGGCCAATCTCGATTCAGAACGAAAAGAGTGGCAAGACCAACTCATCATCGCGGAAGAGCAGCTGGTCCCCGAGGAGATTCGCGTGGACATGTTAGCTACCTCGGCCAGGATAGCAGCGGCGTCGGAACCTGAGACTGATCCAGACCTCACCTATGCCAAAGTGGTCTGCGAATTGCTCGCCAAGCAGGTTACGCTCCATTTGCGAAACCAGGAGGACTACAAGAAGCTTGTCGACATCGGGGTCGCGAAAGTGTCAGCACAGAAGAAAGTGCAGGCACAGACCAAAGCCGAAAAGACAACGGCCCCTCTCCAGCTTCGAAACGAGTATCTCGACGACAAGCAGAGTAGAATCATGAATGTTTTCAAGATAGTCACCGAATGGCACCTCGACGATCTCGACGCCCGCAGTAAGCACATCAAGGATGCGCGGGCCACTAGTCTGCTGCCTGCAGAGGGCCGAAAATATAGTCTCCTAGACTTGCAGATGGTCAAGTTGTTGGAGCATAAATATCTTGCAGGGTACATCGATTGCACCATGACCTATGAATATAGGAAAGCCGCTTCCCTCGACTACGAAGTAGATGCAAAGACGTATGCTTACCTGCACGATACGGCCAACCCGAAGAACCCTTACCAGATTGGTAAGAAGATTGGGTACGAGTTCGTGTGGCGGGCGCTTTGCCGCGATAAGGGAAGGCCAAACTGGGACGACAGTCTCGACACGCGCATATGGTCTCCCGAAAACATCTGGCCCATGACGCCCGAATACCTACCGAAAGGTACTTTCGACGGTGTTGTACTCGGTTTAGAACAGGCCGAGCAGGAGTTCAAGGACAGAATGGCGACGGAGTCAGGAAAGACCCCTACAGCGCCTTTCACGAAGCCTGGCCAGAAGGCCGCCGGTCCTAAAATGCCGCAACCCGAAACCTCTCAGAAGAGTGGTCAGAGCCAGCAGCGCAGCCAGAACGGGCAGCGCAGTCAGAACGGGCAGCGCGGCCGAGGCCAGCAACGCGACCAAGGCCAGCAACGCGACCAAGGTCCACAGCGCGGTCAGGGTCCACAGCGCGGTCAGGGTCCACAGCGCGGTCAAGGTCAGCAACGCGGTCGCGGCCAGCAGCACGGCAACCCGCAAGACCAACACCGCGACGAAGCCCAAGAGGATGGGCAGACTCGTCCACCTCCCCCACCGACGGCAGCACAGCCGCCCGATCGTTACTTTGACGAAGACCTGGGCAGATGGATGGTACGGTCGGATATCTCTTCCAGATAGGAAGTATGTTTGGTGACCTCTGCAGGTGAGGCATGAGCCTCACGGTATATAGGTCCTGTTGTGTCGCGTCTGCGCGTATTTGTTAATATATCAACATGCGCATTGTCCACTGGTTCGCTAGTCTAATTCTCTCGAGTGACGATCTTGCCTTGAATATTGGAACGAAGTAGAATGCATGCTGTGACGCGAACCGTCATTGCGAGGAGTGTCAGGTTGCGTTGTCTCGTACTCAAGCCAGGCGGATACCCACCAAGAGACATATGTATATCAAGTGTATTGAGATTAGAGTCTTCCCAATGCGCATTGGCTGTATAGGGTATAGTCTCCAGATGCGGCGGAGATGCCAGGTTTTCACATCTGAAGTTGGCGGCGGATCTGGCCGTAGTTCGTCGCCTGGGCATTGCAATGGCATCACACCGAATGAGTGTAGTGACTCTGAGTCAGAATATGGGCGGATCTTGGTTCGGGGTGGCCATTGATATGCTGCTTTGTCATACCAGGGAATGCCGCAACTGGGACATCGACGGCCTAACACCGCTGTTGTCCATGATCAAAAAGTCTGCATATGCACGACATTTGGGCTACGAGAGGCAGTATCACCGGGATGGACTCGGAATTTACTCAATGCATGCTTTTTCAGAACACGGTTGTCATAGTATTGATGGTACACTTATCCCTATAAGGGCCGCCTCCGCGTACAAGTACATTACGAAGATGTCCTGAGTCTGGCATCTAGTACTTCAGCTGCAGCCGTCACCTGCCTGAGTAGGTCGCTTTTCCTTATTAGCGCCGTCTCTAGCGTCTCGATATGGACTTCTAGGGCACCAATCTGGCGGTCTCTCTCGACCACCATCGCCTTTGTATGCCGAGCCGCTGCGACCAACCTGTCCCAGTGACCCCCGGGATCTAGATAAGAGCTTAGCAGCTCCATCATCTCATCCAGGAACTCGCCTCTCGCGTCCAACTGCGCTTTGAGGCCCGAGATGGTGTTTGTGGCGGATTGTATGGCTTCCATCTTCGAGTTGAGCCACGCGCATCGGACATTGAAAGTGCGAAGCTGCTCTGCGTCGACTTTGGCGTTGCAGGTTTTGACAATGCTGTCTACCTGATTCGTAAGGAAGGATGCAACTGCATCGTTGTGTTCCTGAGGAAGAAGATCATCAAACGAAGGCCACTGTCCGATTGGAATGTTGAGACGACGCGAAAGCTGCTCGAACGGCACGCGATACATCCTGGAGATGAACGGCTTCCCGTAAACCACAAGATATTCAATCATCTCGTTAGGTTCCGTATCTGCGGGCAGCTTGAAACCGATGTGCTCAGCAGCCGTCGTGATGTTCTTGCGCAGGGTCTGCAAGAGGACATCCTTACGATCGACCTCAGACTCGGCGGACTTTTTGTCCTTTGTCAGCTCGATCACATCCTGATCGAGCTTGTTGTTCGCGTCTCTCGACTCATCGAGCTGATTACTGAACTCGTAGTTACTGCGAAGAAGAACCATCGCAAGCATCCGGAACTCTTGGCCACGGCGCTTCGCGGCATCAATCTGAGACCCTAGATCTTGTCTCAGCCGGCGGAGTTCTCGTACGCGTTGGCGGTCTTTCGCATGCTGCTCCCCGTTGTACTGTTCCTGTACATTGCGGTTGAAGTGGACTTGCATGGCGAGTTGCCGATCGGACGCGTCCAGTTCTATCCGCAGCGCATGCCGCGATCTAAAGGCGTCGCGATACTGGGTGACTAGTTCTGTCCCCGAATCGGCTTGGATAGACCGGCCGAACAACCTGAGTCCCTCAAGCTGATACTGCAAGAGGTCGACTTCGCCGGTGTGTTGCCTTTGGAGCTCCGTCTGCTGCCTCCCGCCGACGGTCAGAAGTAGGGTCTTCTGTTTCCGCAGTGCTTGTAGCTGTTTAGCCTCACACATGGACTTGAGCGTACCAAGGTATTCTGCTTCCTCAGCTCGCACTAGCTGCAGACGCTCCATGGACTTATGCTCGAAGTCCGTCTCCTGGTTCTGGAGGGCGACTTCATGGTCTCCGACGAGCGTTTCACGGAGTTGATCGAGTGCCTTCTGCTTCTCGGTCTCGAGTTCTGACTTTCTCTGCTGGAAGCCTTCCTCGTCTTTCTTTCTCAAAGACTCGGTTTCGAGTTTCGCATCAGTCTCGAGCTGCGTCTTCTGTTTCTGAAGATCACGGTCGCGCTCCTGCTGAAGCGTTTCACGGAGTGCATCGAGTGCCTCCTGCTTCTCGGTCTCGAGTTGTGTCTTCTGGTGCTGAAGATCACGGTCGCGCTCATCACGGAGAGAATTAAGCGCCGCCTGCTTGCCGCTCTCGAGTTGTGTCTTCTGTTTCTGAAGATCACGGTCGCGCTCCTGCTGAAGCTCATCACGGAGAGCATCAAGCGCCGCCTGCTTGCCGCTCTCGAGTTGTGTCTTCTGGTGCTGAAGATTACGGTCGCGCTCATCGCGGAGGGCATCAAGCGCCGCCTGCTTGTCGTCTCCGTATCGTGTGGCCTCCTTTTGGGCCTCTTCATCACGCTCGCGTCGCAGTGCATCTAATGCCTGCTCTTTCTGGCCATCAAGTATGCTCTCCTGATCTTGAAGAGCCTGAGAACCTTCATCCTTGAGTTTCTCCTCTTGATCTTGAAGTTCTTGCCGTTTCTCACCATCAAGTTCATTCTTCTGAGTCTCAAGAGCCAAAGAATGTTGCTCTTGGAGCCTCGTCTGCTGCTCCTCGAGTTCTCGATGTTTCTCGTTGGTGAGTTCGCTCTTCTGATCCTGAAGAGCCAAAGAGTGTTCCTCATGGAGCCTCTTCTGCTGCTCCTCGAGTGATCGCTGCTCCTGACTATCCGACTGGGTCTTCTGGTTCTGAAGATCCGTCGCATGTGTTTCGTTGAGCTGCTTCTCTTGACCTTGAAGCTCGTTCCGCTTCTCATCATCAAGCTGCTTCTTCTGCTGCTCAAGAGCGACCCTGTGCGACCGATGTTCCTGAAGCGCTGTCTGCTTCTCGGTTTCGAGCTGCTTGCGCAGCGTGCTGTCAGCGGTGGAATGCGCATCGTTGAGCTCGGACCGAAGTTCTTGAAGCGCTGTCTGCTTCTCGGTCTCAAGCTGCTCGCGCAGCGTGCCGCTAGTGGTGGAATTCGCCTTTTCAAGATCTTCTCGTAGCTTGCGATTCGCGGCCGAGTGTTTCTCATCGAGTTTTTCACGAAGGTCTCCAAGAGCGGTCTGCTTTTCGGATTCTAGATCTTCTTTCTGATCCCCGAGAGCTTCGGTTTGCCTCTTTTCAAGCTCCTCTGTAAGATCACCAAGACACGTTTCTTTGTCCTGGGCGAGTTCTTCCCGCAGAGCTTGCAGAACCGACGCATTCTCGTCTTTGAGAGTGTTGAGCTGCGCTCGAAGTTCATCTTCGAGTTGCTTCTTCTGCTTCTGAAGTGCATCGTCGCGGTCGCGTGTAAGCTGCTCCTTCTGCTTCTGAAGTGCATTATCGCGGTCGCGTTCAAGCTGCTCCTTCTGCTTCTGAAGTGCATCGTCGCGGTCGCGTGTAAGCTGCTCCTTCTGCTTCTGAAGTGCATCGTCGCGGTCGCGTGTAAGCTGCTTCCTCTCAGTATGAAGTGCATCGTCGCGGTCGCGTGTAAGTTGCTCCTTCTGCTCCTGAAGTGCTGCGTCATGGTCGCCTCCGAGCAACTCTTTCTGTTGCTCAAGCGCCGTCTTCTTGTCCGCGTCGAACTGATCTGTTCGTTCCTGAAGAGCGGATTTCTGCGCGCGGTCGAAGGATCGTTTCTGTTCCTTGAGAGCTGCTTCTTTCTCATCTTCGTACTCAGTATCGAGTCTATCCTGCGCCTCCTTGTGTTCGGCGAACAAGACTTTCTTCTGTTTCCGAAGAGCGGCATCGTGCACGTCCTGCTGTTTCTGAAGAAGAGCATTGCACCTACTGATATACTTTGCTCGTCTAGCATCGGTATCTTTCTTGTGCGCCTCTATCAGATCAGATGTTTCCATGGCTCTTGCCCTGGTCTTCATGTCGTCTTCTATGGGTCTGAGAATACCCATCAGGCGTGAGCCTCTTGTGACGTCGTCATGGGACGGATACCCTGGACCGGGCTCCGGAGCGTCCAGTATTGCGTTTCTTAGTTGTCGTCGCGCCGGCTCATTTTCGAGCCGGTAATCCTCGACATCTGCGAGGAAACCCTCCATCGACGTGTCAATGTGGGGGTGGGGGTGGGTGTGGTGGTGGAAGAGAGTGAGTGTTCCGAGGTCTGAGATCTCTTTGTTATCGTCCCTTCCACATTCGGTAGGCGCGCCCCTCCTTGCGACCACCACCAGGCTACATGTTGAAGACTACCTAGGTATGCGGATGCAAATGAAGTCATTCTAAATGAATGTGTCTCTCGCCGATGCAGCGAGGTCGGCCTGAGGGGCTCACCCACAATCTTGGAGAATCCCAACTGTACGCACAGTGCGCGCATCAAGCTGCGCATCACCTAGGCATAGTTTCTTAGGAACTGTTTTAGATCATATCAACAGCGTATGAACAGCAAATGGGGTGGAAGCAGATTGTATTTAGTGTAGTCATCGCGTTGACGAAGTGCATACCTCAGTGTAGAGGTTCCTCGATGCAAATGCCCAGTTCGGTGACCGGAGAAGCGCTTGGAACTTGAGTCTTCCCGCTCTTCAAAGGATTCGCCGCTTGTAACACTGCCTACAATGTTACGGAATGTAGTGTAGCTTTGAAATAGCATGCGGTACTCTCGATTGGAGTAGCAGTCATCTCATGGGTCTACCTGGGTGGCGTGCTACATCGCGCGATACTCCATAACTATTGCCTGCAGACGTTTGCGCAAGTACTGCAAGGTTGCGCAAGGTATCTAACAGCTGTCCCAATCGTCTCAGACATTACGCAGTGACTTTGTCGCCTTACGTACATGTCCAAGTTGATGAATGGGTCTGGAGTCTGGTATAATGAGAGGGTAAGTTGGTAGATCCATGACCTGAATGTTGCGTAAGGTTCAGAAAGGAAGATCAAGTGGTAGTGGACCTTACGCATCGGTTCACAGGCATGCGTAGCGCTCCGCATCCTTGTAGTCTATGTAACAGGCCAGGACAGCTAGACAGATTGCACAGCGTACGACAACGAACGCGAGTTAGACCAGCGCAAGTCAGCGCAGAGTACAATGAGTGATTGTCAAGCCTACGCGAGTTTCGTTTCCATGTAATCGCGGAGAAATTTGACCGAAGTATCCAAGAGAGCGCATGCATCAGTCCCCTACAGTACTTATCTGCGTAAGCGGCACGTAAAGCCCAATTGCTGTTCGTAAGATCGAGTACAATAAGAAGTACCGAATGGCACATCCGCGTAGCTAACAGACGCTTGTGAGCTGCTACGCGGGTCATGTGTAGTAGTTCACTAGGGCTACGGAAAGCGGCGTACGATGGTTCCGGTGACATTAGATACCAGAATGCTACCAGTAGCTACGTAACACCTAAGAACTTTGTATCTAACGTTGGAAATGTGCTGTTGTAACCAACGAGGTTGTTAGGTCGACTTGTGTATAGTGTTTACCATGAACAAGTCAACGTAAGCCTCGATCGGGCTATATGAGTCTACGTAAGGCATGTGCATGACGGAAAGGATACGAGATACAAGAGGCAGTAAACACCCCATCTCAAACTGTAAGCGTGGCGCTTTTCACCGTCACGATCATGGCGGTACCCAATTGCGCCTAGCGCGGAATCTCACTTTGATATTCGTCGCGCGCGCACTAACCTTTCAACACAACAACACCAACATCAACGCTACAATCATGAGTGACAGTAGCGGAGGCTTTCCGCCTCCACCCGGGTCCCAAGATCCGATAAGTAACTAAATCCGCTGTTGTAGCCCACCGGTAACCAACTAACAATGTGCAGAAACCCTGCTCCACCAAGAGCTCGATAAACTGGCCGCAGACCTAGAAGCAGTGGAGCTCAAGGTGCGCGCAGGGGATCAAGATTACAAGATGCCCCGTTGGAACACCGACCTGCTAGTTTCAGCAGCGGGATATCCAGAGGAGCGCGCTCGCTATCGCGAACTGATCCAACAAGGCCGCGAGCGCAGCGATGCCGCCCTGCTTGAGTACAGCCGCAGCCTCACCGCGCCTTCAGAAGAGAAGGCGCAGGCTCCGCAAGCATCTTCAGGAAAGAAGACGCTACTCAAACCGCCTTCATTCAGATCGCCTGCACCTTCTGCTCCCAAGCTTGCACCCAAGAACGAGAGCGCGCCTACAGAACAAGTAGGCCGGAAAGCACTCCCAGCCTTTGGATCGCTTCTGAAGCGGAACTCCGGGGTGACGCCCGAAACGCGCGCGTCACAGAACCCACCTCCGCCCGCCCAGAAACCGGCGACACCCAGTCGTACGCTAGGTCCAACGTCGCAGGCACGACCACCACCCGCCGGAAGAGGCGCTGGAGCTCCATCAGCATATGGCGCACCAGCTGTTGCAAGGTCAGTATCGGCTCAGACCAGTGCCGGAAGAGGCACTGCGCCGCCAACGCAAACCCGGCTAGTGTATTATACTTGCGATTTCTCTTATTTGTAAGAGTATCTTTTTATTAAAGTTATTAATATTATAGAAGTTATAAGTAGCTTATTTTACTCTACGTTATTATAGTACTATAAAGTAAAGTAGATAGTAACTATAAAATAAAATTACTATATATAGATATAAGTTAAAAAGAAAAAAATATAAAAAGTAACTATAGTAGGTATTACTTCTTAAAAATATAATATATATATAACTATAGCTACTAATATAATTACTATCTTTTACGTAAATACTTAGCTTATTTTTAATAGTAAATTACTACTACTTAGTATCTCTTTATAACTTTTAGCTTTTTTAAAGTTTACTATTATAATAAAGAAAGTAGTAAAATTATAAGCTACTTATTACTAACTTATTATTATTTTTAGAAGTAGTACTTCTTTTAAAGCTTAGCTATACGCTAAATAGTTATATAATACTTAAAAGTATAGTTTTATTCTTAATAAGTATTAAAGTATATAAATATATACGCTAAAAATACTAATATAAATATAAATATAGCTAATATTTATAAGTATAAACTAAGTAGCTAAAAACTTCTTAATTACTAAGAGAGTAGTAGTATTAAATCTTATTTAGTAACTTTAACTACTTAGTATTTAGCTTACTTAAGTAAAGTAAAATATTTTAAATAGTTAGTTTATAAATATAGACTAAAAGACGTAGATATTAGCTATTTTAGTAAGTTATAAAATTATTATAAAAGATAAAAATAAAAATACGTAAGAAAAGTATTATAGTAATAGCTAAGTAGCTATTATAAGTAATAGGTTATTTAGTTAATTATTTAGATTGTCTAGGTTATCTAGTGCTAGTACATTGAATGTAAAGTCGCAAACCTGGCTAGTCTAGACGCCCGGCACATACAGCAGAGTCGCGCCACCTATCAAGGGCCCCCTAGACGACGCGCTTGTCAGAGACGGTTGGACTCGCTGGCAGAACTGCGCCGGCATGCCGAGGACGCAGACAGCCAAGCACGAGGGTGGTCCACTCGATGGACAGACTATCAAGAACGCCAAGGGTCAAGACGCGGTCGCCATCAAATTGAATCCATCGGAATACGGTGCCCCGCCAGGTATGGATCTGGGATACTGCGAGGGATGGATCAAGAACAACCATTGCGACTTCGAGAGCTGGGAAGTGTGTCCACTCCGCCATTGGAACGCAGAGCCCATCGAGCTGCGATGGCATTCGGACAACTTTGCGAAGCGGATGTTGCGTAACAGAGGCCCCTTCTTGCCGCCTGATGATCCGAAGTCCCGATACAATGGCCGCTCGCGTATCTACTTCAACGGGACTGTGTTTAAACCAGAGAGATTTAGAGAATCACTACCGGGAATGAATCCATGGTTCGATCCAGCTGTGATCAATCAGAAGGCCATTCCCACTCCTGAGCAACAGGCTGCACAGAATGTCCAGCCTCAGAGCAAAGAGATCTTCATACAAACCGGTCCCAAGAAGAGGGACCAAGAAGCTCGCCCTTCCGTACTGTCCAAGGTCGCGATGCCACCCAAGACTTTCGTGCCATCCAAGAAATCCAAATCCCCAGCTGTTCCTGCCGGCTCGAGCAAGATCAAGCATGGGGGTGAATTGGAGTCGGTTGAAGAGGGCCAGGGCCGTCGCGCCAAGTCTGAGGCGCTTGACGCAAAGTGCAACGCTGATATAGAGGCATGGCGTCTAGAGTTGGAGAAGGCAGAGTGCGCCTTGCGCGCCCAGAACAAGGGTGCCAAGCTGGATAACGGGAGCAAGGAGGAGAAGGACTGAGTAGTTTCTTCGGGTGAGAGCCCTGACCGTATCCATCGTCGTTTCTCTTGACCTTGACTTGTTATGAATGTGAGATCATGCCGTTACACCCACAAACTCAGGGTGTTGCTATTCTCCGTCTGTTTATAGTCGCTCTCGAACTTTGATCAAACTACGTGATCTTGTATGAACAACAGGAATGAGATCCTGTGCTGATTTACCAAATTATGACAGCGACTGTCTTTCTAGATGGACTCACGTATAGTACGGCGGCAAGAATGCTCCTCGAGGTAGTTTAACAGGCATCAAACCTATCGATCGTCACAGACTACACTTTCCTCGGTCACGATCAACAGACGTATACGAAGAGTGCGAGTTCTTGTATTAAAGACGGTAGTCTCATTAAGGAATGCCAGGCAGTATGGGTGTCTCTCGGGTTTTGAAAGTTGGCAGTACCACTACTGCGTCTATTTCAGCCCGTTCTGATCTCAATGTTTGAGTATGCAGGCTACTCTTTGGCACGAAGTGGAACCATGGAAGTTGACAGTGGCTAGTTTCGCTCTATGCATCTGTGGTAGCGTCAAATTAAGTGGGCCTCTGTATCATAGCCTACCAGCAAGCTCCCGTAGAATGTACTATCGCTACTCTACACTCTCCTACCTCATCTTTCACCTCAACCCCACTCTGCTTCTCAGACCTTCCAACACCTTAAGCGCTCACCGTTATGACATCTCGAGAGCGCGGAAAAAAGCCTCAACTCGGCGCATCACCTACTAAGAACAATACACAACGCGATCGTCGAGCTCAGCGCGGGACAGAGATGCCTGAGCAAGATCTACGCGATCAACCTCTCAAAGATCGAGCTCTCCAAAGTGAAGCTCGCCGTGCTAAGATGCAAGTTCCCTACCTCTCCAGACATATTTAGACAAAGATTGCTAACAAGATGCCCCAGCACTGAGATGAACGCACTCAACTCGCCCCTCCTTCGTCTTCCGGCTGAACTCAAAAACGCCATCTTCGCCTACGTCTTCAGCGACAACGTGTACCTATTCAACGGCACCACCGCGTATCTCGACAAGACCACTTCCATAACTTCATTCGACGAGAACGACCTGGGCGTGCTCGTTGCGTCGAGCCAGCTGCATGCCGAGACATCCCTACTTCCATACCACCTCGCTTTGTTCCAGTTCAAGTTCAGAGTTTCCAAGGTCGAGTGGTCATACTGTGTGGAGAGGTTCGTGAAGAACAGAACTAAAGAACAAGAGCTAGCCATGGACAAGAACATGATGGTCAGCCACTTCGGGAAGTACGCAGGAAGTCATCGTTACTACCATGGCACATCAGCTTGGCATACCCCATATCATGTGAGAAGGGAAAGCATGGAATATCCAAGTGAACGCCGAAATGGGCAGATTCTCGCGGTCAGCGATGCGGGTATGGGATAACCCAGTATTGGTATAATCCATATCTTATTAGAGGAGGATGAACAGGGTGTCTATGGGAAGGCGTTGCTTAGCAAATAGGTAGAAGAGTGAATTGGATGAAGCTGAAGGTAGCATTGCGATACCTGTCAGACGCGATCTCGAAGGGAATAGCGAAGTCTGGAGAAGAAATGAATAAAGACGCGGTTTCTACTCAACCCCCCAGGTTGATTCATCCCGGGGTGAAAATACGCAAAGCTACAGTACAATGCAAACCTTCCGTACTTCATCTAGGCGCCGACGCTCTCCGTCTTTCATTCTCTCTAAGATGTGGAGGCCGTATAGAATCTGAGCTTGCATGCTCCACTGGATGAATGGTGATACTCGGTATCCTACTAAGTAAGTCATCTCTTTCATGATCGTGGTCGGGATCGTGATACTCAGTCGGACTTTGAGACACCGCACTTGTTGGAGCAGAAGACGCGCTGTCCGCAGTGGCAGCACCTATGTTCACATTTAGTGGCGCAGGTAAGCTATGATAGCCATTCTTCTCTCCCGGAGTGCATAGAATGCGCGATCTGGCTAAGCCCTAGTCGGATGTCGCTTGGGTCGAGCCGATTGCCGGGCCCCTTGACTACGATTCTTTTGATCAGATCGACGCACTGTGTCGTCCATATAACGTTTGCCGGGATGCGCGTGTCTTTCTGAGAAGTGTCCGGTAGGCTGGAAAGATGCTTGATGAACTCAGGCTTGACATCCTTGGAAGTTTGATTACAAAACTTGGGGTCCCCGGGATGCTCTTTTCGAGTGACTTGCGGAAGGATTTGGCGTGATGATGGTCCAGACTGACAGCGTAGGTGACGATCTCGGAAAGAACGCATCCAAAAGACCATACATCTGCACTCCTACAATTCGCTTTTTGGGGAGTCTCCTGATCCAATTCCGGATCTCTCTCGGGTATAGCGTTGGACACAGATTTCTGTCTCTCGGTTCTGTGCGTCTTCTGTTAGTGTGAAGGAACCAACAGATTGTTGTTTGCACTCAGGTATTTGCTGGGGCCTTCAGGTGATCTCCTAATCTTGATCACCGCGAGCCCAAAGTCGGCGAGTTTTCACTGTCCCACAGGGTATAGTTCATTCTTAGTCGTTGTTTCAGGATAGACCACTAGGATGTTCTCTGGTTTGATGTCGTTATGGGAGAGCGACGAATGTAGCTTGGTGGAGTAAAGCCGGTTATGCAGGTAGTCCAATGCGTCGGCAAGATTGACGCTTTCTGAAATCAGATCGCCAGGCCACATGTTGGCGGAACCTGTTCTTTCTGGTGTGGCTGTCGCGTGACGTCTCTTTCTCAGTTTATGGCGCATCTTGGTCAGAAATACATTGAGGTCGTACGCGGCCAGTTCGTAAACAATGTGATAGATGTCATTCGGGCTTGACTTTTCGACCATCGTGACGAGATTGACCATGATCCGTATGTGATCACTAAGGCATTGACGTAGCTCCTTCAAGTTGTTGAACTCTCCTTTCCGTGCATCTTTTCCGGATATTGTCTCGACAGCAACAGCTCTGGGCTAATGCAGAGGTTAACGACGCGTGAGACGCTTCATTTATGCGGTAGCAACTTACTTCCACATTGGTAGTGCAATCTTGAAAGCGCAAAAATCCCTTCGCGACTGTTCGCTTGTTGACTTGTCCGAAGCCGCCTTCCCCTACGAATTTTGGTTCGTCGATCCAGGGAAGCCGCTCTTCGCTGTTCAGTACAAACTCATCTTCTTGTTCTGGGATCGGAATAGGACAGAACGCGAACTGATTTTCGTAGAACAGCGCTCCCTCAGATCTTCCCAAGAAGCCGTCTTGCTGCAGTTTTTTCAACTCAAAAGGAATGTTCTGATCTCGCCGATCCCCATGCCCGACGAAAACTGCGCCAAACCGCTTCCAATGGCGGAAATTGATGCGGATCAAAATTGACATTATCTGAATCATCTCTTCCATGAAGTTGGTCCTGTCCCACTCCGGGTCATACCACGCTTGATTGACGTAGAACTTGCGGTGACGGTTTTGTGCCCATATCTTGCTGACAACTTCAAGAAGTATGATTTCCTCGCTTTTCTTACCAACCATTCCATCTTTTAATGCTTCGAAGATGTCGTCTCTAATCGTATCGATATCGACAGGTTGCAGATTCGCGTACAAATTTCGATTCGTTGTGGCATCGGGATTGAACTGCTCTTGCGATCGAGCGCGGGTGAAATCTGATTCGGTCTGTGGAGGATTGCGCTGATCTTCCAGTGTTGTTGGGCTGATACCAGGCGCAAGCGCTGTAGATATGTTATGATTGCCGTACAAGCGTGAGAGGCATTGACCCATGATGGAAGCTGACGACGTAGTACAGGCCACAGTCCAGTAATGTCTGCCGAACCTAATTCATAGACCTGGTATATTCAGGGGATGTGCGCTCTTTCCAAGTTATTGTTTTCGCGCTTTCAGCCTCAACGAACGCTCTGCTGCCATTTCGTCGTTTGCTTCGCAGTGCCGCGATGCGAAAGCCGTCGGACCCAATCGAAGGTGACTGCACAGACATCAGATGGCTCAGCTATCACTGGGCACCCTCTATTGTAAGCTCCGCCTCCACTACAAATGATGCGTTGAGTGTGGTGTGGGGCCGCTACATATGATTGGCTGCGATATGGTCTACGAGGCTCCAAACGATGTTCTGGGTACGTCGTAAGAACAGCAGCCGCCGGATATGGAAGGCGGTTTGCAGGCCGATTGAACTGAAAACGGCAGAAAAAAGCAGCTATGCAGCCCGATGCGGGTCAGCCAATCGCGACCGAGAGTCCTAGTGTTGCTTTCTGCAGCGACGTGCTCCATGCCACACACACAATCGAAGCACAATTGACAGTACAATCCGCCGATTGAGGCTCTGTTCGTCATATCTTGATATACATGCGCGGAGTTGAGATGAGATCCTTCAATCTTGCTGGGATCGTCACGGGTTACGGAGTCGATAAAGAGCATGCGAAGCCTAAATTTCAAGGGCTTATAGAAAGCGCGACAACTCTCACTAAGTATCAACGTGATCAAGTAAGCTATCGAGACTCGAGCAAGTCAGGTTGGCGCGGCATCGTCCACGGGTGCGGCTGAGGAGAGTGCACAGGAGCTAGGACGCACCTGGAAAAGACCCACATCTGCACTAATGAGGTTTGGCTCGCCATTCGCGTCATGACCTGTATCCTCCACGCGTGGACGCGTCAAGCTCTCGTAGACATTCAGCCATCACTATACATTACCTGTACCTTCCCAAGTTATGTCCCATTCTGCTAATTACCAGAGTGCCTCTGCACGCTCCCAGGAGCTGTACATGCCCGATGTTGTCGACATTCCCTCGAACGCGACCAGCATTGTCGCATACGCCTCGCTCGACGCGAAGATCTCCTACCGGTTCGCAATCGCACGAACGGCGATTTCGATACTATAAAGATTGCGGAAGACAGGGTCGCAGTATCGCTACGACCATGGTGATGTGCTTAGGTGGGGGAAACAACTCGCGATACATTCGAGCCTTGGAAATACTACTCTTCAGTATTGAAGCTGCATGTCACCACTTGTGTGCTTAGAGTCACGGGCGACGCATGACGGCGCTTCTGTCATAAGAGGTCAGCGCAGTATTTCGAGATCCGAAGCAGCAAGAACCTATGGCGCTCTATCTTGCAGCATCAGGCCTTCGCGGGTTAGCTCATGCGAGGCTCCACCGAAGTCTGGAGCGCGCCTGTGATTTTGGTGATCGCAATCAGTAGTGTGAGTATGGGGAAGATCTTGGGAAACAATCTATCATCATGCACTCAACAGCCTGCGGCAACGTGCCCTCCGCGAAGACGCAACCAGAAGTAAGTGTTCGATGGTCATTTACTGAATACTTGTGTCAGCTTTTTGAGTTGGCGTACCAAGACTGCGGCAGTCTTGAGATCAAACCCGAGCAGCAACGTTGCCACTAGTCCATTCGATCATTTCACGTTACATGCCCTTCGTCGGCCAATCGACGTCCCTTCCAAACAGTGTTAACTTCACTCAACGTGCCTTCGCGTTGATACAACGCAGCCGAAGAACAACGGAATTGTAAGAGTGAACGACAAAGAACTCTCTCTGATCGATTGCTCTACTCCTAAATTCACTCAACCTTTCGGCTAGCCATCGGTTGAAGTGAGCCTTTGTATGCCACATTGACAATATTACTTACACTACTTGTATTCTACCCCCTTTCCTCTCCTTCCACCAGTACTCTTCCCACTGACACATAATCCCTCAACGCAGCACAACATGTCGTCTTGGAGATTCCGCACCCCCCAGGATTCGTTCTTTAACCGAGTCTACGCTAGACCCGCGACGTACGCGTCATCCCGCCCTCTTGAAGACACCCACACTCCTCAATGTCGAGCTCGTCGCAACCAGTTGTAAGAGCCTCAATCCCTAATCTCACGAATGCAAAACTGATAAACTACGTAGAAGTGAGCTTAACGCAGCCAACTCACCCCTCCTCCGCCTACCCGCCGAGCTACGCAACACAATCTATACCTACGTCTTTAGCAGCACAGCCTGCGGCTTTGTGGATCATAACAACGACAGGGACTTCGATCCCGGTCAGATATTCTCGTTTCAAAGAGCCAATCTAGGCTTAGTAGCCACATCTCGTCAGCTCTACGCTGAAACCGCGTTGCTTCCATATAAACTTGGGTTATTTCAATTTTTTCTCCACAGCCCGAGAGCCCCGTGGGAAGTTTATGTAAGGGCTTTCATCGGCGGGAGATCGGAGGAACAGCTTAGAGCTATGGACGAGGAATTTGAAGTCGTTGGATATGATCCTGAGACCAGACACGATAGGCCATATTGGGGTACTGGGGTGCAATGGGCTGATGCATTCGCTAAGAATGATGTGAAGGCATTGTGTCCGGAATGGTATAGACGAAGGATTGGGGAAATCTGAGACCGTCGGGGGAGCGTCCATGTATACATGCGGTGGTATTCATCGAGTTACAAATCTATGGGTATTCTGACCATTGCAGTTAGTCACTACGTTAGCATCTTTCCTTTCGATCAAAGGCATGTGAGTAAACAATGATGAGAATGCCCATAGTAGTCAATTCTTCGGCGGACGCAGTTGATCTCTTCCAAGTCTTGCTGTGTGAAACATTACATTACCACCGGAGAACTGTAATGAAGGGTCAAATCCGATATGAATCTCCGGATGAGCGACTCAAGGCGGTGGTGCACCCTGCCCTCCGCCGGCAGCTAGTCAAACAACGCTAGCCGCATTCAACAAATGGACCGCCCAGTTGCTCTCACCTTCTACGACGCAGCCTTGTCGCAAGATCACCTCGCTTTCTGCAGCCCAACTCCAATTCATCATGGCACCACGAAAGCGCAAAGCGCCATCCCCAGCTACTGCACAATCCGCAAAAAAGAGTCGAGACGAGAGAGTTCGTCGAAGGGGCGTGATACGGGATCTAGGTTCACTCGATCGGCTGTAAGTACCATAACAAGCTCTACTACTGGTTTGTCTGACAATTGGTATAGCACTGAGCTCAACTCCATTAACTCACCTCTTCTTCGCCTTCCGGCCGAGCTTAGAAGCATAATCTTCACCTACGTCTTCAGCGGCGAAGAGTACCTTTTCAGTGGACGCCGAGGCTACCTTGTCCCTGATGCAGGATCGTTTACGCTATTGGACATGAGTCTCCTCCTGGTCTCACGTCAAGCCTACGCTGAAACAGCCTTGCTCCCATATAAGCTCGGCACGATCCGTTTCCTCTTCGATCAATACTACCAAATGGACCAGCGGAAGCAGAGCGTCGAGTTCTTCCTGAGCAAGAGATCGGTCGAACAGATCAAAGCGATCGTCAGTCTAGAGGCTTGCGAGGAGGAGGAAGTGGGAGAACCTTTTTCGGTGACTGACACTGGAATATGGTGGGCCGAGAAACTAGGTGTTAGGCAGCTTCGCCAGAAGGTTCCCGGAAAGACATGATGGGTCAGTACAGGCAACATGAATCGGATCTCTTCTGGACTGCCTAGGTCAGAACGAAAGAGCGATCGTATTTCTGCATTGGGGAAGCTTCGAAGTGAAGGAATGGGGTAGCGAAGAACGGTGAAACCTGGTAATTGCAGACAACACGCATGGCCCTCCATTGTCGCCTCCAGCAGCCACTAGCTCAGTAGAGAATGCCGCACGTATACAAGTCTGGCAGTCTGCTCCCAACCTACTTCTACTCCCCTCCACATTCAACCGACCACCTCGCTCGATTACACCACCCGCAGCACAACGCACCAAGACGTCACGAAAGTACCCCGCAATGTCTTCTCCTCTCAACGTCCAGCCCGCAGCAAAGAAGCGGCGCTTTGAGGGTGCTGAAGAGAGGGCAGCGATTCGACGTCTCCGCGAAAAAGCTCCTCGCGACAAGATGTAAGGTATCCAGCTTTTGCCATTTCGAAGGCTAATGTATCGTTTGTAGCACCGAAGCCAACGCGACCAATTCGCCTCTTCTCCGCTTGCCGGGCGAAATACGCAACATGATATACACCTACGTATTCGGCGACAACAATTGGAACTTCGTCGGCTGGACGACACGGAGGAACTCAGCCAAAGAGTACGACCTAGCGTTACTGCTCACCTCTCGTCAGCTTCATAAAGAAACTGCATTGCTTCCATATATGCTTGGAAGGTTTCATTTCAGAATGATGTACATGGGAGTAGAGGCGGGAGAAGTTCGAGTGGGTGATTTTCTCGAAGAAAGATCCGAAGAGCAGCTTGCAGCCATTGGTAGTTTGGCGCTCCAGAGTTATGATAATGACCGCGATCAACCTGTATATGTTCGTGGAACCGGAGAGTACTGGGCAGAAAAGCTAGCATGGGTCCAAGATATTTGGCTATCCGCCTTGCCTTTTGCTAAATGTCCTCTTTTTCTTTTCTGAACATATGGCGGAGGGATACTCATCGAGGTATCCTCTGAGCAGCGACATCGGCATGCCTGATGCATTAGCGGTCAATACCACACCCACCACGTACCTGTTCTCCCAATGACTTGGCCATGCGTGCGCACATTATGCACTCTTCAAACGCCAGATGGGCGGCGGTGAGGTGAATATTCCGCTTCACACCTCCGCGGTGACGCTCCCGATTGGCCAGAGCGGCGCATTCCTCTCGCACCTGCGCGCGCACTCAGGGCCCTCACCGTGAGTGGCCATGCATCGGGTGACGCGTGTGAAGGGCGCGCATCGACGCGTTTTGTTGTTGTTTTCTTCTCGTTCGCGTTCCGAGTTCTTGACTTCCTCTCACCACCACGACCACTCACTTTCGTGTCGGCGGCCAACTCTTTCCACGCGGGTGTTCTTCGACTGTACAGCTTTGCCAGATTAATTGTACCCCTTACGACAATTGTACACCTCACCCTGGAGCCTACATCGACGTTGTACGAGGTGCACATCCGCTCGAACCCACCACCGCCATGGCGCCAGCTACCGTCTCGACGCCACAGAAGCGCAAAGCTTCACTCTCGCACGCCTCGGCCTCGGCTAAGCGTACCCGATCCGTCTCGATATCCATCAAGGTCACCCACGCAGCCACCGATGATGGCCCCGGCAGCCCAGATCTCCCTGTCGTACTCAAAAACCCACAAGCGTGTCTTGGTGGTATACCGGAAGAGCTTCTACTGAAGATCATGGAGCATGTGAAGGAAGTCGGCCGTGACGACGCACTCTCGAAGCTGTGTCGTACAGATAAGCTCTGCAAGCGAATCGCGGAGGTGGTGATGTACAAGACCTTACGCGCCGTGAGCTCTACCAGGCACTACAAAAAGGCGGCGGCGATTGCCAGCAACCATCTCCTCTCCAGGCACATCCGCGAAATCAGTATCTTCTTCGGCGGGAAGCCCGTCAACAAGGATGCATGCAACAAGATCTTGGCCAACGCTCACGACATCCAAGCGTTCAACGTGACGGAGACATATGACCGGCCCGAGGATACACCGAAATGGTTGCAGATGTTGAACAGCGCTGTTGCGCGACCCGTCGGTGGTCATGTCAATCGATTTGCTAAGCTCAAGGAGCTCAATATTGCTTCCCGCCACCTCTCAGTGGAGGAGCTTTCCTGTGTGTTCCGTCTTCCCTCCCTCGAAACGCTTATCCTCTGGGAGATATGTCAAACAACACCTGTTGAGAACTGGTCGGTCCCCGAGTCGAGTAGCTCAATCCGGAAACTTCACCTGGTTCATGCAATGATGGACATTTCTGTTGTCGCACAAATGCTCCTCACGCTCAAGGCCCTCCACAGCTTTCGATACCACCGCAGTACCGGGAGGTGGGAGCCGTTCGCCGCAGAAGGCAATCCTTTGTCAATCTGGCCTGAGCACTCCTGGAAACTCCTGGGTGATGCGCTGAGGGGACATCGACACTCGTTAGAAGCGGTCTATGCGACGGACGATAGTGACAAAGACATCCTAGACCTGGTGTATCCTGACAGTCGGGACGTTGATACCCTGGGATCTCTCCGAGACTTTCCGAGGCTGAAGTGTTGCCATGTGCCGGTAGAGGCATTCCTCGATCCTAGGATCGGTGGAAATGATCGCTCATTGTATCTACCACCGCAAGTGGGAGAGGGTGGTACCGAGGCCAAGCCCGGTCGTCGAGGCTGTAGATGCGATTTTCGAGGGTCGGTCTGGTGTGCATAGTCGTTACGTATCTGTCGCGTCGAGTACTATGACGGGGAGGTCATCAAGTTGTTTGTAACTGTCGGTGTGTACCATAGTCTCCTTATCGACTTGGCTGCGTTTTGGGTCTGGTGTGATGAAGGTGCGTCTTCTACAAGTAATTAGTTCAGTAATAATGTATAATGGTTGCAAATCACCGCGTTACCAGTGTCGTTGTCGGGTTTGCCCACACATATTTTAGGCGTGTCTTTGTCTGATTGCGACAGCAGCAAGGTAACCAGTCGCCGACGCGTCGCTGTACGTGATTGCAACTCTGATCGATATCTTTGTGATAATGAGCTTCACCGCATGTGCACGGTGGCAAACATCAGCTAGAGATGCCTCGATCGTGAAGGTTGAGGCAAGCGCGCTCGCGTCGCGTCGCAACATGATGACGTAATATTGATTTCGATCTTAGCGTGGCGCGTTCCCCTCACACATCAGATCCACGACCTCAGACCTCGACATCTCAACCTCCGTGCATCATTGGCTGACACTGGTACTCAAACTCTACGCATTTCTGAGTAGACTATACTTTTTAATGACAGATATCGTGGCCTCTGTACGGCGCGCATCCCGAAGCCCAGCGTCTGCTTGTCCCTGCCTACCACAACGTTCGTGCGCTTGTTGGCTATCGCCCCTGTCGGAGTTGCGCGAATAATTGTTTCTTTCTTCCGCGCGTTTGCAGCGATTACGAAGGCCTTCGCTGGCCTTGGTCGCGCTCTACCGTATATCGTTGAAACATTCCTTAGGCGCGGAGGCCTTCCGCTCCTGGTAGGTACAATTCAAGATTCGACGCCGCCGAGCACCACTACGCGCAGACTAAGTTCGCACATTCCCTTTTCTATGATCCCCTTCCTCTTATCTCCTCTAGAGTCTGGCTGCGAACGCCTCTCGTCCAGGTGTTGTATATTGGTCCGCATGCCCAGACGCCTTGGAAGTCTTGGGCTCCGCTAGCGGGCCGTGGCAATGATGTTCGCTCCTTTCCCGAGGCCCTCCCGAGAGTACCAAGCCGGATATCTGTGGCGCACCATCTGTATACGAATTTCGCTGCTTGGCAACAGTACTCCACTCAAGAAGTGTATGGACACCTTCCCTATCAAGTTAGCGGAATTGTAGTCATGACCTTCCGCATAGAGTATGGATGCCAACGGATGCCCAGAGTATATTGCTGTACCAAGACGGTAACATGGTACTGAATGGTCGTGTGGCAAGGCAACGGTCGAGGGCGAGATCTTGCACCATGAGGGTACCACACTCATATATATACCTGTTGAAGTGCATAGGAAATGTGCTCATTCCAGCTCAATCCTTCTCTTAGCTCCTCAAGATGAAGTTCTCACTCGCTGTGTTGGCACTCCCGGTTGCAGTCCAGGCTGCGCACTACTCCAAGTCGGAGTATGCCTCTGGCGCAATTCATCAGAAGTTGATGAAGTTGAAGAGTGTACGTTCATACTTTGCTTCTTTCGCCTGACGATCAAGTACTAACAACGTCTAGGATCAATGGGAAGTTGACGCAGCCCAAGGCAAGCAAGACTCTCAGCAGTGGAAGTCTTTCAAGAGCTTGAAGAAGGGGCCTCATGGACCTGACAAGGCCAAGCGTGTCCAATGCAAGGATGGTCTCGCTATCGTCGAGCAGGGCAATGCGAACCAGACGTTCAGGTGTAACAACATGGACCTCTACGACTTTGTTAACCACGCCGACATGGGAGGCCCTGAAGGCCAGGGTAGCTCTTCATGGGGCTGGACCGCTCGCAACGGCCGTGAGTTCGGTATTGTAGGCCAGTTCTCCGGCGCTGCGTTCGTCGAGATTCTCAAGGACGGTCAAATCCAGTACATGGGCCGCCTTCCCGCACAAAGTGTGGGTTCGCGATGGCGCGAGATTCGCGTACTGAACGACTATGTCATCATCGGCTCTGAGGCCGTTGGTCACAACGTTCAGATCTTCGACATGAAGAAGCTTCTGACTGTCGACCCAAAGACCCCGAAGACATTCGACCCCAAGGCCGACCTCGTTGGTCTGTTCGACGAACTGCCCATCGGCCGCACACACAACGTTGTTGTCGACTGGGACAACGAGTACATCCTCGCTGTCGGTGCCCAGCCCCGAAACCAGACATGCAAGGCTGGTCTCCAGTACATCGACCTCAAGAACCCTAGCAAGCCAACCTCTCCCGGTTGTGCTAGCCAGGACGGATACGTCCACGATGCCCAGTGTGTCACCTACAACGGTCCCGACCGCAAGTTCCGCGGCCGCAACATCTGCATCGGCTACAACGAAGACACCATGACCGTCTACGACTCCACCATGAAGAACGGCAACCCCGCCTCTGAGGTCATCTCCACCCTCTCTTACCCTGGTGCTACCTACTGCCATCAAGGATGGTGGACCGAGCGCAACTGGCACCAGTACGTCCTCCTGAACGACGAGCTCGATGAGCAGGAAGCCGTCGGTCCCGCTGCGTCCGGCCGCCCCGTCACCCACATCATCGACCTTACCGACCTCCGCAACCCCAAGGCCACTGGTACTTTCTACGCCACCGACAGCAAGGGTATCGACCACAACCTCTACATCGTCGACGGCCTCGCCTACCAGAGCAACTACGGCGCTGGTATCTGGGTACACGATGTCCGCAGCATCAGCAAGGACCCCACCGGAAAGGGCGTCAAGACCGAGGGCTTCTTCGACATCTACCCCGAGGATGACTCTGTTGGCGGTATCGTTCAGTTCGTTGGTACTTGGTCTCACTTCTTGTTCCCCTCTGGATACATCTTGGTCAACACCATCGAGCGTGGTGCATTCACCGTCAAGCTCGCCAAGGGTCGCGGAGCTAAGCGCGGTCCGGGCTTCGGTGGAAAGTCCAAGGGCCAGGGCAGGTAATCGCCTTGTAAATAGTGTAACATACAAAATTACATCTTTATTACTTCAAGTTTAGTCATCGCTGATGTCCACACTTTGCATGCAAGGTTGTTGGGTAGCTGGTCGTCGCAGGTATGCTTGTCGAGCGGACGAGAGCGAGCTGTTGCACCCTATTCAAAGGAAAAACCGAACGCCCTAGAGCCTACATTAAGATAAGAGCTTTCGAAGTTAGCAGCCTAACGGCGACGTAGGCTCCTAGGTATTTAGTCTTTCCCTTGTATAGGGTGGTTGCAAGCGCATGCTAAGCAAGCAGAGCGCGGTTCACTTCTGTCTAAACCGACGTGCTGGAGGAAACAAGGTGAAAGATTCACGTGCTCTTGCCTTTGTCTTACCCAGGCGGAATGTTGTCGAACATGTCACTGCGTACCTGCGTCATTCCACTAGCGGCTCTTGGCGGGTGCTCTTGCCTTCTCTACTTGTTTACTCCCACCTTCTACCGCTCAGCTCACTCTAAATTCAACTCCACCGCTTCGTAAGCATCGCCACTGGTTGCAAGACGACTAATGGCGCCTACCACGTAAGTCACCTTCTACTCATCGCGCACTCCCGTCATCGTCAACTAACTTCACTTAGACGATCCGGCAGCAAGCGCGCAAGCGGCGAAGCTGTAGACACCAAAGTCACCAAGAAAGCGAAGCAATTCGTCAAGAAGGCTGCAAAGCCTGCGAAGAGTGCGGCGCCTGCGAGCGAAGCTCCGCAGTACTTCCGCTTCCTTGATCTCTCTCCAGGTATGCCTTTTCTGCTGAGTTCAGCGCAACTTGAATGCTAACGTCGCTTAGAACTGCGAAACAAAGTATACGGATACGCTACAGAAGATGACTCCAGCCGCTTTGCTCCACGACCCTGTCAGCTCCCCCATCATTCTGCTCGCGCCTCGCCTACAGAGCGTCCCTGGAAGTTCTTCGCTCTAACTCACGTCTGTACACAAGTCCGCGCAGAGTATCGTCCTCTTTGGGTTCGAGATCTCCGGGTTGCATTCTCGTCGACTTTCCAACTGACGGCCTTCCGCGACACCTTTCTACAATTCGAGAACGAACCCAAGCACATGCCGAAGCTCATACAGTACCTATGGGACCATGGTCAGGATGACGAGATGAGATTCCATCTGACGCCCATTCTTCGTCTGCATGCACACTCTCCGTCATCCCGATTGGCGATCGTTCCTGAGAAGGTTGCACTCGGAGTGGACGTGGAGAACGACATCTGTCACAAATGTCTGATGCGACATCGTCACAGCAGAGAATTCAGCATATATTCAGATAGCGAGGACGAGGACGACTGCAGCTGTCCAGACTTTGATATGAGCCAGAGCGAGTGGGAAGAGTTCAAGCACGACCAGATGGAGTATACTTCCGACATACCCGTGTTCGTCCACAACACGAACGAGGCTTGGATCAAAGCTGTACAAGAGCAAAAGGTGACCGCCAGTAGCACGTTCTGCCGATGGAGCCACCATGCCGTCTTCAAAATTCTCTACAAAGATCCAGTCTGCGAGACGACGGCTGATTCCCAACCTGCATGGGACTTGATGAAGCAATGGGGCATCCTCGACCTTCAAACCAAACGAGGAACAGACTTCATATTCGCGTACGAGGATAGGAAGACCGCAGAAAAGGATGGTTACAGCATGGCACACTCCGTTACACGCCAAATCGTATTTCGCAAAACCCCTCCGAAGATCTAAGGAATTAGGGATGTATGGGTGGAGATACAGTCGACTATACACAGCTTTGAGTCTACGTTGACGTTAGGTCACCTGCTTTGCAAGATTTTAGCTTAATGTAGCCTGCAGACCTGTTCAGCTTTCTTCTTGTATGAGGTGATGCGAAAGACATGGGTGGCTGCATCAGTATGGAATCCTCCTTCGTCTTGGCACGTTACTAGCTAATTGTTGCGCCTTCTTTCTTGACAACAATATTGACCAAATGACACACTCAATTTGACGCATCAGGCTGATCAACCGTTGCTTGCGAGAGGATAGACATATCATTTGCATGTTGTCGTCACGACATAAATCTGCGAGAAGTACATGTTACCAACCGAAGTAAAGTCATCACATCAGCAGAAGCATTTTTGATGCTGCATAGTTCAAGAAGGAGACAGATCGTTCACTATCGGACGACTAACAAAGGAAAAGGAGGGCGATTAACTGTCAAGCGGACCTCCACTCAGAAAACCTCCCTCGGTTTTCTTCCCCTCCTTCTCCTTCTTCTCCTTCTTCTCCTTCTTCTCCTTCTCCTTCTCATTATCTGACCCCACAAGGTCCTCATCGCTGTATTCAAGGAGGTCTTCCTCATCCTCAGCGACAGGTGTAGTGGCGCCTGGGAGTTCATCAGACTGTGAACTCGACTCTCCGTTCTCTGCCGGCTTGAAGCCACCGGTCTGTGGCATCTTTGGGGATGAAGAGAATGGGTTCTTACTAAATCCACTATTCTGTGGAGCTGGACGGAATGCCGTATTACTAAAGGCACTCTTCTGTGACTCATTTGAGGCTGGAGGGGGTGGCGTTCCACCAAAGCCAGGAAACAGTGGCCGTGGTTCTGGCGCTCCCATGGGGTTACCAAAGCCACTGTACTGTGGCTGTTGGTTTTGTGCTCCCATGGGGTTACCAAAGCCACTGTACTGTGGCTGTTGGTTTTGTGTTGATGTACCAGAAGTAAAGCCACCAGTCTGTGACGCCGGAGTCGCCATCACGTTCTGCATGTTTTCCACTTGCGTCTCGAGGTCTTGGATCTGGCGGTTCTTCGCACCGAGTGCTTCAGAAAGCAACTTTTCTTGGTCTGCTTGCACCTTCTGTAGAACCGACTGTTCAATCTTTTGTGCCAGCGTCTGATACTCCTCGTCGGTCAAGCCATTGACCCCTGGAGCCACATCATCCATGGGGACGTCCTCTTGGACGTTAGAATCTGCTTCAGCCTCTGCTGCGGCAGCATCTTTGCGCTCGCGCTTCAGGGCCATCTTGGCCTGGAACATGGCATACTGAGGATTAGCCGGGCCCCATTGTCGCTGGGACTCTCGAGCCTTTTCCGGTGAACGCGATCGGCCACGGCTACCTTGTCTGTGCTGTCGTCCGCGGGCGGGAGCGGGGGAGTGATACCGAGGTGGAGTGGGACTACGGTTTCGGTACCGAGGTGGAGTGGGACTTCGGTTTCGGTAATAACCACGTCGGTCGTCCCTGGTATCATAGGTTTGACGTCTGTCATACCCATAGGAACCGTGGTGACCTCTGTCGTCCGAGGGCCGATCGTAGTAACGATCATCGCGATACTCATTGCGCCTACCATCTGGGCGCGAGTCACGTCGGTCATCGTAGTAGCCATTGTCTCGGCGACTGTTATCCGGGCGCGAGTCACGTCGGTCGTCGTAGTAGCCATTGTCTCGGCGACTGTTATCTGGGCGTCTGCTATCTGAGCGCCTGCTGTCCGAGCGTCTGCTTTCTGAGCGCTGGCCACGTTGGTCATCGCGGCGGCTCTGGTCGCGGGTGTCGTTGCGGCGCGGATCAGAAGGCGCCTGGGACGGCCGTGGAGGAGGAGGCATCGGAGCAGCTGCATCTGGATCAGCAAGGCCTGCTGCCCTGGAAGCTTCGATCTGCTCTTGTTCTTGTGCCCAAAACTGGGGCATGTGTGCTTTGAACCAAGCAGCAGTGAAGACGTCCGGGTACATCGCGGTCGCAAAGGGACATATCCGTCCGTAGTGGTTTGCCTTGTCGCATATAGGACATTTTACGCCGCGATCACACTGCATTTTCTTGCGGTGATCGAGTGGTGCGTCCGTCAAGCAACGAGGGCAATCGCTCCACTTTCCTGTGGTGCCGGCCTGTTTGAATGACTTGGCAATTGTTTTGGTTGGTAATCTATCGGGTCGCCGTAGAGGCGGCCGGGGCGGCGGTTCCTGCATCTTTGTGATGGCAGGGGCGGGGGGTGTGGGTGTGGGTGTGGGTGGGGTGGGGTGTGGTGTCGATGGGAGCGCAAAGTCTGCGTGCCTGCCTACAATAACAAACAACTCTACTACGGCACATAGTTTCGCCGAAATCACCAGCAGCGCTTTTCACCTTTCACCGCATCGGAAACGGAGTAAGCGGCGCTTCTACTGCTCTGCTCCCCCGCTGCCTTGACTAAACGCGTCTGCTTTCTCCGTCTGAAATGATGCACCCCCGAGCTCTTCAAAGCGATGAGATGGTCACATTACCACGGTGACCAACTTACCTAGATAGTAACTTTTAGTCACTATTTTCATACTTTTGGGTTCAAGAAGGAGACGCACTTAATGTGATCGCGGCGCATATAGGGAGCTCGATGTTCAGTGAAGAAAAGAAAGAAACATCTTTTCTCTTATGAGTTTAAATCTTCTTCTAGCTGTTGAAAACGTATACGTCACCATATGAGTCCGTAAGAAATAGGGATCGCAGCGAGGATATAGTTCTAAGGTGTTGCGTAAGGGAAATAGAAGAGGCGCAGCCGCGTCGCTGGAAAGTGTGTAGTTAGCTAGAATATCAGGGATGAATACTTGAGTAGCATGCTACAAGATTAGTATGATGTCTAACCTGAAAGAAATATGATGTTGTTCCCTGAGACTAAAGAAGCTATCCATAGTGCGACTGACGTCTTCACACCACAGCAAGCAGTACTCGCACCAAAACAAAGGACATGCATGTGGTCCCGGTGGCTAAACCCAGAAAGCAGGCGATTGAAGAACTTACGTCTCTCAGCAGCGGTGCTGTCCGGTTCACAGTCATGTCGCATGTTTCTTTTCGTGGAATGAGGTTCACTTTCGCGGCACGTGCCAGTGCCAAGTTCTTCCGGGTGGTCGCTTCCATTCCATCAACCCTCACCCGAGACTCCTACATCACCATACAGAGTGCAGGCTTTTCCTGCATTATGGTACCGCCTACTACTGCGAAACGTCGCAGGACGCAGGAGTTGATTGACGATGATGCCACGCAGGATTTCATCGACAATGATGCTGATAGCGTAAGATCAACTGGCACCTGGGCGCCAGGCCCGAGCAGCCCAGCGACACTTTCTATGTACGGAAGTGTACCACGCTCACAACCTAGCCAAATCCCAGTGAACTCGGAAGAGAGTTCGCTGAACCCTCCCCACCGACCTCTTCGACGATCTGCAGTCAACGCAGCTTCGCCAATGCGCAAGCATGCGCGCATTGATCTCGGTTATGTCTCGGATATCGCGGAAGCGTACGATTCCGAAGACGAAGATGAGCTCGATGGCGAGGGTATCGAGGACGATCCACTAGACACGCAGATGGATGATGCTCCATTTGATATCCCCGAATGCCAGGATGTCGGCGATCTGGACGAACCCGAGCCAGAATATAATGGCCGCTTTGCGCAATTTGCTAGCCACATCGAGACACTCGGCTTTCTCCCTTTGATCGATGCAGCACGCATGGACGAGTATAAAAGCGGATCGATGTACGGCAGCGTTCTGACCAAAAAGGACGTCCAAATCTTTTGGACAGACATGTCCTTCCAGACCCTCTGCAGCATGCCAGAGAGAGTCGTCATCGAGCTCATCAGCGGCAACTTGAAACAGGCGTATGATTCAGATGTTGACCTTCGACAGACATTGGATGGCTTTGAAGAACTTGCAAAGTCACATCCGTGCATCTACGCCCGCTCCTTGACCACAGCCGACGGACAGCCGATGACAATCGTCCAGGCCAGAAGGCTCGTGAAGTGGCTGCAGAGATACGTTTCCGATGATCCAGAAATCGAAGAGCACTCGACATGCAGAGAAGCATTCCGAAGAATTGACGCCGAGTTCGGTAGCAAGTGGGCGCGAGCAAACCCTTCCGCTACACGTGCGTACCTCAGTTCCAAAGCAAGCCCCCGCTTGGAATGTCGTGTCGATAACGTACTGCTCTTTTGCCAGCAACTCCTCGCAGAATGCGCGAGGTGTGAGGCCGAGAAGATACTCTTGAAGCCTCTAACGTATATCGGCTACGCTGCGAAAGCTGATCGTCGCAAGCGACAACACGAAGCCTGCGGAAAGTCTTCCAACTGGCTGGCAACGCTAGTTCAAGCCACTTGCAACGTGTTATGGGGACGCGGAGTATTCAAGATGCACTTCATGGTCATCTGTCTTCTTGCCCATTCGCGGCAAGGTATGATAGCGGAGATGCTACTTACCAGGATCTCGAGGGCTTACTACAATATGGGCGGTGGCTTCTGTATTGACGTTGCAGGCAAGAGCATGGAGAGTCTTCGCTTCCAAGACAAGAATCACCTTCGGTGGCACGCCTACAGGAATTCAGTGGACAATAACACGCCTCTCGTCGCGAACCTGCAGCTGCAGCAGACGCGACTAACCCATTTCCTTGCAGAACAGAGCACAGGAGATAACCTTGTGCTAGAAGATGTTCTCTCGCGTATCCGCATGGCACAGACTATTTGCCGGTGTCTTCGAGATCACCCAAAATTCCAGGACGAGGAATGGCTATCGATGGTCAAGAGAGTGGACGATCTTTGGGAACTGGTGAGGGTAGAGTTCCCTCAGTATAAGTAGCACTAGTAGCGCAAGGCCAAGTTCTTGCTAGTCCAATGTGATACTCATTTGGTAGGTTGTACTTGCCGTTTTAAGAACACATCATTGCAAACGACTGTTTGATGCCCGAGCAAGCTCTCGCCACATGCATCGCGTCCACCATGAGAAGCCAATGCTACAGAATATGATACCGTGACGTGCCGAAAGAAGAGGTAGAGAGGGAAGCATGTATTGCTGAGGTCTTTCTCACTACATGATTGCTTGCAGTGAGACCGCACAACTACTTGTAAGCGCATGATCATTGCCACGATCGTGATCTACGACCCCCAAAACTTGACCAGCTCGTCCTCCGACAGATAACTGAAGAACTTTCGGCGACCCAGCTCTGCAGCCCAGTAGGCGCCGTTCCCGGTCCTGATCCGCGGAGAAAGTCTCCGCCATTCTACATCTATTTGGATCTTGCCGAGATTCTCGACCTGTGCCTTCGTCCTTGCCTTGATAAAAGCCGTCATAGCCGCATGTTCAGGAAAGATATCGTTATGGATGACGTGCGCTTTGCCGAAGTCGAATGTCGCGAGCTGGTAGGGCAGCAAGGAAGTTTCGTGGTGTAGCTGGCGACAGGCGAAAGGTAGTACCACGCTACCCACATAATCAGAGAACGGAGGGGCACGATAGATCGAGAACGTGACGGTTTCGTCGTCTAGCCACTTCATCCTATCCAGGTTGTAGATAGTATCGCTGAAGATATAGGTGTAGATCTGATTGCGAATCTCGGTGGGTAGACGGAGAAGTGGAGACTGGGTAGCATTGAGCTCGGTGCTACAAAGCTGTTAGTCATGGCACTGGCACCGAACATTGGAGAGACTCACATCTTGTCGAGCCGGTCGCTCTCGCACTCAGCTTGCTCTTGAGCGGTCGCCATTCCCTTCCCCATAGATGCTGACGACATTGGAGGTGACCTTGGGCGGTAGCGTTGAAATAGTGTATTCGAAGGAGACGAGAAGTGTGGTGGTAGAACGAGAGTGCGGGAGCAGTGCGGGAGTGAGATGGTAAGAGCCTTTGCCAAGGCTTGAAAAAGGCAGGCGCGCTTTTGTCGTTGCTGGGTGACCATGCGAGGTGAGTGCGAACTTCAAATTAAGTCATGCACAAGCTCCTGGTTTGCAGTCCATGATTTTGAGTATGTAGGATCTGGAGAATGGAAGTAGAGAAGTGATGGTTAGAGGTAAGGAGAGAAGGAACGAGGGAGAGCTGACGCTATTTATATATCGGTGAGGGGACGCTGCATGCTGATTACACGAGGTAAAGGCAGATGTTGATGTATGTCGGCCGTTACACAGACGCAGTCACCTCACCTTCCAGTTTCGACAGCCGGCTGTAGATAGGCGATTTGCACTGATGACCTGGCCAAGGCGATGGAATTTGAGTTACTGTAGTAACCAGAGAGTGTACAGCCGTCTCCAAGGATAGATACAGGAACACCATTATTATGAAAGGGAATATCCTGTCTACGAAAGCGTCGCCTGATCATCAGATGGCCCGAAAGAAGAAATATCGAACAGGTAACGTTCCATTGAGGTCATCTTGGCGTAGGAGGCTGAAAAGAATTCCAACTTGGCGACCCAGTATGCAGCAGTGTTTTGCTGGTACCAATAGCTAATCAACGTGTCCGACCATTGACAAAGCTCCACGTTAGCCATCGCATTGATCTGCTCACTCGTTCGCCTCCCCAAAAACCTTTTCAGGTTCTTAAGCCCTCGGAATACCAACAGTTCGGCCTCGAATAGGAAGGTACTGAGCGAGTAGGGTAGTAGAGCCGTTTCAGCATGCATCTGGCGACATGTGAGAGGTAATTTATCTGATGTCTGCTGCTCAAGCCATCGACCGCTGGCCATACGGCGATATTGATCGGAGGGCTTCGTCTCAAAACTTTCAAAATCGTCAAATTTGTAGATCATGCCGGTGTAGACGTAGGCGAAAATCATGTTCCTCAACTCAGCCGGGAGGCGTAAGAGAGGTGAACTGACAGCATTGAGCGTGGTGCTAGATTCTGTTAGTTATGTTGCACAAATAAGTGCTGCATCTTACATCTGATCTAGCCGAGCTTGGTCGCGAGTATCGTGAGCAGCTGCGCGACGTGATGCCCTGTCGTCTCGTGCTTTTTTCGCAGAATGCGTGGTAACGGGAGGGGTCGATGGGCGCTTGCGCTTGGCCATGTTGACTCCAGCTTGGAAATCTGAGGAGGATGGGGTAAGAGTGAGGAGTACAACAGAAGCAAGGGTCGAGAAGATTACCCAAGCTGAGCTGACCAATCAAAGTGAGGGTGACTTCTAATCTGAGCCGGCCGTCATAAGAGCCGCAGCTTCCACATCAGACAGCGGCATGTAAATAGGTGACGTCACTAACAACAAACACATCACTGCTACAACGGCTGACCTGCGCAATACTTTAGGAATCGTACCGAATTACCTGGAACACGAAGGCCGTACCGAGCTGGCAATTGCAAAGAATGCGCAACCAAAAGAAATCGCAAGTATAATATACTGTTGCTTATGCTAAGTAGGAACATGGAGAAGTCGTACTCTTGTGGCGTCACCTCAGCTTCCGATGTTCATGCAGATGTTATGGAAAGCAAGGGGATGATCAGGATTGATAGCATCCGAATCATAGCGGTGACCCGAGAGTTACAGCTAGCTAGATGAACAGGTAAAAGAGTAACACCGTGGAAAGAACTAGTCATGAGACTGCCAAACGTTATCCCAGGACGGCCAAACCCGCCCGTTGATACCAGATGGACCAATATAATAGACGTCAAACTACTCGCGATCCCGGACTCCTCAGGAATTCATCTGATCAGCACAGTCCGCAATTTCCTTCATCGTGGCGAGCCAGTTTGCAGCAGACATAGTTCGCTCCCAGTCTTTACGGCCCTCGTCAGACCATTGCTCGATTTTTAGCTGAGCAATGGCATCAAATTGCTGGTCTGTCCTTTCTCCTACGAAATCTTCCAACATCCATAGCCCAACATACCCTCCATTCTTTGCAACGACGTTGAACGAAAACACCCCAAGTTTGTACGGAAGTAGAGACGTTTCGGCATTGAGTTGACGACAGACGAAGGATAGGCAGGCTTCTCTCTTCAATTCAGATGGCGATTCATCATCCTCACGACGACAAGAACCGACTGCCTTTGCCTCAACATCTTCTCGAAACACATATGTCTTGTCGGCATAGACGTAGTGAAAGATTATGTTCCTCAATTCTGCAGGCAGTCGAAGCAATGGCGAGTTGACGGCATTGGAGATGCTGCTATAACACATTGTTAGTCAGATGTGCCTTAACAGGCTGAACAACTTACATCAAGTCGCGAGGATCATCTTGAGGAACTTCCTGGGCTGAATGACCTTGATCGAGCAGAGCTTTCTCTGGAGCGGCAGCCGGATCCTGCAGTTCCTTGAGGCGTTCCTTCTTGGTCGGCGGAGAGGTGGACGGAGACTTCAACGCGCGCTTGCCTTTCGCCATGGTGACCTGGGCTTGCTGTTTTGACGGGGAGATGGAGTGTGTGAAGAAGAGGTAGAGGAGTGGCAGGAGAGAAGAAGAAAGATGGAGGAGACCGTCGGGCTGGTTGTATGGAGAGGCGTCTTGAGCGCCAAGCGATGAAAATGAACGGTGAACGGTGAGTTCTAGTTTGGGCTGAAGATTCATCGTGTATTTGCAAACTTGCTAAACGCCAAAATGAGGTATCGTACGAAATAGAGAAACAAGACGTCTGGAGAAATGCAAAATACTTGAACCGGAACATGAAAGACCTAAAGACATATATACCATCCCACGCATATCCATAACAAATTATCCCCCATCCTGAACACAACAATTTACACCCACTTTTGAGACACCACAGCACTCTTCACCTACTGAAACCTCTCATCCCTATCAGTAGCACCATAGCCCGCAGGCTTCCTAGCCCTTCCAGTAACATCACTCCACGCAGCGCCGAACCTACGTCCAGTGCTAGCCAGCAGACCCTCCTCCTCTTCCTCCTCGAGATCACGATCAATCTGTTCCTGGTCGAGACTAGGCGCCTTGAACAGCGTAGTCAAGAACACGATGAGATAGACACCCAAAAAGGCGAACTGAGCCCAGAAGAGGACGACGCCGAAGAAGGGGAAGTTGATGGTGACACGGTTGATGAAGGTGCTGAGAACGGAGGGCGTGCAGACTTGCTGGGCAGCGGGGTTGGTGGCGAGTTCGCTGCAAGCCTTGATGAGGTCCTTGTGCTCGGTGCAATCGGGTTGTTCGTCCAGGCTGTTGGTCTTCATGTCGCAGTAGGTTTGCGGGCCCCAGGTCGCGTATTGGGGTGCGACGACCATGGCGACGGAATAGTTGATCGCGAGGGTAATTAGCGTGAGGAGGACGGTCGCCATGAGAAGAGCCTGGGGCGAAGTATGTCCCTTGCGGATCTTGAAGATGGTGATCCACAGGAAGCGAATACCAGCGGTCGCAATGCCGACGACAGAGGCGGAGAAGAAGAAAAGGACGAGGAGGAGGAACATAACATAGTCGATGGGGAAGACCTTGGCGGACTTGACGAGGATGTAGTTGAGTGGCTGGAAGATGTTGATGTGGCCGAGGATGTAGCCGCAGTGGGCGCCGCAGATGGAGTTCTTGGCCTTGTCGATGCCGGTGATGAGCATGCTGGCGAAGATGACGAGGGCGAAGACCATGAGGATGAGGCCGCCAATGAGCTTCAGCGGGCGGAAGAAGGCTTCGGTCTTGATCCAGGCCTTGACGATCCAATGACGGTCCTCGCCGCTGGACTCGGCAGCGAGGCGCTCGCGACGGATGAGGGTGCGCTCTTCGCGGACGAGAGCTTCTAGTTCGCGCCTGTCCCTGCTGTCCAGTCCGCCCTCGCTGCCTTCGTTGCGGCCTTCAAGCTGTCGCTGGCGCTCGCGGTTGTTCTCCAGCTGGGATGCGGTGTTTGCGGCGAGGGTAGGAGCTGAGACGGATGGGGCGGACTTGATCATGGCAACGGGGAGGAGGGCCATACCAGCACCGGTGTAGAGCACGAAGAGGACCGTTCCGACAGTGATGAGGAAGCCGAGGCCGAAGGACAGAGCGCGTTCGCCATCTGCTGGAATTAGCCAATGTCATCAAACAATGGAAGTTGCTGCTTACGGTTCTCCGAGAGAAGATGCTTGAAGTAGTCGAGGTCCAGACGCTTGTCATCCTTGGCCTGCTTCGCAAAGGGCACGAAGAAGCCGACAAGGAAGATTGCGACTACAAAGATGAGGAAGCCGAGAGTCCACTTGAGAGCACCAGCAATGCGCTGGCCAGCGGTCTGCTCGCCGTGCTCAGCCGCATCCTCATCGTATTCCTCGTACCAGAAGTAGGTAAAGGGAATGACGAGCAGACAGAGAAGCGCATCGAGCGAGTAGAGCGTGTAGTAGACGATGCGCAGAGTGTAGACAATGCTATCGACCTTCTCCGGTGTCGCCCAATCCTTCTTGCGGCCTAGACTAGATCTCGAGGTAGACGAGACGAGAGCGACGTCGACGGGAATGAGGAGGACGGTTGCGAGCAGGGCGAGAGTGGTGAAGATGCAGACAATGGTAACGGCCGCGGCGCGATCGCGCGGCTTCTGGTAGACATAGACGAATGTGGACGCGATGAGAAAGAGAATTCCCACGGCGACGGCGTAGGCGACCCAGATGAGAGAGGTCTGTATCAGCGCCATGTTGATACCAGTTGACAGCAGATGCTATCGCTGGAGGAGAGAAGAGGGGATTCCAGGTAGAAGCCGCCGATGTTTGGAATGACGTCTAGCGGCCAGAACCCTGCTTCGATCCTGCCCAGAACAGCTAGCATGGGTCGCACCTTCCCGGGCTGGAGCTCCAACACAACACGCTAGACAGAATCGCGCATGAGCTCTTTTGACGCGACCTCGGTCAACACCACGAATTCGCGCTGAGCTATCCCGCCCCACCCAGCACGACTACCACGACTGCCATGAGAAGTGCGGCAGCGACCTTCGACCACCACCATGCAGTGCTACACTGAGATAGCCCCGCCCACCGCCGTCAGCCATGCCATCAGCCTGCCCTTCGTGCACTCTAGGTCAAACAACCTAGTCGTCGCAAAGAACTCGCTGCTCCAGATCTTCGAGCTCAAGGCGACCACGACCGAAGTCACCCCGGGCGGAGGAAACGAGTCGGAGAATGCCGCGGCCAACCTCGACACAGAGGCGGCCGACGTGCCGTTGCAGCGCACCGAGAGCACGGCCAAGCTGGTGCTGGTGGGCGAGTTCCCCCTCGCCGGCACCGTCATATCGCTGGCGCGCGTGAAAGCGCTCAACACAAAGTCAAAGGGCGAGGCGCTGCTGGTGGCGTTTCGGGATGCGAAGCTCAGTTTGGTGGAGTGGGACCCGGAGACGTACAACCTCCATACAATATCAATACACTACTATGAGAACCCAGACTTGCCCGGCATTGCCCCTTGGTCCGCTGATCTCAAAGACACGTACAACTTCTTGACGGCAGACCCCAGCAGCAGATGCGCCGCCCTCAAGTTCGGCACCCACAACCTCGCCATTCTGCCCTTTCGCCAGCGTGATCTCGTCGAAGATGACTATGATTCCGATGCTGAGGCTCCCAAGGAGACCAAGGCCGAGCAGGCGAATGGCGAGCACAAGACGCCGTATTCCTCCTCCTTCGTCCTCCCACTCACCAACCTCGACCCTACCCTTACCCACCCCGTCCACCTCGCCTTTCTGCACGAGTACCGCGAACCCACCTTTGGCATAGTCGCTGCCTCGCGAACCACCGCCCCGTCATTACTCGCCCACCGCAAAGACACCCTCACCTACTCCGTCTTCACCCTCGATCTCGAACAAAAGGCCTCCACTACGCTCCTCTCAGTCACCGGACTGCCCTACGACATCACGAGAGTGGTACCGCTACCATCCCCAATTGGTGGTGCTCTGTTGGTAGGAGGAAACGAGATCATACACGTCGACCAGGGAGGAAAGACGAATGGCGTGGCTGTCAACGAGTTCGCCAAGGCTTGCACGTCGTTTCCACTCAGCGACCAGTCAGACCTGGCCCTGCAATTGGAAGGATGCCAAGTCGAGCTGTTGTCGCAGGACACGGGCGATGTGATGATTGTGCTCAACACCGGGCGCATCCTCATCCTTACCTTCACTCTCGATGGTCGGACTGTATCTGGAATGACTATCCAGACTGTCTCGGAAGACCATGGCGGTCAAATCCTCAAAGCTGCCGCTTCATGTACGAGCAATCTCGGCAGAGGGCGACTGTTCGTTGGAAGCGAGGACGGCGAGTCAGCAATGCTAGGCTGGACAGGCTCATCCACTCAACTGCGACGCAAGCAAACGAATGCTGATTCCGACGGCGACGAGGACATGTCTGACGAGGAGGATATGGATGATATGGAGGACGATCTCTACAACGATACAGCTCCAGCTGTTCAGAAGATTACCGCAGCTGTGTCCGAGCCCACGGCCCCAGGAACGTACACATTCAGGATACACGACATCTTGCCAAGTATAGCACCGATCAAGACTGCCGTCCTCCATCCTGGCAAGGTTACCGATTCGTTGAACAAGGGCGAGATCATGCTGTCTACGGGTAGAGGATCGGCTGGAGCCATCACCGCTCTTGACCGCGAGCTCCACCCCGTCAGTATCGCGACCAAAGAGCTACCTTCAGCGCATGGCGTCTGGGCTGTGCATGCTCGGAAGCAAGCCCCGGGAGATGTGACTGCTGCGTTTGGCGAAGACACTGAAGCCAACATGGCTACTGATGTGGATTATGACCAGTACCTGGTTGTCTCCAAGACCATCGACGACGGCACTGAAACTACTGTGGTCTACGAAGTCAACGGCAACGAGCTGACTGAAACCGACAAGGGCGATTTTGAGCGTGAAGAAGGCTCGACTCTCTTTGTGGGTGTGCTGGCCGCTGGCACAAAGGTTGTCCAGGTCATGCGGACAGAGGTCAGGACGTACGATTCGGGTAAGCCATGTCGTCCACATTATCAGCCTTCTCAGACTAACATGATTGACTAGAATTTAATATGGACCAAATCCTACCCATGGAAGACGAAGAGAGCGGAAACGAGATCAACGTCATCAACGCTAGTTTCGCAGACCCCTACCTACTCATCCTGCGCGAGGACTCTAGTGTCAAGATCTTCAAGGCTACCGGTGATGGAGAGCTTGAAGATGTTGAAGCGACTGGGCTGACGGGAACAACATGGCTTTCGGCCAGTCTGTTCAAGTCATCCAGTTTCACGGAAGTCTTTGCCTTTCTCCTGACACCAGAAGGTGGTCTTCGCGTGTTTGCCATGTCTGACATGGAGAAGCCGTGTTACGTTGCTGAGGCGTTGAGCTTCTTACCGCCGGTACTAGCGATGGATTATGTTCCTAAGCGGAGCGCTATCAAAGCTACCATCACCGAGATTCTAGCCGCGGACTTGGGGGATGCGACTACAAAGTCTCCTCATTTGATCGTAAGATACTATATCAGACTCACGTTCCTCTAGCAACTAACGATATCCAGATCCGCACTTCAAGCGACAACCTCGTCATCTACAAAGCTTTCCATTCTCCATCGCGATCTGCTTCTGAACTCTGGACTCAAAACCTGCGATGGGTCAAGCTGTCGCAACAACACATACCACGATACATCGAAGACGCAGGTTCGGAAGACCAAGGGTTCGAAAGTACACTCTTAGCGGTCAGTGATATCTGCGGCTACAGCACCGTCTTTCAACGAGGAACCACTCCGGCGTTCATCTTCAAGGAATCATCAAGCGCACCACGCGTCATTGGTCTTAGCGGAAAGCCTGTCAAGGGTCTTACATCGTTCCACACATCGAACTGCCAGCGCGGATTTGCCTACCTTGACTCTACAGACACACTGCGCATCTCCCAACTTCCGCCTCAAACACACTACGGTCACCTCGGATGGGCAACACGACGCATGCCAATGGATGCGGAGGTGCACGCCCTTGCCTACCACCCGGCAGGGCTATACGTTGTTGGAACGGGCCAATTCGAAGAGTACCAACTGGATCCCAGTGAGACGTACCACTATGAGCTACCCAAGGAGGACATGAGCTTCAAGCCCAAGATTGAACGTGGCGTTCTAAAACTACTAGACGAGAAGTCATGGACCATCATCGACACACATGTTCTCGATCCCCAGGAAGTCATCCTATGCATCGAAACGCTCAACCTCGAAGTCAGCGAAGTAACACACCAACGCAAAGATCTCATCGCGGTCGGCACTTCGATCGTCCACGGCGAAGACCTCGCAACTAAGGGTTGCATCCGTATCTTCGAAGTCATCACCGTAGTACCGGAGCCAGATCGACCGGAGACCAACAAGCGCCTCAAGCTCATCGTCAAGGATGAAGTCAAAGGCGCGGTGTCTGCTATCTCTGGACTGGGCACCCAAGGCTTTATGATCATGGCCCAGGGACAGAAGTGCATGGTTCGAGGTCTCAAGGAAGACGGCACCTTGCTTCCAGTCGCGTTCATGGACATGCAATGCTATGTTAGCGACTTGAAGAATCTGCCTGGAACGGGTATGCTGGCTATGGCAGATGCATACCGGGGTGTTTGGTTCACGGGGTACACAGTAAGTCATGCTATTACAGTAACTCGGCCATATGAGACATGATGCTAATAGCGAGAACAGGAAGAGCCTTACAAGATGTCTCTTTTCTCCCGCTCAAAGCATAATCTAGAAACCATCGCAGTGGATTTCCTTCCCTTTGACCAACAACTCCACCTCATCGTCGCAGACGCAGATATGAACTTACAAGTCCTACAGTTCGATCCAGACAGTACGTCCCCCATCCTCACTTCTAAACTTATGTATCCAAACACCCCCTAACACATCCATCTCACAGACCCCAAATCCGAAGCCGGCTCCCGCCTCCTCCACAAATCCACCTTCCACACCGGCCACTTCCCCACCTCCCTCCACCTCGTTCAATCCTACCTATCCCTCCCTTCCACAACCGACGCCTTCACATCCAACGCCAATCCTGCCGCCACCGACGAAGACGACATGGACACCACAACCCCCTCCCCACCATCCACCCAACCTCCCCTCCACCAAATCCTGCACACAACACAATCCGGCACCCTCGCCCTGCTCACCCCCCTAACAGAAGACTCCTACCGCCGTTTATCTAATTTGACGGCTTACCTCGCTAATACGCTCGACTCGCCTTGCTCGCTCAATCCGCGCGCGTTTCGAATGGGCAGCGAGGCGACGGGTGATGGCGGGTGGGATGCGGGGACTGGGGCGAGGGGTGTGCTTGATGGCAATCTTTTGATGAGGTGGGGTGAACTTGGGGAGAGGGGGAGGAGAGAAGGGCTGGGTAAGTATGGCGAGGGTGAGGAGGGGAGTTGGTTGTTTTGGGGGGAGAGAGAGGTACTTGGGGGATGGGGGGTTTTTGGGGGACGGGGACGATGAATCTGTTAGGAACAGTGTCAATGGACGTTAGACGTAGAAAAGAGATCAGTTGAGGATATTGATATGGTCTACTTTGTGCATGAGGATCTGGACTGCTGGACTGATGATGGTTGATTAGACTGGTGTCATTCTGGACTGCTGAAAGTCGATTACTGCTAGAATCCGCCTTTTCGCATGCTGGCCAAAATGTATATGTTGCTGCTGCCTTGACGTTGCGCCTGAGGCGTCTTCTCGGCCTTACTCGCGATCAAATTCTCCATGTGGCTGAGGCGAAGCTGCGCGATGGCGCAAGGCAAAAGAAGGGTCCCCTTCCGGCACCCGGAACTTCGCCAATCTTCGGCGATAAGAGCCCTGCCTGATCGCCCCCGCGCTGATTGGCTCGGCCAAAAGCGGTCATAGCGTACCTTCATCGAAGCTTCCCAAGCAATGCGCAATGCCAAACGCATGTTCTCACGCCATATGCAGACATTGGGACAGTGAATATCGGATTTTGCAGTGACATTCGATAGAGTGGAGCCTGCTGCGTAGTTTGGGCAGGCAGACGAGCGGATTCAGGCAATCTTGGGCTGGCGAGGCAGCGTGGAAGGGCATGGAATTGTTTGGAATCTTCTCTCGCTCGGCGCAGCCGGTGCATTTGCTACATCCCGGTTACTACTTTTAAGTCGACAAGCGTTCGCCCTCCCACGCACCCCAATATATACTGTGAACACGCACCTTGCCTCCGAGTCAGATACCCGTTCTCTTCACTTCTCCACCGCGAAGATTCTCCCGCGGCGACTTTAGGTAAGCGCCTTTTTGCTCATGGTGTCAGCACTTCGACGAGTTACCCGCGCCTTCTTTCACCTGCAAGGCTGAGCTGCAACCGGGCGACTACTGCGACTTTTGGCCCCCCGAGACTCGACGCTGACTTGATTTAAGATCTTCCCGACACCGCGACTCGGGCTTTCCACAGATCACCCAGAGACCCTTCTCTATTGCCCCTCAACCCGACTTTTACGACCCCGCTAGCCCCTCGTCTACGTTTCCACCAAACAACCACGAACCGCGACCATGGTCAAAGACACAAAGTTCTACGATATCCTGGGGGTAAGCACAATCAACTCCACGAACAAATAAAGGCGAGAAGACTAACAACCCACAGGTAGCGCCAGACTGCGCCGAGTCACAACTAAAGACGGCGTACAAGAAGGGAGCGCTCAAGTGGCATCCCGATAAGAACGCCCACAACCCCGAGGCCGCCGACAAGTTCAAGGACCTCTCCCACGCATACGAAGTTCTCTCAGACCCCCAGAAGCGCCAAATATACGACCAATATGGCGAGGAAGGACTCGAGCAGGGCGGTATGGGCGGCGGTGGCGGCATGGCAGCCGAGGATCTATTCGCACAGTTCTTCGGCGGCGGCGGCGGTCCCTTTGGTGGCATGTTTGGCGGCGGTATGGGCGGCGGACGCGAACAAGGACCCAAGAAGGCGCGCACAATCTCGCACGTCCACAAGGTCTCGCTCGAGGACGTCTACCGCGGCAAGGTCTCCAAGCTCGCCCTACAGAAATCCGTCATCTGCCCCAAGTGCCACGGCGCGGGCGGCAAGGACGGCGCCGTCAAGAAGTGCGCCGGCTGCGACGGCCGCGGTATGAAGCACATGATGCGCCAAATGGGACCCATGATCCAGCGCTTCCAAACCGTCTGCCCCGACTGCCAGGGCGAAGGAGAAATCATCCGCGACAAGGACCGCTGCAAGCAGTGCAACGGCAAGAAGACGATAATCGAGCGCAAGGTGCTGCACGTCCACGTCGACCGCGGCGTCAAGTCCGGCCACAAGATCGAATTCCGCGGCGAGGGCGACCAGCTCCCCGGCGTAGAACCCGGCGACGTAGTCTTCGAAATCGAGCAGAAACCACACGCGCGCTTCCAACGCAAAGACGACGACCTCTTCTACCACGCCGAAATCGACCTCCTGACCGCGCTGGCCGGCGGCCAGATCCACATCGAGCACCTCGACGAGCGCTGGTTAACCGTCGACATCATCCCCGGCGAATGCATCTCCCCCGGCGAAGTCAAGGTCATCCGCGGCCAGGGCATGCCGTCGTACCGCCACCACGACTTCGGCAACTTGTACATCCAGTTCGACGTCAAGTTCCCGGAGCGCCTCGGTAACAACGAGGACGGCGGGCCCATGTCCCCCGAACAGATTCGCGCCCTGGAGTCTGTGCTGCCGCCTCGTAAAGTACCGGAGTCTATGCCGCCGGCTGATGCTATGACCGAGGACTTTACGCTCGAGGATGTTGATGCTGGGGGTGAGGGCCAGCGCGCGAGGGGTATGGGCGGTATGGAGGATGAGGATGATGATATGCATCCGGGGGCTGAGCGCGTGCAGTGTGCGTCTCAGTAAGAGGTGTGTAGCGTCTGTGCTGGGGTAGAGATGGATTAGCATGATTTTATGATGCATGAATGGCAAGGAACGAAGTACGAGGTATGAGGTTGTAGAAGGAAGGAGATGTGGGCGTGAGAGGAGTTTTCTTTCTTGCATTCCATGGAGGTTTTCGACCTTGTTAGCTTTGCTGCCACGGCAAATGCTTCTGCGATACCAAAGAGAGTTTGTGTTTTTTACTTCTTTTACTTTACTTTCTGTAAACTGCAAAGAGGCATTGTTATAGCTTTTTTGGCTGCTTGCTAGTCAGATGGCGTTGCTTTAGACAGGTCAGTCAGCCTGGACAATGGCATGGTTTTGGTAAAGTCAGAATGTGGGGTTGGTGGTGAGTGAATTGAGATGTAATGCAAATGCGATTGTTCTGTGATACTTCTTTATGATGAATGCAAGTAGGTGATAGATGTGGTGGTTCGACGTGTGATGATTGAGGTGATGGTTTGACGTGTGAAGTCGCTCATTATGACATGTGATGAAGAGGGGGTAGTTCATGGATGATATGATTACTAGTATGGCCGAGGATACGCCTTGGGGTCAACATCATGGCAACGGGCGGATGGTGCATTCTCATGTACAACGCCATCTGCTCAGGGATAATGTAATGACTTGTTGAGTCGGGTGAGTAGTTGCGTGACATTATCGAGAGTTATTCGTGTAATTCTTCAACCACTCCAGCCAACACTTCGCACAATACGAAGATTCCGTAGCAGCCGTGTTGCTATTTGGAAGATTAAATTCCCAACTCACGTCCCGCATACGCTCAACTTGCTCCTGTGTCCGCCGATTCAGAAAGACTTGAAGGTCTTTCAAACGCGTCGTGAAAACTACAAACTTGTTGAGTGCGTATGGAAGTATGGCGACCTCGGAGTAGATTTGCCGGCAGACGAAGAGCAGAGAGGCGGATGGGTAGGGTCCTTTGCTGGGGGTACTCTGGTTGTGGGTGTCGACGGGGTAGGCTATGGTTATGGTGGAGTTGGACATGGTGTAGGAGAAGATTTCGTTTCGTATCTCGGCGGGGAGGCGGAGGAGGGGGGAGGTTGTTGCGTTGCGCTCGAAGCTATGACAGTCAGTCGTGGTGGCTTCATCTCAGGTAGACACTGACTTACATCGCATCCGAGAGATGGCTTTGGTGCGCGATCTTGGTTTCGGCTTCTGGCTGTATTGTGGAGACAGACATGCTGGAGCTGTCGCTTATGTGCGGGTAGCTGGTGGGGTGGTGTGTAGGAGTCTGGCGTAGATTCTAGAAATCGGCTACTGAACCGCGAGTGTGATGTATGAGCCTGGGTGTAGTGTGCAGGGGCGTTTGTATAGTGATGGCTGTATGTAGTAGCCAACTAACTGTATGTACCTAGGTATTACCTGGTGGTGGTCACGAGGTGAGTGTAGAAGGGAAGGAGCGCTGGAACAAGCAGCTGAGATGTATTGACTAGTCTGCGCGCTGGTCGCAAACGGTAGGTGAAGGTGGCAGTAGTCTTTTGAGATACTGCTGCGCTACTTTGCTGTTAAAAAGAACTTAGGTAACGTCGTTGCAGAGAGAAGCACACTGTGTACGAATACTCCGGGTGAAGAGACTATCGTGTCCGCCTCCTTCAGTGACGATGTCAAACTGACCACACACCTCGCCTCTATCGTCACTACAACTACTCCCGCCCTTCAAGCCTCCTTCCTCAGCATTTCCTTGAGAAACGCCATCCATTTGGCAGCAGACGCTACGTGCACTTGACGGCCCCAGTGGCTAAGCTTGCACATCACTTTGACCATGAGATCAAGTTGATCTGGCGTTCGCTGTTTCAGAAAGTCGCCGAGATCGGCATAGCGATGGAAGTTGATGAAGAAAACGTTGAGTTTGTATGGTAGTAAGGCGACCTCCGAGTTGATCTAGCGACTGACGAAGAGCAGAGGTTCACTATGGCGTGGCTCAGATCCGGCGATGTCTGTCTGCGTATTGTATTTCAGGTGTAGATTGATGGTTCCATGATACATGGCGTACTCAAAGATCATGTTGCGGATTTCTGCCGGGAGCAGGAGGAGAGGTGAAGTTGTCGCGTTGAGGTAAGTACTAGATGCGGGTGTAAGTGGTACTCGAGTGGATCATGTTGACAGCTAGCTCACAGCTCATCCAAGTGTTGCTCCATGACCTCTTGTTGCTTCATGTCTGGTTGCGCCCCGGTTAGAGACATGTTGGAGTTGTAGGCGTAATCGATGTTGATGAATATCTTCGATGGAGGGTGAGTGTGGAAGGAAAGAAGGATTTAAGCAAACGAGAAAGAGAGATGGATCATTCTTGGTAAGCGCGCTAGTCGCGAACGCCATGTGAAGGCGACTGAGACGTCTTTTGCGCCTACGCTACACCGCTCCGCCACTATAGAGCAAATGGAATGAGACCCGCTAGGAAGAGATGGAGATCCAAAGAAGACCAAGTCTTCTTGTCGAAGACATTGCCAAAGTGGGAGATGCATTACTCTCGCCTTCACAGTCGCCGTTTCGCCTGAAGCTCTTGGTTCGCAACCTCATATCCACGCTCTCATGAACTCGTTCAACTCCCTACGACGCTTTAGGTGCCGTCTTCATCCATTCAGTTGCAGACTGCGCGAACCTTTCAAGTTCACCAAGTCTCCTCACCTTCATCATTACACCAATCTGAGCTTGTGTTCGATCCTTGAGCAACCTGTGTAGAGTGGCAGTGGACCGCGCGATGAATCTGAGCTGAGCATCGATAGGTTCATGGACTATGGCGAAACAGTTTATTGCGTATGGGAGAAGTGCTGTCTCAGCGTGGGCTTGGCGACAGACGTAGAGGAGGTTGATCGGATGTTTAACATCGATCGCGCGTCCTTTGAAGATCCTGATGTCCTTGTGATCAAGAGCAAGCGCATAGATCATGTTCCTGATCTCGCCTGGGAGAAGGAGGAGAGGCGAGGTTGTTGCGTTGAGATGTGTGCTATTTGGAGAAATGGGTCAGCGTCGGTCTATAGATGTGCATCAGAGGCTAACTCACATGTTGTTCAATCGTTGTTCTTGTTCCGCGACCTCATCTTTGGGGTCCTCTTCGATCTTGATCTCTTCTGTCTGCGTTTCCGAGGAGGTCATGGTGGAGCTGGAGTCTTTGTGCTGTTCCTCGGGGAGCGACATGCTGAGATTGGGGTTGGTGCTTGGTAGCTGACGGAGTCGGATGGTGAGTGTAGAAGAGAATGAAGGATCAGGAAGACAGACATTTGTAATTGCTCGTCAGCGCGTTAGTCGACGATCAAAAAAGACAGGTAAAAGTAAAGCTGAGAGTTGAGAGCTGGTTCTCTTGCTTACTACACTACTTCGCTGCAAGTAAGAGAGACGTTGGGAAAAAGTAGTTCTGAACGACTGACTTCACCACCAAGAAGATGTGTATGATGAGATGCAATCTGGACGTAGAGACGGTGCTCGACTGCACATAGCATTCCATCTGCCATATGAAACCCTAGTCTCGACTCCTCCATGTCCTCGCGCTGCAAACCTTCAGTCGCTCCAACCATTCAGTCGCGGGTCGCGCTCCCAGACGCGTGTCCGGCTGCCTTCGCACCCTCGCCAGAGCGCCAACCTGTTCCAATGTCCGGTGGCCAAAGAAGTCCTGGAACGCGCTGTCGTTTCCGGAGACCACAAAGATATTGAGCTCGTAGGGAAGTAGCGCGGTCTCGAAGTAAATTTGACGACAGGCGTAGAGGAGACTAATGTTGAAAGGACCTGCCCAGTTGCGATGCTTCCAGCAGCCCTTACGACTGGGTTCGTTTATTATCCTGGGAATGACCTTCAGCTCGATGTCGCCGTGATTGAGGGCGTAGGCAAAAATCATGTTGCGGATCTCTGCGGGGAGACGAAGAAGTGGGGAGGCGGTAGCATTGTGTTGAGTACTGCGGTTATGTGTTAGTACCTACTCTCAAGAGCTTCGCATCCTTTTGAGACTTACATGTGAGCGCGCGCTTCTTCCGACTGCGGTTTGAGATCCATGTTGGCGTCGGCGTTGGTGTTGGGCGTTGCGGAAATAGTCCACCAAAGTTGATGTAGGAACGTGGAGGGATTGGAGTGGCCGAGATGTACTGTTGCGGTCAGTGCGTAGGTCGTACAAGGCAAGTGTAATTGGCTAAATACTCTGGATCATGATATTGGTGTCAACCATTCGGGCTTGAAGCGACTCGATGGGTATTCATTAGGGCATTACTAGAATAACAGAGGAAGCATCGATCGCTTTCGTAAGCGCGACCAATTCGGAGTCAGCCATCCATTTCATCCCTCCCTCAACCCTCTTTACCACTAATAATCCCTCCATTCCTCCGCCGACGTGTAGTGCTCCCGGCCCATGTAATTATTCCGCACGTTCTTCATCACCGCCCTCTGTGCCGCTGTCCTCTTCTCAATAAATCTCCTCGCATTCTGTGGTCGTACAGTCAAACAATAGATGCAGAATCCATTTAGTGCGTATGGAAGAAGCGCGGTCTCTGCATGAATCTGCCGACACACGTAGATAAGACCAAGCGGACTCCATGGTCTCATCGGACAACCAGTGTAACTAGTGAGTTCTCCGCGCTCAGGGCTGTAGTAGATAGTGATCTCGGAAAAAGTGAGGGCAAGCGCAAAGATCTGGTTGCGAAGCTCGGCAGGAAGACGCAGAAGCGGTGATTTGGCGTTTCGCTGGGTGCTGAAGTAACGTGTCAGTGTAAGTCATCCTCTTCCGTGATCGCAGGTAGCTCACATCCGATCGCAATTTCTCTCATATCGCTCATTTGACGCCAACATATTGATTAGAACGTTCCAGTCCATTGCCGTGAGGTTGGCCAACGGATGCTTGAAGTTCAGGGTTGTGGAAAAGTAGAGGAATGGGCCAAGTGAAGTATCCATAAGCGTCTACCGAGTCATTGCGCTACTGGAGGTGATTACGAAGCTAGTCCCATTTCGGTTGTACCCGCGAGGAGGCGCGACCACTGCACCTTGCCAAACCACCACCTCAAGGTAACAGAAATATACTCGTGTCCTCACATTCCATACTCTCAAGGACGCAAGGTCTCGGCCGTGGCAACCAGCGCTCCATCCAAACTTTCGCAGACCCCATGTATACCGTATGTTTGCCTCCAAACTCGTCAACAGACCATACTTTCTCCATGACCTCCCTCTGGATTGCGGTCAATCTCTCGACGAAGTGCATTGGATCATGCCAATAGTACCGCTCATACCCTTCTCTTATCCTCTCCCAGGGCCTGTTCAATTCGATCACCCATGTATTGACTTTGTACGGAAGCAGTGCGGTCTCGGCGTGGATTTGGCGACACACGAACAGGAGGTTGACGGGCCGCTTAAGGTGGTTGAGACGCTTGAGATTGCGGACTGGGCGCTTTTTCAGCTTGAAGGAACAAGACCTCCCCGAGAAGCTGATGGGGTTGTAGAAGAAGTTGCAGAATTGCTTGTAGTGGTAGCGATATTCGAAGCCTCGGCGTTCAGCTCGTTTAATCTTCCAACGATGAGAGCGCTCTGGAAAGATTATCGGGATGTAGCCGTGATTGAGGGCGAGAGAGAAGATGTGGTTGCGGATTTCGGGGGGAAGACGGAGGAGTGGGGATAAGGTGGCGTTGCGCTCGGTGCTAGCGAGACCTGTTAGCTGACAGTGTTGGATTATAGAAGGCTTTGACGAACATGTCGTCTCGACGTTCATTCAAGCGGTTCGTCGTCCCATACTTGGTGCGCTGCGTTTTCGAGGTCGACATACTGAAGTCGGACTCTGATTTGGCGAGCTGGAGGGCGAATATTTGAGATCAGGGGAGGAGCATGAGGCAATGGAAGTAAACCAGAATAGAGTATATACTGTTTGGGTCAGTGCGCTAGGTACGAAGTGACAAGAAGTGAAGGAACCTGAGTAGTATTATTCGACACGAATAAAAGGACCGCTCATTGACATGCAATCTTGCCATTGTTTGGAAATACCCAGAGCCTCCGCTGTGCCCCAGATGGCTCTTAGTACTTGGGAGCCCTCGTAGCTGGGAGGACAGAATTAAAAATCTCCAATTCAGCCATCACGTCACTCCAACCCAGCCTGACACATGGCCATCCATTCAGCCGCCGAGAACACCAGCTTCCTACCGCTATTATACGGGTATTCGCGTGGTACTGCTAGCATAGCTGCCCTTTGCGCAGGCGTTCGGCACTTCAGAAACTTGTGCAAGGAGATTGTGTGGATTTTTATACACGAAAATGTGTTCAGTGAGTAGGGAAGAAGGGCAGTCTCCACATAAGTCTGCCGACAAACGTAGAGAAGGTTGACCGAGTTCTTGTTCTTGAGCCAGGTGCCGTAGTTCCACTTGATATCTCCCTGAGTGAGGGCAAAGGCGAAGATGTGGTTGCGGAGTTCGGCGGGGAGGCGAAGGAGAGGAGAGTCTGCGTTGCGCTGGGAACTGTCGTCTTCTGTCAGTCACCGTTACTTGATCTTATTCGCGACGAACTCACATTTCGTCCCGGGCGGCGGCTGGATGAGACGCGATCGCAAGCTCGGTACTGCGGTCGGGAGTGGAATCGACGCTGTCGTTATGTGTCAGTGCTCATTCCCTCTTGACGGCGGCAATTGACGTACATCTCGTTGGGCATCGGGTGGGCGAGAGGCGCGAGATCAGGTTTGGCGCCTTCGGAACGCTTCTTCGGACTCGACATGCCGTAATCGTGGCTGGGATCCTGGTCACTGAAGCGGGCGTGTACGTTGGAGACAAAACGAGAGAGTGATGGAGGGGGGTTGAAGTTGTAGGTATTTACAATACGTCAGTGCGCCAAGCATAACGTGCGCGAGAGAAAGGCAACTATGACTCCTTCACTTCCACAAGAGACTTCCAACCGTCGCAGACCCTAAGTCAAGGTAGCTGGATACTCAGATTTCGGTCAGACCAATAGATGGCGGCCTCGTCCCCTATTGTGCATATACGCACTATCCATTCAGTGGCAGACATGAACGTCCAGTGGCGCCATCCGAGCATGTGAAAATACTTTGTATATCTCCTTGCCACATATGACATGACCTCGATCTGAGCTGACGTCCGGCCCTTGAGAAATGTGACTAGATTGCGGGAATCTTCAGTCCAGATTACGAATCTGTTGAGCTTGTATGGAAGAAGTGCGGTTTCGATATAGATCTGACGACAGACGTAGAGAAGGTTGATTGGATCCTTGTGGCGAGAGCCGGTTGTGCGGATACGTGGGACTAGATGTTCGAGAATGAAGGTTTCGTAGTCGAGCGCGTAGGCGAAGATAGTGTTTCGTAGCTCGGGGGGCAGGCGGAGGAGGGGCGAGACGGTTGCATTGCGCTCAGAGCTTTTGGCTGGTGATCAGGCTGACGCATTGTATTCTGTATAGTGACTTACATGTGGGTTCGCGCCAGCCGCCTTCGATACATAGTCTTCTTGCTTCTCTTCGATCGCTTCTTCGGTTGTGAATGACTCGACATATTGGTGGTAGTCGGTGGACTCTAGAGTCGGTTGACACAGACTCAATGTTCAACTGGGGGAAGAAGGAGGAGAGGGTGGTATAAATATAGCGGGTTATTTGATCAGACTAGGCAGCCACGGAAGGACCCCCGGAAAGGTTCCTTAAAGCCTATCATAAAATCACGCTCGAGAAACAGGTCGGTAGTAATGAGCAGGAATATTCTGATCAAGTAGTGTGGAGGATCTCGATGTCCAATTCGTGAGCGATTGCGGATCTGAAAGTAAGGCGTGAAGGTATACGGTAACCCCTGACATTCCCTACATCCATCAAGAACACACCAAAGTTATTCAAGCCAACTTATTGTAGCTTCATCGAGACAATGTCCAATCCTTCAAGTAGCGCAATCTCAGGTTGCCTACCAAGCCGGCTCAAGCTCACTGGCAATCTTCTCCATCCACACCGTCGCCGCCCGCACTTCTTCATAATCCATCTGCACCTTGTCCATCACCTGCATCTGAGCCTGAGTTCGCCTACCCAAGAAATTCTCAAGAGCCACTAAGGGTATCAAGCCCCGAACACTGAACGTGTTGAGCTTGTATGGGAGGAGAGCAGTTTCCGCGTAGATCTGTCGGCAAGTGAACAGCAGACCGAAGCGCTTCCGGATCGGGTCTTTCCTCAACCTGCGCTCTAGACAAGTCGTTCCGAGATGGGGAGAGACTGTCCCGTGATCGAGTGCGTAGGCGAAGATAATGTTCCTAAGCTCGGGTGGGAGGCGGAGAAGCGGTGACTCGATGATGGCTTGCGGAGCGCCGTTGACATCGGACTGTTTACTAATTCTCCGTGTCAGTAGGAGAGGCCCAAATGCGATGTACGGCTCTACTGACGTCTTGGGGCTGGATATCGGCCACATCTCTGGATTGGTCATGTTGTACGGATGGGTGATTTTGGAGAAGATGTGCAATGATTCGCTGATAGTCGTGGGTAGGACTCGGCGGGGGGAGGGTAAGGCAAGCGACCTACCTAGGTAGGTCAGTGCGCAACACGTGACGGCCAAGTAAGGCCGCATTTGGAGCATCGCATCCAGGAACAACTAACACTGTGACGCCTACGTTGACGTTGGGTTACCTAATTCGCACGTTCAACTCTTGAGGCATGCTCCAGACATGTTAAGGCTTTTCCTTATATTTAGCAGGGTTATATAGCTATGTCAAACCCTCAATATGACCTTAGGCTTTCGTTAATCTGTGGATCTCTTCAAAGTAAAACTTGAGGTCGTCTGGCTTGACGAACGGTGTGATACCTGCGAGCTGTTAGCACGATGCGGCACGTCATGTGACCCATGGCTTGACTTACCGTGTCCAAGGTTGGCGATCCACCCCTGCTTGCCGCCACCAAACCCAGCGACCATCTCCTCTACCACCTTTGTAATAGAGTCCTTGGTACCGTACAAGACACCCGGGTCCGCATTACCTTGAAGCACCTTACCCTTTGCCTGCGCAATCTTGTATGCTTCCGCCGGCGCATGTAGCCAATCGAGACCGATTGTGTTGTACTTGGTGTCGCAAAGATCCGACAAGGCGTACCATGCGCCTTTCGCGAAGACGGTCATAGGAACTGGCTCGAGGCCCTTGGATTGGAGACGCGCGGGCAGGTTGTCGGCGATGTAGTTGAGATATGGCAGAGCGAAGGTTTTGAAGGAGGTTGGCGATAGCTCTCCTGCCCAGGAATCGAAGACTTGGATCATCTGCGACAGTCAGCATCGGACCGATGTGTTTTGGCAATGCCACGTACCTGTGCACCAGCCTGAACTTGAAGAGCCAGGTACTCCACGCAAAGCTCGGCAATCTTCTGCAGCAGCGCTTTGCTCTCCTCGGGGTACTTGTAGATCCATGTCTTGGTCTGGATGAACATCTTGCTGCCACCGCCTTCGACCATGTAGCACAGCAATGTCCAGGGTGCGCCACAGAAGCCAATCAGCGGCACTCTTCCTGCCAGCTTTTGCCTAGTCATGGTGATGGCCTTGTAGACATAGTCCAACGACTCGGCAACATCCACCTTCCTCTCAAGAACCTCCTTGTACTGCTTGTCCTCTGGCGTTTGCAGCGGCTCGGGGAAGTGCGGGCCCTTCTTATCCACCATTATGACCTCCATTCCCATCGCTTGCGGAATGACGAGGATATCGGAGAAGATGATGGCGGCATCGATGAGGCCTTCGTAGCGCTCAATGGGCTGGAGGGTGAGGGTGGATGCGATTTCGGGGCTGCGGCAGCATTCGAAGAAGTCGTTCTTGCCTTTCGCCTCGTGGTATTCCGGCAAGTAACGTCCGGCTATGTGCTGTCAGCATTGGTGAGGTTTCTTGACGATGTATGCTTACCTTGGCGCATCACCCATATCGGTGGGCGCTCGACCTTTTCGCCTGTTGAGTGTCAATACGCTGTACGTTGCTGACCGATTGAGGCTATTGACCTCGTGCTGTGCGCAGAATGAGGTCATTCTTCATGGGCTCGAATTGGGGTGCCATTGTTGCTGTGGATGGTGTAAACGTCGGACGTCAATGACATCGGCGTCGTAACTTTGTGCAAGCTCCGGATACCCCGCGCGTGCAGATTGGGCGCTAACCGCATCGAGACGCGTTCCTGCATCTCTACCACCACGCTATCCCCACATCTCCCTGACGCCAAATTCATCCGAGGATGCTCTCCAGACATGTCCGATGTTTGACGCGTCATGACCTGGCGTGCCGAAGAGCTTCACATCAGCTCAGCCGGAGGGTTTGCAATGCCGCTTCTGTCCGCCCACTCTCAAGCTTGACGCGTCCGATCGCGAAACCACGTGCAACACCATTCGTCGGTCAAGCATGCTTCCCGGTGTCGCAATGTCGTGGCGCAAAAAGGAAGTCTGCCGTGACACTTGACGACCTCCAACAAGGACCTCTGGAGGCCGAGGCACTACCACCCCAAGATGATGCCGAACCGGAATACCCTCCGCTGTTACAGCAAGTGCGCAACAACATGCTCAAGTTCAGTCACTGCGTCTTAGTCACACGCGTCGGCGGCTTCTATGAGGCAAGCATGCAGGTTGTGCGACATGTCCCGAGCTAATGCAGGCTGCAGCTGTACTTCGAGCATGCGGACGAATTTGCGCCCTTGCTGAACATCAAAAAGTCCAAGAGGAAGGTTTCAAGAGGTAGCAAGAAGCCCGCCGTCTCTATGGTCAGTAGTTCAATTTGGCGACCTATCATGAAACTGACACCGTCAGGCAGGCTTCCCTGCATACCAACTGGACCGGTACCTAAAGATTCTCGTCCAAGACCTCAATAAACATGTCGCTGTTAGCGATGAGTATCTCAACGATGCCCCGACAAGGGCAAAGGGAGAGCCACAGTACACAAGGAGAGTGTCACGCATCGTGACACCAGGTACACTGATCGATGAGCATTTCATGGACCCATGGGAGAACAACTATCTCCTCAGCATCTATGTCAATCCCGAAGTGCTCACGCAGGAAAAGGCTGTGAAGGAGAGTCCTGGCAGTTCCAGTGTCTCCTCTGTTCTCAACTTACCCCGTACGGAGGTCGGCCTGGCCTGGATTGATCTGTCAAGTGGCGACTTTCTTACTCAGAGCACAGATATCGCATCCTTGCCGTCCGCGGTAGCCCGTATCAAACCCCGAGAAATTGTACTAGACAGCATCTTTCAAGAGCAGGATCACTCACGTATCGCTTCGATCATGCAAGAAGACGGACATGTCATCACATTCCAGGAACCCTCAGAAAAGCCGCCCACCATCGACGATTGGATACCGATGTTGGAAGACGTCGTGGAAGACTTCAACACAGCCAACTTCACGCCCGGTGAGGTAGCAGCGGGAGGCTCGTTGTTACATTACGTCAAGCATCAACTCCTTGGTTCACGGACACGACTGCGCGCGCCAGTACGACATCAAGCCGAGGAGTACATGAGTATCGACAAGAACAGCTTGAGAGCGCTAGAGATCCGAACCACAATTCGCGAGGGTACTTACGAAGGAAGCTTGCTACATGCACTCAAGAAGACGGTCACCAAAAGCGGTACTAGACTCCTTACTGAGCGGTTATGTAAGTAGAAGCACGCCAATAACACCGATCCATCGCTAACATATCCAAGCGGCGCCGTCGATGTCGTTATCAACGGTCAATGATCGACTTGACCTCGTAGAGGAGACCATGCAGTACCCGCAACTCCGTCAGGACATCATCTTACTCTTGGAGCAAACTTTCGACTCTTTACGATTGGTCACCAAGTTCACATATGGCCGCGGCGACGCGGATGACCTTATGGAGCTGTCGAAGACCATCCTTGTCACCTCCAGCATAGTGGACGTCCTTCACGAGCACGCAACTTCGAGGAACTCTGTTCCAGTCGACACAGCTCCAGCCACATCGGATACCCGAAAACGACAGTGCATTTCGATGTTAGAGCGTCGATTTGATCTAGCGCAACCGCTTAAACTCGCAAACCGCATACAGCATGCGATCGACGAAGACGGTCTCTCCGAGTACCACCGCATGGAGAACGAAGATGCGGAGGAAATGTCCGATTTGGCCCAGGATGTGATCGGTCGCGAGGCTGGAGAAGAAGATCTGAAGAGCTTACCGAAGCGCGTTCAGACGAAACTTACCATGATCACTGGGAGCTTCAAGAGTGCGACCGATGGACGGGAAGATGTTCATATCATGAAGCGCAATGCTAGCGCGACACTTGAACGCCTTCACAAGAGCTTGGACAAGATGACAGAAGCAAAGGCCACTTTGGAACAAGAGATGCGTCAAAAGATGGGTACAGAAAGCTTGGTGTTGAAGTGGACTCCGAACCTCGCGCACATTGCTCACGTTAAGGGCAAGGACGCAGCTCGCGCTACTACCTTTTATCCAAGAAGCTTGAGTAGCAGCAAGTCTACCCGCTCGTTTCAGATCCCGGAGTGGACTTCACTGGGCGCGCAAATGGACGAGACACGATTCCGGATCCGATCAGAAGAGCAACGTGTTCTCGGTGAGCTGCGCGAAGGTGTCGTCCACAACCTTGTGAAACTTAGACGTAACGCCGCTGTGCTCGATGAGCTTGATGTCGCATGCGCCTTTGCTACACTCGCGATGGAGAAAGATCTCATCAGACCCATACTGAGTGCAGAGCCATCGCATAACATCGTCGGTGGTCGACATCCTGTCGTCGAAGCCGGCCTCAGCGAACAAGGCCGCAGGTTCGCCCCCAACGACTGCCAACTCGGCGACCATGAGCGCATCTGGCTCATCACTGGCCCAAACATGGCTGGAAAAAGTACATACCTCCGCCAGAATGCGCTCATTTCCATCTTAGCGCAGACCGGATCTTTCGTCCCGGCAGAGTACGCAGAGATCGGCCTAGTCGACAAGATCTTCAGTCGCGTCGGCTCAGCAGACAACTTGTACCAAGATCAATCCACATTCATGGTCGAGATGCTGGAAACAGCGCAGATTCTCAAAGAGGCCACGCCTCGCTCGTTCGTCATCATGGATGAGGTTGGGCGGGGTACCACACCCGAGGATGGTATTGCGGTAGGGTACGCCTGCCTCCACCACCTCTACCACGTCAACCAATGCCGAACACTTTTCGCAACGCACTTCCACGCGCTCACGGATATGACAAAGGACTTTGCGAAGTTGGGCTGCTACTGCAACGATGTCCTTGAAGAGCCAGACGGCAAGTTCTCATACGTGCATCGGCTGAGGAAGGGTGTCAATCGCGAGAGCCATGCGTTGAAGGTCGCGAGAGTTGCTGGCAAGTCGTGCGCTTCAGAGTTACAGTTTTGGAGATGGTAGCTAACGAATACAGGTCTTCCTGAAGATGCCGTCGCGATCGCAGCGAAGGTACTAAAAGAACTCAAAGGACGGACGAGCGATGTTGAGGTAGCTTCCACAGCAGCCTAGCGACGACATTGGCTCAAGATGTAGATAGATGCAACACGGATGCCCACCCGGGAGCTCTCATTGCACGACGTCTTGTCATAACCGTTGCCACTTCTTACATTGTAGTCAGCAAATGGTCAAAACATTCGGCGTCCTATTCTAATGTCGCAAGCGTATGCTTCTGACAGACGTACCTATCTTGTATCGCAACGTCATCGACAGGAATAGCAATAACCGGCAAGACAACTATCGATTTGGTGTTACTATGCGCATGCAGACCTGGATGGGGTCTAAACCGTCTTGTCTGTCACGGATTTGTGACACCTCGCTTGTATTGATGACGCAAGGCTTGGAGGCCTGGAATTCAGCGTTGAGGGCCCGTTCCTCTGCAGAATCACCACCAATTCTGAACCATAGGTATGTTGGTCCATCTTAGGTCCCAGGTTTCGAGGATGTTGTCGCAGACATGGCTGATGCTGCCTAGATGTAGAGAAACGCCGTAAGATGTAACGACAGCGCGGTAGCCGTTCTTGGTGCGGTACCAGCCAGTGTACTTCTTTGGAGTCGTGCGTGAAAGGCTGGGGGCAGGTTAGATGTGCATCGTGATGTTGGGTATGCTCGTCGTTGGAAGGAGATGGCGACGTCGAGGAAGAGGACTAACAGACGCGTTGGATATGAACGCTCCAATTTCATGTGGACGAATAGAATTCCGCGCTCATAACCTTGCACACCGGCTTCTCCGTTTGCACCTGACTATGCACGGAGAGTCCACGTGACATCAACGTATCCCGCTTGGCGCTGTCTCCGCGTGGGTTTGGCGACACACATACTGTCGAGGAGGTTGATTGGATGCGATGCATACCTCGGTAGCCTGGCCAATGCGTGCCTGGTCCTGCGCAGACATGTATGCCCTGCCTGCGTCTCTCTGGAGATAGATGTAACAGCTTTTAATGCGATTCTGGCAAACCCCAAATCTAACGCTCTTTCGCATTCAAATCCCCTTGATACCTACTAACATGCCACGGACCACACTACTCCAGCTGCAATCAACCCAATCGCGTCACTTCATCTATGAAGCATCTCGCACATGACCCAGAAAAGTCCCACCTGCACGCGTCAACAACGCTATCGAGTGTAACAGCACCATCTCGTGATGCCGTGCGATGAGCGCGGAATCGCCCAATTTGGTTCTTACAGAGGGGTTTGCGCGACACGAGCAATCTACATGCGGGAGCGATCGACTTCATATCGAGTCGGTGTTACATGAGAAGATGTGGGAGGACGTGGTTGTGCAGGATCAAGACACGCGCAGATGCAAGCTAGCATGCGAGGGGCTCACATAGCTGATGAGCGCAGGATTGTCTGGTGGTTGATGGGATGTAGTGACTGCGGGAGCAGCGGTTCGTCGTTTTTACCCCACACTTACCCGTCTGCACTCGTTGAGGAAGGTGTCAGGAACGTTATTTCCTTTGTTCGACACAATCCCATTGTATCCGCCATTATCCATCTAATTCTACCTCCACCAATCCACCCTTTTCCCTTTTAACAGAAAAAGTAAACATCGCAGTCCCGACAATCATGGGTGGCGCGCCCGTTACCCCACCATCGTCATCGCTGGCGCAGGCCCCACCACCGCAGCCTCAAATCATAACATCGGATATCACACTCCAGGCGCCGCTTTCGAGGCGAGGGAAAGGGCCGGGTTTGGTTCTGGTGTTGAATCATTATGCGGCGAGGGAAGCGAAAGAGGGGTGTTTGGATCCGCCGCCGCTGAAGAAGTGGGCGGAGGAGGGGTTCGCGGTTGTGCAGGTATGTTGCTATGTCTTGGTGAAGTGGGCATGAGGATGGACGTATGGAACATGTCGCGTGATGAATGACAGGAAATGTGATGGCTTGGTCGAAATACTGACTGTCTCGCAGCTGCTGGTACCGGGCAAAGTCGATGGCGAGTTTCCTCTCCAGAAGGCCTTGGACGTATTGAGGGATTGTGAGCAATGCGAGTTCGGCAACGGTGTTGGACTGATATGTGCGTCGACTCTCACTCGCATCGTGTACAGCCACCCTGGCCGCATACTGACAATCGTTACCAGCATATCTATCAAGGATTCCCTACTATCTCGAAGAAGCTGCCTGTCAAAACCCCGCGATCAAGGCCCTCATCTCTTATGGCGGCAAAAGTCTTTCCACACTAAGCTCGACAGCACTGCCACCTCAACTAATACACGTCGCGGGGCTACCAGACCCTCATCGCCGCGAGTCATGTTCATTAGTTCCAGAATCATCCTCGGAGAACGCAGTGCCACTTCTGGAGAACATCATCAAAACTTACCGGTACGAAGACGCGACAAAAGATTCTGAATGGGTACTTCCAAGCGACGAGTACTACAACAAGCGAGGCGCGGGCATTGCGCACACGAGAAGTCTGACTTTCTTGAAGCCGCTGCTTGGTGGCCCTTTCTTCGATCTGGAGGCTGTCTGGGAAGAGCACACCAAGTTCGAGTTCGGCGAGAGGGATGTGGAGAAGACGATGGCTACGATGGTGGATCAGCCATATGTCAACCACATCCCGACTATGACGTACGTATCTCTTAACCACCATCCTCCAATATCCGCATTGCAGGTGGATACTGACCACCCACCAGCGGAGGCGTAGGCCAAGAGCGACTGACGGCGTTCTACACGCACCACTTCGTCTTCAGCAACCCACCCGACACCGCCCTTGCCCTCGTTTCCCGAACCGTAGGCATCGACCGTGTGATCGATGAGTTCATCTTCACGCTTACCCACACCAAAGAAGTTCCCTGGCTGCTTCCCGGTATCCCTCCCACCGGAAAATCCTTAGCCATTCCGTTCACCAGCGTCGTTGCTATGCGCGGTGATCGACTGTGTCATGAACACATCAGCTGGGACCATGCGACGGCGCTGAAACAATTGGGTCTGCTTCCAGAGTACGTGCCTTTTCCGTACAAGATCGAGGGCGCAGCGCCGCCGGAAGGGAAGAGATTCGAAGTCAGACTGCCAGTCGTGGATATAGAGGGGAGTAGGAAGTTGGCGGATGAGAGCTGTGAGGAGAGCAATGCGTTGATGAGTGGACGGTGGCGGATGGTCGACGATGTATGATGGCAGCGAGGTTGTACGGACGCCGCCTAATCTCTAAGGGACATATCGGAGGTACGCAAATATGATAACATAAAGGCCTACGGTCTTGCGAATACAGTACCTTGAACTGTGAACTGGTGAGATTAGATGCCCACGCACGCGGCGGCAAGTAAGTGCCCAACAACTATATATACATGCTGTTGCTCGATCTTGCCAAGGGGAGACATCAGCTTGAGGACTACGAGGTGGTGTTCTGACCCTGCGCGAGGCCGACAAGGACTTATATGCCTCAGTCCTTAACATCTGCCTTGGGTGTCCGCCGTGACAGGTCGCTTTCTTCCTCAAGCAACGCCAGTATATGGTGAAGACTCAATGAAAAAAAGTAGTTTCGCACGGCGATGCATCGTGAGCGGACTTGCCATTCGATAATGACATCAACACCGTAACGAAACGCATCCCAAAGGACACAATCATGAGGATCATGGCTGGGGATTGACCGCGAAGAGGAACCAGCCTCATTCGCGGTATGACACCCAGTGGACAGAGAGACCCCCCCTGTGATTCCACCTTCTCTAAGTGCTAATCAGGGTCCACGCTCCGGGGCGCTTCACCATCTTGCAGACCGCAAACGAGATCCAGCTCATCTGCTTTACCGGGATTTCTGCCCCGCGAAGAGTTGCCGTAGTCTCACCGACGGTGCATCGAAGACGGGGTCAGCCGTACCGACAATGTCGTCGCCAGTAAACGTACACTCAATATGCGTACATTTCCTAGTCGTCCAAGTGTGAGCAAAGCGGACCAGCTACTCGCCTTTCCCGCACACTGCATCGCTCGCACGCTGGACGTAACTGGATACCACTTCGGCGAGCCGGAGGCTGGGGCTCAGGCAACCGGACTCATTCCTAATGTGGACGTTGTTTGGGATGACGAAAGTGGCGATGGGAAGGTCGCAGCCTCGGTGCTTGATGTGTTAACATTACGGGAGGGAGTTGGAGGGACTCACAGTGAGGACGCGCCATCGCACCTGAAGAAGATAGGAAGCTCAATGTGCAGGCGCGCGCGCTCTAAAGTTGAGCCGGCGGCGAGTGCCGCCGTTGGGTGTCGGAGGAGGAAAGAGAGAGAATGGCGGCCAAGTAGATAAGCTGGGAAGCTTGGGCCATGTGCTAGAGTCCCCCAGCCTCTGGCTGGTATAATGTCGCTGACGGCAGAGGTGAAGGTGAAGAGGTGATGAGCGCGGACATTGCGGAAGCCGCCCTCTCATTGGTCGCGCCCAGAGAACATTCGTAGGACCAATACAAGCGCCGTGCAAGATCACACGATAGAAAAGATCATGGAAGGTCGGGCTGCACTGAGACATGCCTCAAGGCAACCTGTGGTAGACATGTGGGCTGGCAGCGGCTGCTTCACCGCGGCGTCTAGATCTGCCCAGATTATTGACCACCTCCCGGATATCTCATAGATTTTCCAGTATACTTCGATATCACGTTGAGTTGATCCTGGGCTCGTTCACACGTGCAGTGTGCTCAACACATATTGTATACCGAACTGTGTATGTTGAACGCCTGCCAAGTCTGTTCTTGCTACCGCCCCGTCTCTTCTAACAGGCCAGCTTATTAAGGTCGCAAAACTTTGCTTTCGTCCTCAAGCCACACCAGAAGCTGGTGAAGACTCAATGAAAAAAGGTATCTTCTCATATGACACAATAATGAGGATCTGGACGGGGAATGACCTTGGGCGAACACGTACCCGCGAGGTCGCAACACCCAGCAGGACAGAGCAAAGAGAGACACTGTGTGATCCTGCTTACCTGACTGACCCAGAAGACGTGATGCGCCGGGGCATATTGTCTTGTTGCCATCCACGCGACGAGTCCAGCTCGTCGAGTTTACAGTAAACTGCAATTAGTTACTGAACAGGGTGCCAGTCTCATCGACGGTGCATTATCGTCGGACCAGCCGCTCTCATAATGTCGTCGGCTAGGGTCCTGCACGCTCGATACACGTGCATTCTCCTGCTCATGCGAAGTGTAAGTCAAGGGGAGCCGGCCACTTGACTTTCCCGCACACTGCACCACCGCACGCTGGACGCGGTCGGATGCCACCAGGGCGAGCCACGATGCTGGGGTTCAGCCGACCTGACTCACTCCCTGGTGTCGATGATGTCTGAAAAGATGGAGAGGCGATTGGGGAAGTCGCAAGCGAAGTGCCTGATGTGTTAATACTAACTGTGGGAGGGAGAGGGACTTACCCCGATCTCGGTTCCGATGGAGGACAAAAGAAGATTGATAGCGAAGACGCGCGTGTTGAGCGGGGGGCGTCGTCGAGTGTTACCCTGGCGCGGTCTGGTGTTGGAGGAAGATAAAGAGAGGAAGGCGAGGCAGTAGATAGACGCATGGAGCTTTGACCATACGCCAAGGCGATCCAGGCAGCAGCCAGATATACCAGCAGTGATGGTGAAGGTGAAGGTGATTGAGTAAGCGCGGCAGCTGCGTAAATCACGTGGAGGTGGTGTTACGTAAGTACAATCATTTGCGTGCGGAAGCAAAGCCGGAACGCGACTTCCAGATTCAGTCGATTTGAATGCTGATCGCGAGCGCAAAACGCTGATGGCAGCTTACAGTGCTGGTGGTGTACCGTGTGACGTTGTTGAAGTCGCGGAGAAGTGCAGCACTCGGCCGGGTGTCGGCCCGAGCAGGGAGCGCCGATGCCGCGCGCCAGCCCTCGCTACACGCGCATCACGACTGTCCACTCCTCAACACGACGATTTCCCGTCGCGACACGTCATGTGCACTCGCAAGCTGGCAGTAGATGACTTACATGCTTTCACTGCTGCATAGACACGAATGAATGCGATTGCCTCGTGGAGCTCGCGAGCGCCAAAGCCTAAGCTCGAGCTAACAGTCGAGATCGCAGGCCACGGTCATCGCACTCTTATGTCTGATGGCATGCGAAGGTGATAAGGTAAAGGCCTGCGGTATTTGGACAGGATCATAGCATTGAGCCTTAGGCGGACACATCCGCCTCTACAGCGCCGGAATGTCAAGTCTTGAGTCACCTTACTTCACACCCACAAGCACATCCAAGTAACATGTGGAACAGGTAATGTATACTGCTACCCACATTGCGCAGCATTGCCTCTACGATGTAGCTTCGTTGTAAGCGTCTTACGACCCGGTATCTCAATCTCTGGTCGCAGCGCATAGCGTCATGACGACATCATGGATCTCCAAACTTCCCTCACGCGCGTCGCTTCTAGACGCTACCTAGGTATCTTCGCATACCTAATTCACAATCATCGATACCGCCGAGATTTTCTCGATACAAGGCTCAGACAGCTTCAAACCGAACACACCTCGACGCGAGCATGCCTTCCGCTGGGCTCACCATTCGCGACGTCACGCCCGCCATCACGACCTTCTCCGCGCCGTTCAACCGCTTCGCGCCATTCGGCTACCGCAAGTTCGTCGCTGTAGGCAATCGGGCAACAGCCATCCGATTGCACGACAACCGCATCCTTCTCCTCAACCCTATCCTGCTCGAACAAGCGGTGCGCGACAAGCTGAATGAGCTTGGAGGCGTTGATCTCGTTGCGTGTGATCTTGGGCATCACATGTATGTGAAGGACTATATCAATGCATGGCCAGAAGCAAAGACAATCGGCGTTCCGGGTCTGGACAGCAAGAGGAAAGACGTGGAGTGGGACTACATCTACGAGGACTGGCGGACAAGTCCGGAAGACCAGTTTGACTTTGCGCAGGACATCGAGACCGTACTGTTTGAGGGGTTCATCACATACTGTGTCGCTTGGTATCACAAGCCGACGATGACACTGATACAGTCTGATCTGATGATGAATCTACCATGCACCGAGGTATGTCGCGCAATCACCGGACGCGTACGCGACATCGGAAGCTGACCTTCTGTCAGCAATATGATCCTAGCTCGTCGCACCAAGGTCCTTTCTCGCGCGAATTCGCGAAGCGTGCACACCCTCGATCGATATGGGCGAAACGCCTCGTTTACCATATTGCGACCGTTGACTATATTTTGATGCGACGCGATGCGAAGAAAGTGGCGGAATGGCAGATCGAGCGAATTATACCTTGTCATGGAGATGTCCTCGATACTGGCGGGAATGAAGCCTGGGCAATGGTGTACGATTGGTTCTTGACCGGCGAACCCACGCCAAGCCTGATGAAGAGACTTATGAGCCCCGTTATGAGGGTCGCCAGAAGGGTGTTCTTGATCTAAAGCCCAGACATGTGCGCTTAGTTTCTTGGTATGTGGTCTGTTTGACTCAAACACCAACGCCGCGGCAATGAAGTGTCCATTATCTGCTGCCTGCGTTTTTGTCGCCCCAACATCACCCTCCACCGAACATATGTAGCTGGTCGCGACGTTCTCATATCGTTGTGACGCCTTTGGATACGGCAAACGCATGCATTGGAAAGCCACTGAAATGACAGCTGACCAGATATAGCAACCTGGAGCCGTCGAGCCAGCTTCGTTCGTCGAGTCACGTTGACATGTCCGATTGGGACCGATGAGTAAGGAACCGGATGGTGAAAGCTCATGTCTGTTGCACAAAGTGAAGAAAGGAGCAGTGCTTCAATGCTGGCTCTGTGAGGCTTTTCACCAGTGGCCAACGGAGGTCAGCCCTGGCACTGCTGTCGTATATCAATCTTCCGACTTGGGCCTCGAGAGAACGCGACCGCCTTTCTACACACCACCGACAAGAACCTCAACTAGGATCCTATCACTGCGGCATGGCACAATTACAAGCAATGTCCGTTTCTCATACCCACAGACGATCCTGATTAGCTAACGAGTATGCAGTACCGAAAGCAACCGCACTTTGTCACCCTTGCTTAGTCTCCCGGGAGAGATTCGTAACAGGATCTACGACTTTACCCTGGGTGGCAATACATGGCATGTCGATACGCGTCGTAAATTGACCTGCAAAACTCCGAAAGCTGAGCGCAACGATCACCGAGCTATGCTTCGTGTCTGTCGACAAATATATAACGAAGCCCGTCTCTTACCATGGTCACTCAGTGACTTTCGATGTGAGACAAAAGATGATCTTCGCAATTGGCTCACCAACTTTCCGAGGGAATGTCGCTGGGCCATCACGACTATCACCCTGTTTGCCTCTTCTGCCGATCGTCCAAATCCTTCGCACCCACGCCCAACGATGTCACTGCTTTTACCAAGAGGGATAATCGGCTTCCAAGACTTTCCTGGTCTTAAGAAACTTGATAGACATTTCGGAGTCTGTCCAGAAAGAGACTACCGTTTTTATACGCAGCTAGGCGATGGGACCAAAAGCCAATCTACCGAGCAGAAGGTACGAGTGGTAATCGCTCAGCCGTATATACCAGAAGAAGAACGTCAGCGACAAGGTTTTTCGTTCGTGGCCTCTACATAGCTGTAGAATAGCGTGCGGTATCCAGGGTATTGTATCATATCCTTTTCCCCAGACCCACAAGTTCATGTACACTGCGGGCACACCTGGATATCACAGTCAAATTGGGACGAGCATAGGCTTTGTGATGTATTTTGATTACTTTTTCAACATTCAGATCATGAACACCTACGCAATAGGCGCGTAGAAGCTGAACTTCCCCTTGGGGTCATACTTCTTCTTGAGCGATTTCAGCTTCTTCTGCCTCCAGCTCTCATGACCATACCAAGCCTCTGGCCCCTCATCACCATACGCATAGTTTACATAGGTGTGTAGTTCGCTAGACCCGGTACCCTCACGAATGATCTCGCGAAGCTGCGTGCCGAGTTCTTTGACGGCTTCGTCTTGCGCCTGTCCAGTCGAATTGTATATGATAAGAGGCGCAGCGAGGGTGTGCGCGTCGCGGAAGCCAAACGCACTAGCATCGTTGCTACGGTCGCGAACAGCACCACTGGCGTAATCCTCGAACATGAATATGGAGTTGTAGTACGGGTTGTCGGCTCCGGCGACGGCGGAGGAGTAGAGATCCCAGGCCTTGCGCTGCGCGGTGACATTGTAGGAGTTGATGTAGATTGGGAACCGGGGGTTGTTGAAGCCGAAGTCCTGGCATGGAGGCGATTCGAGCGCGATGCCTGTCCACTTTGCGAGATCCTTGTACGTGCCGGACTGGGGTGTGGCGGCGAGAGGGCCGATGTCGTGGAAGGGCGCGGTATACTTGGAATCAACTTTAGTAACACCCTCTTGGACGATGTAGATGATGATGACGGGCTGCTTCCAGGTTAGCGAAAATAGTTCATTTCAGGATCGATATATGTCTTACTCCCTCGGTATCGTATCTTGCATCATTCTGCCAGTACGTCCAGTCATGGATATCCGCGGACTGCTTCCCACCCTGAAGAATGTACTTGTTGGCGGCCTCGTAGACTTGCTCGACTTTGTCACCGCTAAAGACAATCGTCTCGATCGCCCAGTCGTAGTGCTCAATGTCGTAGACCTTTGTGGTAACGGATGTAACAACGCCGAAGTTGTGGCCAGCCCCTTGCATACCCCACCACAGGTCTGATTTACTGTCGATCGTCTTCAATTCTCCGTTTGCGAGCACGATATTCATGAAAAGGAACTGGTCGGTGATAAGACCATAGTGGCCTTGGAACCATCCGTGACCGCCACCGAGGGCTGGTCCCAAGTAGCTGACGCATTCGCAGCAGCCAGTGACTGAGTGGTGTTAAAGCAGGCCGAGTCTATTGTGAAATTGGAAAGCTTACCAGTCTGCTTTCCAGCGTCCCACAGAGTGTCTGTCAGGTTCTTCACGTTGGCTCCACCACCGATCGTCGCTGACTTTCCATCCTTGGCAATGGAAACTGAGTTCAACTGCGGCAGATAGATCTCGATACCATAGTCCATCTTGCCCAAGGTCGTAAGCGTCCCATGATGGCCATTGTAGGTGAGGAATGGGATGTTGTGATCATTCGCAAACTTGACCTGCCGTGGACGTATCAGCTGTTGTTTTTTGTCTCCCACGCATTATCGCCTACGGACAAACTCACAATCTTCTGAACGTCTTTCTCCGTACCCGGGGCGATTACAATGCTCGGCGTAGGAGCCTGTAGATTAGACCATCGGGTGGTGTAAGTAGCAAACTCCTTCGTATCGGGGAGGTAAATCTTCGCGGTGGCAGAAAGATACGGTGCTAATGACTTCACGTCGATACCTGCTGCGGGGGTCCTAGAGAAGAGGTCGAATGGCGAGGTAGGGGTTCCCGAGACATTGGCAAGAAACAAGCTTGCGACAGCCAACGGTGCCAAAACTTTTGCAAACATGATGCCGGTGGGGAGATGTCAAGCAGAATGCAAAACACGGCCGTGAGTTACCACCATCCTGGAATGTGGCTTCGAGGCATCTCAAATACGAGAAGACATCTGCGCTGTCGGCTAAAAGCATCACGCTCTATGAGGAAGACCTCCGGGCCGCCATGCAGCACGCATATCGTCAGGGTCCAGAAGGCGTGAAGGCGGGATGAGTTGCATCGAAGGATTCAGCTCGGTCACACAATCGGCGCGAATCTGATCCTACGATGATCTTGTCTTCGCCGCGACTTGCGCGCTTGCACGTAATCGAGGTTTGTGGGTCTCAGGCATCACCGCGATTGGCTCGGGGCTCGGACAAGATGCCGCGAGCCGCACCGTTGCCCTGGCCCGCCCAGACGCCAACAGCCGCTTCCTATGCGCTAATGGAGATGCGTTTTCACCCACATTCTTCTTTGCTGAAAAGCTTGCACCCTCGTACTTTACAGACTTATCGAAGGCATAGATGCCAACTTCTGTCTTACCAACGACACCGCCGAATACCTAATGCGCAATGCTGCCATCGTTGCGCGCATTATGGCTGCGGCTGGACCACGGACGTGACCATTGAAGACACTGGTCTCTTCAGCCATGCGAACATCCAAGTGTTGTATAACGAGCCAAACAAGACGGCGACGAAAGGCTTGCTCGTATTCGGCGTGATCCTGAGCTATAGCCGGGCAAGCCAAGAACTGCGCCGCTTTGTGCCTTCCTCTCTCTGCAAAGTATCGGATGGCGCACTCAGATTGGGTGCCAATGTGACTTCGGGCCGATGTGATGTGATTACACGGGGTATCTGTTAGCTGACATTTTATCGAGTTAGACTACGCCATGAACGTCTCGGATACAGATCCAGTTCCATCCGTTTTGTTCTGGAGGTTCTGGATTTGCGACTATACCGACCGACCCAGAGTTCAAGAGTGATGGATCAGATTTGAATCGATCATTCAACACCGTCGTTGCAGAATACGCCATGGGCATCGTGGAGCTGTGGACCCTCTATGCACTCGCTGTCTCCTTCACATGTCTGCGAACATACGCTAGGATCACCGCTGTGGGCGTCCGCGAGCTACAGGTAGATGACTACCTAGTTTGGATTGCTATCGTGAGTAGCAACGAATGCTTTGCTTCATACGTTTTCTTTTGCTAATGAACCATTTACCAGCTGATTTACACCGCCCAATGCAGCCTCGGGTACAGCCTGGGAGTGCACGTACATGGTCTCGCAAATGATGGCATGACGCCGAAAGAGCGTGCTGCGCTGACGCAAGACGACCCCGAGTATAGATTGAGGTACACACGAAGGAATCCTGGCGCGCAAGGAACAAAAGAGTGGTCCGCGGCGCACACGTAGCTAACCGAGCTTCAGAGTCATCGGATCTAAGATCCAGGTAGCTGGCTGGACCACCTCTGCCTGCCTACTCTGGTCTCTCAAGCTATGTGTAGCAGCCTTCTACCTTCGTCTCACGGTGTGCATATCCATCGCAGTAGCTCTGGGAGTTTTGACTGACATGAATCACAGGCTGGCCTCGGGATGTACACCCACCGGATTTACATCGCTTTCGCGTCCATCATCATCAGTTTCGTGATCATCATATTCACCATATACCTCTCCTGTCGACCATTCTGGCACTACTGGCAGATCAGTCCCGACCCCGGAAACTCGTGTCAAGCAGCGATATCGAAGCGCCTAATCTGGGTTACATTCGTCTTCAACGTGTCCACCGACGTGTATCTGCTACTCATACCGATTCCCATGTTATGGAAGTCGAGATTAAGGACGTACAAGAAAATTGCCGCTATGCTCGTGCTTGGCGCTGGCATGCTCGTTATTGTGTGTGCGATACTAAAGAGCATCTATCTTATCACGGTAAGACGCAGTAGCACGATCGCCAGGATGTGGGCTTCAACACTAACCGATCTCCAGGACCCTTTGAACAGTGCTGAGCTCACCGCCTCTTGGGGCACTCGCGAGACCTTCATCGCGATATTTACCACCAATCTGCCAATGATCTTCCCACTGCTGAAGAACTGGCTCGCGCCCTTCCTACCCAGTACAATCGGCTCCAGCAACGCAAAAGGACAAGAGCCTCCAGGCAGTGACTTCGAAACGATTGGGGGCGGATCCGGGCCCGGTGGAAAACGGGCTAGCCGAAGGGCGCCGCACCGGGCGCCGCACACTTTCGGGGGCCTGACGCTTGACAATGAGAGTGAGGAAGACATGATCAAAGGGGATGCTGTGGCCATGCATCCTATGCAGGCTGACTCCGCCAAATCAGATGGAAAGCATGTTATTGTCGTGTCGAGCGAGGTCAGCGTCACCTCCGAAGATCATAGCGGTGTCCAGCGAAAGGCGTCTTTCCAGATCATGTAGTGAGTTATCTTCACGCTCTAGTGCCGACGCAACTATACGCTTCTACAACCTCATCTGACCCAGTCTTTCTATCTATGGCGTTCGTGATGTAACTTGAGTCAGATCTCACCGCACTGACACTACGCGACTGCTCCTGAGGCTCACACAAGGACTACGCGTAAGGGTCTGCAAGTGCGCGGTCTGCGGCTGAGGGTGATATTGCGACAGGATGCAGGACACGAGAGCACCATGTTGACTGTAAGTCCAGGCCAACTCCTGAGCTTGAGTCCCAGAGTGTCTGTTGTCGGAGTCTGTCATCTAATGGATACGAGGCACCCTCCCCCTTGGCCCACAATCATACAGGAACAGAGTCCATGCTGGGCTCTATGATACCAAAGAACCCGTCAAAGAAAACTCTCGTGCCGGGAGACGCACCCTGATCTTTGGCCAGGGTATTAGTGGCGGCTTGATCGTCGTCCGCTCCATGGTCGCTCATATCCCCATTCGTATAGGCTTTTGCCATGAGTATGTCTTCTTTGTGAGTGAGGAAGTAGACTGATAGTTGCTGGACGACGTCTGCGACTGTGACAGTACCGCCATCTGCTCTGGTAACAAGTAAGGGCTCTGGTCGCTGATAGCGACGATTTTCCTCAAAACCAGGCTCGTCGAACTCGTCATCGCTGAAACCTGTTTCAAGAGCTGCGAACTGATTGAGCTCGTCGATGCTGAAGGCTATCTTGGTGAGAGGGATCCCGGAAGCTGATTTTGATGCGATAGCGTGACCGTCGAAGGGCGATAGGGCAGTCTTTGGATCATCGAGAACGAGGATGTTGGTGATGTCCTTGAAGACCGACCAGCGCAGACGCTCGAATGCTTCATTAAGACGGATGGCTCCACGGGTCTTGGTCGGGCTTCCATTGAGGTTCTCGGGCAGAGAATCGGCAGCCATGTTGAGGCCAAACGCTGTTGTATACAATCCGAAGTAGATTTTGCCAGCATACGTCGGTGGTACGGGTGCGCGACGATGACCCACTCTGCTGCAAAGCGCTATGTCCCAAATAGGCTGCTAATCGGAGACGCCAAGCATCTACTACCCCACCCTAATTTTGACCGCGTTCGTCCACGATGCGCCAAAGTGACACGATAACAGTCAGAAGCGCCGCTTCGTTTACGCCAGAAGCCAAAACGCCTCGTCATCAAGGAAGTATGATGGAGCCTAGGTAGCATGCATACACCTTTTCTTTGCCAAGGTTCCGAGGTCGGACCTGTTTTCTTCGTCGGAGTACCTGGTAGCGCCGTGGCCACCGCTTTCTCACATTAATGCCCCGAAATGGAAAGAAACAGCCCTTGATAGTGGACTTGGTTTGGGAACATGGCCAAGCCGATGCGGACTTGTAACACTACAAGCGGTCGCTTTCTTAAAGTGACAATCCCCGCTCAATTTTCCAAGGCTTGCATCCAGCGTCTCTCTTATCGATTCCAAGGTTTGATCCGTATTGTATCATGTATTCCCGCGATGGTTACACTTGGACGCCTACGTCTGGCCTGACAGCTGGCGTTCCCTCCATTGGCGTTACAACACCCTCCACGAACAATTCCAACACTGACGAACTTTACGATGTCATTGTCGTCGGTGCTGGCTACTGCGGCCTCACAGCCGCGCGCAACGCTGCAGTCGAAGGATTGAATGTGCTGCTACTCGAAGGTCGGGATCGCATTGGCGGCCGATCATGGTCATCGAACATCGAAGGTTATTCATTCGAAATGGGAGGCACATGGGTGCATTGGGGCCAGTCGAACACTTGGAGGGAGATCGTAAGGTATCGGATGATGAATGACGTGGAGAAGTCGTTCGACTTCTCACATAGTGTTGATCACTACGAATTGAACGTTGGTCTCAAGGCTCTACTATGAGCCATGATAAGGAGGTCCGTTCCCATTTGCCGATCTACAAAGCTGTTCACCTACTGACACAGCCAAGGATGAGCTTCTTACCTCGGCGCTAAACAAGTTCACCAACATCGATGGCGCTCATGGAAAAAATGTAATGCCTCTACCATACGATACGTTTCATGTCCCCACTGCAATCCAACTCGACGATCTCTCCGCTCAAGACCGCATCGATGAGATCGCGCCATCACTATCCCCACAGGAGCGCGCAGCCATCGAATCTTTTATCTTATTATGTAGTGGAGCCACTCTTGCGACTACGAGTCTTCTGGAATTCATGCATTGGTGGGCTATATGCGGCTAATCCTACGCAGGCTGCATGGACATGCTGATCACCTGGAAGTTCAAAGGCGGACAATCAAGCTTCGCAATCGAATTCTTCGAGGAAGCGCTCCTGACCAAGCGTCTCGCGTACGCTTTCAGAAGCCCAGTCGAGCACATCAAGGACACAGGCCTCAAAGTCGAAGTCACTACACGCGATGGACGCCAGTACCACGCAGCGCGGTTAATCTCAGCTTTGCCTTTGAACGTCTTAGGCGACGTGACTTTCGATCCCACCCTTAGTACTGGAAAAAGAAAGGCTACTGCGATAGGTCATGTCAATCAGACCGTCAAGGTCCATGCAGAGGTTGCGAACAAAGATCTCCGCTCCTGGGCAGGCGTTACATATCCGCACAACCAGCTCATGTATGCCATTGGGGATGGCACAACACCCGCAGGCAACACACATATCGTCTGCTTTGGCGGCAGCAACAAACACATCAACCCTGAGGGCGACATCGACGCAACTAAGCGTGCAGTCACAAACATGTTTGTGCAACAAAAAGACGAGCCTAAGATTGAGAGACTAGTATTCCAGAACTGGTCGAAAGATGAGTTCGCGAAGGGCGCGTGGTTCTTTTCATCACCTGGGTTCCTTGCAAAACACCTGGATCATATGCGTCAGAGGCATGGGAATGTGCTGTTTGCTAACTCGGATTGGGCACTTGGCTGGAGGAGCTTTATCGACGGTGCGATTGAGGAAGGCACAAGGGTTGCTTTCGAAGTGCGGAGAGAGTTGACAGAGCTCCGCGAGGCGAAGACTACCTAGGTAGACTATAATACAGCGACGCCACTATCGTGATCTGCACAAAATATGGATAAACCCACAAATGTTATTCCACAGAGTATAACCTTTGTGATTGCTTATCTCAGAAGGTACATCGTTGCGTCATCGGTGTTCGGGCTGTGTCTTGATAGGCAGCAGGCGCAAGGGTAAGCTCAACCGCTGAGGACGGTCAAGGAGCGCAGTTTCAGTCGTTGCGCGCCCATAGCGTCGACAGTCACCCATTGTGCGAAGAGACCGACTCGAAGAGTCTGTAAAGCCTTTGAAACCTGTGCTTCGGACGCTTTACACCATATCGTTCAACCGGAAAAGCGCGCGCGGGCATTAAAGACCGAGACCGCAGGTCGCAGGGCGCCAGTCACGCCCTCTCGACACTGTGTATGTCTTCTCTCGAATTGGAAAGATCAATTCTGAATACCTGCACCTCCTCTTTGCGATACTTTTGTACCGAAGGTCTTGTGCTCTAGCTGTAGCGATGTGGCACCTCAAACTTCGACGATGGGCTATGATATCCTGAAATTTTGCAATCGTTTGCGTGATCAGACACATTACCTTCGCAGATTGGCCTAGCCCTCCGCGACGTCATATGGTGAAAAGTGAAAGTGAAGCAGCATGCGAGCGTTTGTATCAATAGGCACCCGCGCTTTGTCCGCTTTTTCGACTTCGGCTTGCACGACACCTTCTCCTACTACCTACTCTACGATATCTATCTCTCGTTCATATAACTTCTCTACTCATCCTACCATCGTCGCAATGGCAATCGATCCCGCCACGCTTAGGCGTTATACCGGATGGTATAAAAACAACAAGACATCGGCCGAGCGCGTCGCGATTGCACTGGACGGCGCCACCATGAAGCTCCTTCGGTTCGATACCACTACTGGCGCGATTAAGACCAGTTCCAGTCTGTCCTTGGACGCATCGACGATGCGCATAGGCGGCGACGCGGATATCCGAGCGCTTTGGCGTGTAGATCGCGAGTGCGTCTCGATCAGTTTCGCGATGCGCGGTGAAGACGTTGGGAGCTTCTCTATCAAGGGGACTTCCTACTCCCGCCATGAGCCTGATAGGAAGAGTGCGCTCCTGGATCTGCCTGCTGAGCTTCGACAAGAAGTGTGGAGGTATGTTCTCGACGGGCCCGGTAGCTTGGTCATTTCGTCGCCAAAAGACGGAAAGGTCGTCATCCAAGACGTTGCTGGCGAGCGCACGCCGTACAACCGCATAGCCGAGATCCACAAGGCCTTTGGCAACGAAGCCAAATTTCTCGAGCTCTCCCTAAAACATCTTGTCGCTAAACCTAGAGAGGGTCTATATCTCGTCAACGTTCTCGAGCTTAGCGACTCGTGTCTCGACCGCAAGCTCCGCAAGGTCACATACGAGACCAATTGGGGTCCTGAGCTCCTACCTCGTCGAGAAATCCTCCATGGCCTACTCATGTACGGCAAGAAGAACGAGCACGTAAAAATCAACATCGAGCTCAACAATTGGTACCTCAAGGATGCGAAACCATACATCATCCGGGAGAAGTTTGTTAGATTCGGTATCGGTCTGCGAAGAGCAATCCGAGGTATCAATGTAGGTACTTTTGAGGAGTCTGCCTGGATTGTACACAAGTGGAGAGGAGAGAAGAAGGTAGAGGAGTTGAATGCCTCTAATGTATCGTTCTGGCCAGCGCAAGAGGAGTTGACGGACATGGAGTGGAACAAGGTGAAGAGGGCAATCGGTGTCAAGAGCTTCAAGGGTATCATGTTAGGGTGCGGTGTAAGAGGGCCGCAGGACTTGGATGTCGTCGTTGAGCTGCTCAAGAGCTATTACCTTAAAGGTACATAGCGACCAAGAACGACTTCGACTTGTAGCGGCCTGGCTTGGTTTCCTCGTATAGTTGGAATATATCGTATGGCGTACCGTTGCTCGGCGAGGAGGCGGGTTTGCTGACGACAATGAGAGCTTCTGAATCTTTGATGGAGTGGCTATCATATACGCATCTCCAAGAGAATAGCGAAGATCGACGCCTTGCGGATCTGATACGGCGATGTTTCGTTTCCGCATGTGACATTTACATGCGATGCGCAGCCAACGTCGATACAATCCCAAGCTTCCATGACACGATACAAGCACACATGGTCCAGCAGCTCATCGGTATGATGTCGAAAATTCTTCCTGACGCGCGTGGCTCTCACGCGCTCGTCTGGGTGTGCTTTGTTGCTGGAGCAGCTTCGACTGATCGGAGTCAAAGGGACTTTTTCGTGCACCGCATGGAATCAATCTACGCACGTACGCAGTTTCGAAACATTCCTACTGCGATACAGGGCCTGAAAAATGTATGGGCGCGCGGGTACGGAAAGCGCTGGACCGTCTGTGTTCCTCATTTGTCAAACGTGCTAGTCATGTAAGGCATATGCATAAGCATCTATGATCTTACATGCTACAAGTTCTTACTACGACGACGAACACACTACTGTATCTGCTGTAGGCTATCATGACTACCGGATAGCTCCAGAGCGTAGCGACTTGTACAGTATCTATGGTCAAAAGAGAACTCTCGACGACAGCTACGCGCGTGGAGAGCCGACATGAGAACAAGTGTGCGCTACGATCCGACAATTAGGCTGCCAGCTCACAACGCTCGCGCTACAAAGCAATGTCACATCCGCGCAACCATGTTCACATGACAGAACAAGGCACCGTGGACTGTGAAGGCCTGAACCACTTGCAGCTCGCGTCGTGCGCTCTCCAAAACGACATTGTGGGTCCACAGTCCGACACATCAACTCGGCGAATTGCCTGTGGTTTGTGATCTCATTTCTGTGCGTCGATTCCCACCAAGACTCCTTCCCTCCTAGATCCATCGCATATATCATCATCGGAAACATGGTGGTACTAAGTCAGGCTGGACCGGAGCAAATAGCAATGTAAGTTCCGCACTCTACATCTGACGCCCCGAGGTTCTTGGCGACTAACAACTGCCAGCGGTGCGATGAACCAATCCAACTCTCCCCTCCTCAACCTCCCCGGAGAGCTCAGGAATCGAATCTACACATACGTCATCGATAGCGGTGTCACTTGGCACATCACCTGCCACAGAGACTATGCGTGGCGGAAAGTCTCACGTTATCACGACGATTGCGAATGTGTCCTGTGTGGTCAACCGACGATTCGGGCTTTCGGATCTACCCTTCACCGGGTCTGTCGTCAGATACACCAAGAGACATGGCTACTCCCCTACGCGCTGAACACATTTCAGGCGGACTACTATGGAGGCACTTCGATCGACGCTTTAGTGTGGTGGTTGCACAAGCTGCCGGAACCCGCAAGATCTGCGATCCGCTCTCTCCGATTGAATGAAGGTCATTGCGGCGAGATCACGAACGATGTCCTTGAGACGAGGTTTCCTGTATGGTGGACTGCGGGACACCCGCATAGAGAACCTCGCGTTATGCGGATGCGCGGGCCTGTAGACAACATGCGCATGGTAGATGGAGTGGATGGGTTGTATGCTCTCCTACCGGGCCTTGAACACATTCATCTCGTCCTTAATGTAAGCAAATTCGCGGCCAGTTGGGATAAGCCGAATAACGCGGCCATTCAGCGCGCGAAAACCATGGCCATCGCGCAGCTACGTCCCGAAGTCGAGGGGATCTTTGGGCGGCCGAAGATTTGCGTGAGTATGGACGTGCATGTACTTGTCGGACACGGTTTTAGTTGATAGTATATAGCGCTTGTTAGACATCGCGCGAAGCGATAGCGACCCTTGAGCTTTGATTGAATACGTATTGATGGAAATGTTACCGGTCTCCAGGTATGCTTGTGAGCTACCTTGCGAGGATGAGTCATTGGATGTATCGAGCAGAGGCATCATACGCGACCACATACCGCTGCGAGGACTGCGACTGAACGATTAGCCCGAGGTGAAGGCGGTCGGAGCAAACCGCCCTACGTCATCTCGTTGCCTAATCGCTCTCATGTCAGTCTCGCCTAGCTTTACGCTATCAATATCTTGTTGTGGTCGTCTTTCAGCAACTCCTCCCACCCTCAACCCCCGGACAACCAACGACACTGCAAGATGGTCGTGCTTACCGACAGCTCACCCTGGAAGGAGGCAATGTAAGTATCAAAGCCCACTACCATGCGTCATGGTGATGGTACTAATAATGTACAGCGCCGCACGCAATCAACGCACCTCCCCGCTGCTCAAGCTACCCGGTGAATTACGGAATCGGATCTACGGTTACGTACTCGGCACGCCAACCTGGTATGTCGGTAACTCTCACCAGAAGCGAGATGCCAACGACAACGTGTACGAGGTCTTCCAACTCTACGAGGAGACTCAGCGAGGGCACTATAGGACTAAGCCGTCCTTTGGCCCGCCGTTGCTGGGAGTGTCGCGCCAAATACATCTTGAGGCATGGCCACTCTTGTACGCATTGAGCACCTTCCAGGTCGGACACTCTAGACCTTTCTTCATCTGGATTGAATCACTGCCCGACGTTGCGCGGTTGGCTGTGTCCTCAGTCAGCTTGGGTGAGATGACCCTTAAGGACCACGTTGACGACCCAAGCGTGGATTTCGACTTGGACGACAACGATTACCCCCGCACGTCATTCCCTCCTCTCGACATCCATCAAGTCCCTGCGATCCAATCTCACTGGGACTATAACATCTTTGCATCCCTGGGTGACCTGTACTGGAAACTACCCGGCCTGAAGCATCTTCGCATGACTGTCCGTGTGTATTACGGCAGATATCGGCAGGGCTTCCAATACAGACGAGTCGAAGACGAAGAGATGGAGGCTAAGCTGCGCCCAGAGCTAGCCCAAGTCTTCGCACTCCCCGATGTACACGTTGACGTGGAGTTCGTCCTTTACAAAAGCTAAGGTGACAAGAAAGGCTAGGCCGATCTACTCCGAAGGCATCGTGTGTGGCTATGCAAACATTGGCAAGTCGCACGGTCGCATGGTCTGTCGTCGGGCTTTGAGGTGCCGCAGCACCTGCAAGATTTCGGATAGGTAGCAACAGCGTCAAGGCTACATTGTACATTAGTCGAGTCAAACACAGAATGCAAGACGCATGTCGCATGCTAACGTACTCTTGCCTTGCCTCTCTCGGGCCACAACGTGCTTTGTAGGCGTCATACCACATCGAATCGGTTTAGATCCGGGACTCGTGTCGTAGTGAAGACATGATCGCGCGACCTGAGTGCGAGATGTATGTAAGAATCGCAATGAAACGAACCATAAATTACTACTATACATACACTTCTACCTCATCATTCACTCAACAAAGCGGACACTTCAACCCCATCCTCCCCATCATCTTCCCCACCTCCGCACCACCTTCCACCTCCGCACCACCTTCCACCTCCGCACTCTCCTTCTCCAAACACCCCCGATGCCACAAATGCCTACAAGCAAACAGCACAAGCCCCTCCCCCCTCTCCCCCTCCTCCTCCCCATCATCCAACACATCCGCCTGACTCGGTCTCTTCCCCTTCGCCTTCTTACTCCCCTCCCCCTCCCCACTCACCACCTCATCCCTCACCTTCCTCCTCCCCTCCTCCCTCTTCTCCCAAGCCTCCCACACACCAGGCCCCGCACCAGGCCCCCAAGCCCTCTTCTTACACCCCTCACATACCTGGCCGCGGGGTCTCCACCCGCGCTTCCGCAGCTCGGTGATCTCGTGGACGTGCTCGAAGGACTCTTTGTCGAGGAAGCGGTTTGCGAGGCTGAGGATGGTTTCTTCGAAGGTGTAGGCTGCGAAGATCTCTGAGAGGACGGAGCGCAGGTCTGAGAGCGAGGGCGAGTAGGTGTGTGTTGCGCGGGTGAGGAAGCAGCGGAGGATGCGGAGGAAGGAGGGGTTGGATTGGGCGCGGGATGTGGTGGGGCGAATGGGTGGGCGGGTTGTGGCGTCTGGAGTGGAGTGGGATTGGGTGGTCTTTCGTGTGGGTGGGATGGTGGTGGATGTGAGGAGGGCGGAAAAGGTGAGTTGGATTGAGGAGCGGAGAGTGGATACGATGCGTGCGGTGTCGACGGTATCGGCTGGGTCAACGCCCGTTGATGTGATGGAAGCATCATGGTCAGCAACGGCGCTGGATGTATCTCTGATGAGCCGTACGGACGTGTCGACAAGCTCAAGCCATAACAGTTCGTCCGGCGCGAGATCTCCTTCACGAACCTCTCCGTATGCGGACTTCCGTCTGTCGATTGTCGACTCTGGTCTCGGCTCTTTCGATTGTGTCTGTCCTTGACATAGCCATATGCCAACCTTGATGTACTTCTGAATGTCTTCAAGAAGATCGTGGACTGCTTCCTCGGTGTTGGCCACATCCGGCGTTTCTGATGCGGCTCCGATGAGGCCGATCAAGGCAGTCTGAAGCGTACCAAGATGCGTCACTAGTCGGTCCATGGCTCCCTGGACTAGGCCATCTCGAGCCATTAAAATGACCGCACCGTCAATGACACCGCTCTTCTCCAGCGCGGGCAGAACAGGATCCAATCGGAGGTCGCTGGACTTCAACGAGCTGACGAAGTCTGCCACATGCGCGCTGTTGTAAGTACACATGAGCTGCACATAGTTCTCGATGAATCCAGAAGGCAGGTTCTCATCGATGGGCGCAACACTGCCTGTCGCAGCTTGCTCTGGTTCGATTAAAGCTTGTAGATAGCGGTATTGGGAATCGCTTCCGGCTTCGATAGTGCCGAGAACTGGCTCCAGCAGGTCGGGCGCATATTGCTTCAGTGTCACTGCAGTTTGCGAGGCGTCGATCGCAGCCAAGTCTGCAGCGCGACTGACGATGACCGTCTTGACCTCGTTCAGCTGCTTCTTATTAACACCTTTGCTTGGCCGAAAGATGTCAGCAATACATCCAAACACTGCCTCTTCGTCTTCTTCGTCGTCAAGGTATGTTTCGAGCAGCTTGGCGTATTGGTGTGCGCCCCGATACACAGACTTGAGCACGCGGTGAAAGCCAGCCTTCTCGAACAGCGGCACGAGACTCTGTGGACTGGGTGGGTGGTAAATGGAAAGCAAATACTCGACTGAGAGCTGGCAGTCTTCTTTGATCGTATCCGTGGGGTAGTTGCAGAGACCAATGAGAACCTGATGCAGCGACGTCCCCGGAAGCATGATGTGTTGCGGATATTTCGGCAGATTGCGCGCGACGAACATGTAGAAGTAGATGATATCCTCCGGGTCGAAGTTGTCCGTGTTCATTATCCCAAAAAGGTAGTTTATGATGGACTGGCGAGTGGGAGTGAGAGCAGACCCTTTGTGCGTGCCGTTGAGCTGGGCTCCGTTTGGTGCATCTTGCTCGCCATTCAAGAAGCTATCCTCAAAGGCCTCGTTCAGCATGCTCATGAAGCTCGAAGCGTCAAAGTCCAAGACGAGCTGCAGATACGGAAATGGAGGCTCTGGGCTGCCGTCAGATTGTGTCAGGATGACTTCGCCTGAGCCTGGTGGCCATTCCAGGTTCTTCCCTGAGAACAGGAATCGATACATGTCCTTCTTGGCACTATACGCTTTGTCATCCTCCATGAAAGCGCCGCCAGGGTACACTCGCCCGGTGAAGGTGTACGCTAGGTAGGGAAAGATCTTCTTCGCGGCAGTGAGATAGATGTTCCCCGTCTCATCTACATCGAAATCTACGAGCTTGATAAGTTCAAGGATGTTGGTGAGTGGCGTGATGTAGTCGCCGATAGCCCTTGTCCACACGTAGATCAGCGCGTCGTACAGTACGTATTGTTGACAGAGCATGGTGACTTGGTTCAAATCCATCGTATCAGTGCTGAGCCGGCAGATCATCTCTTCGAGCTGGGCGGAGCGATTGGCCGAGGCATAGAACGTGATGAGGTCCTTCAAGACGTTCGGCGGTACTGCGGTGATCTCGTCATCTTGTATGTATGGCTCGAGGGTCTCAAAGAAGGCCTTCTCTGCTGACGCCTCTTCGTAGGTATCGTAAACGTCTTCGAACAAGAAGTCATATTCCTCCATGCATAGCAAGCCTGTGAAGACCACCTCAGCAAGCTCTTTCGCTCGACGCTCCTGCGCATCGCGATCGAGGTCGTCCTGTCTTGAGAAGGAATACTTCAATGAGGCCGTAATCATCTCGAGCAGCTTTGGCTGTACAAGCGCATGGCGTGCTTTGTCATCGTCGGGCAGTCCGACGGTGAGCTTGTCCGCATCCCCGAGGTAGTACGAAGTCGCGAGACCGATAGCGGCAATGTAGTCGCCATCCTCCATCAAGGCCAGCAGGCGGTCAGCCCAGTTTGAGAGAGTGCCGATGGAGCAGTCGTTGAAACCCAGGAGGAACAGCCGACCCTTGTACGCCCGAAAACTCATGTAGAATGCATCTGCCACGACACCATGTAGCGACGCGTCTTCTTCATTAAGCTGCTCAACGACCGGCTTGAGCTGGCGTGAGAAAAGGTCCGAGTGGTAGATGTGCTTTTGCAGCAAATCGAATGAGTCTGTCACGCGAAGGGTGTTGTCTTCCAAGATCATGAGGCGCTGACTGATGGTAAGCACGCTGAGAACCGATCGACTCAGCCACTGAACAGCAACAATAGCTTCTTCCGCCTTCCAGCGACTCCGAGGTCTGAAGCGAAGCTCAACAGGCTTTTCTCTTTCCGACGGGGGCGGCAGGATGGAGTCGACTTCGAGTATGGTCAGGACGTTAGACCAACAGTACACGAGCTTTGTTTTGGATATCGCGTTCTCGGAACCGTCGGAGGAACTCTTCAGCTTGACAGCCGGAAACCAAGCCAAACACCCGCTTAACGCGCTGTGCGCTTCCACATCCTTGGGTCGGGGCGCTTTGTGCTGGGTCTGTGCAACCGGAGTAGTCGAGACAATGACTAACAGATAGGGTGTTAGCAGTGCGGTCAGACCCATATTGTCGGTTGGCTGCTCAACGTTGCCTAATGGCAGGGGTGCGAAGGCCAGCACAGAACTTGGTTTCCGAGGTTTCTCCAGTGACTTTGCCGACAATGGATATCGCCCCAAGATCCGCGTTGTCTTGACCGTCCGCGCGATTGCCCCTAGCCCACGTGTCGCCAGATGGGAGAAGGCCATGCCTGCGTCATCTGCGGAGACGAGCGCTGTGCGCCGGGTGCCGAGGAATCCCAGATGCAGAATGGCTACGCCCGAGACATGGCCATCTGACTTGTTGTCCTCCAGAGACGCCCTTTCCAGAGGCGGGACGTGCAAGAACGGCTTAGCCGGCTTCGCCAACTCCCAGGTGAAGATGTGACCTGTCGCATGCCCCCCTGCAATGGCCGAGTGATCAGCAGCGATGGCTAGCGAAGTGATGGCACCGCATTCGACAGCCTTGGTACCCGGTCCAATAATGGATTTGAGGACCTGCTGGTAGTCGAAGATGAGGATGAAGCCCTTGGAAGTTCCTATCGCTAACGAGACGGTCACATGTAAGCATGTGGGCCTGCCGAAGTTGCGCTTGCCAATCTCAGAGAATACTTGTCCAGTAATCTTCTTCAACCTAGTCCATCGCACAACTTCCCACGGCGCCTGAGGTGTCTCGGATCCGTCATCAGAGAGTTGTTGGAAGACGAGATTGCTCGATACGGAGGATTGTCGCGAGTGCGGCGATAGGAAGGCAGGTGACTGGCCGCGCGGTGTTGGTCCAGGCGATGGAGATAGGCGGGACGAGAAGCGGCGTTCGAATGGCTGCAGCGATGTCGGTCTATGAGGGCGCAGCGAGTTGTGCGACACGGGCACGCTGCTCGTGGGTGAGGAAATACCGGAACCCTATCTTGGTCAGAGGATTCCCATGTGGATCTGCCATACTGCATACCTGAACCGAAGGGGTGTCGTCGGGTATGTCCGTCGAGGCAGGGCTGCCTGCCACCTCTATAGTCGGTCG